GAGTGTAGAGAACCGGAGACCCTTTTTACTGGCAAAGAGGCATTCCATCTTAGTCCTCACGGGTGACAACGCATCTGCATCTTGAGTCTTTATTGAGGATAGGTGTAGATGTCTATGGGTCACAGTAACCACTTACCATCAGGTGGACTGTGTGCTCGTTTGTCACCTTATCCTATAAAAAAAACCGATACAGTATCCACTCACAACTCTCTACTATATATACAGAAATCCATGCTCACAACGGCGTTTGACGCCGAACTAACCGAGTGAGGCAGTCTCTTTACTAAAATGAATTCACACAAGGCTGCTAAAACACCGAAAATTTAGACATTTAGCAGCCGAAAAACATTAATTATAACTAAACAAAACAAAATTAAACTGCCATTTACATTCCATGGCTTCCCACATGATAAATGAAGAGTTTTAAAAATAGATTGAGTTGAACAATTGATATTTTCAAAAGTTATCGTGTTTATGAAGCCATACGGACTTGATAAATCCACAGCAGCAACTAAAACCCCTTTTTTATGTAAAAATAGCAATTAATCGATTAAAAAAAATTATAAGTTCAACAATCATTTATATTTCTGACAATGTGCTTTTTATATCATTTATATGTACAATACGATTGCTAGATACGATTTCATGCGACAAAACGTTGGAATCTTGATTTTTAGGCGTTAGTAGAACATACCTACGCGCGAATAAACCTGACTGCGTCAAAAAGTTTGCTGAAAAAATACCCCCCCCCCCTTTTTGTGCTTGCAGATGCAATAAATAAATATTAGGGGATGGGGGGCAAGATGGGGGGGGGGGGAAGATGGTACCCCATCTTCTCCGCCCTGTCTTAAATCAGAAACTAATTGACTAATTATAATCGTTTTTGCACATGACACTGCAACACGATAGCAGTTTTTAGTGAACGAAGTCACTGGGCGACCACATCGCGTTCTTTATTCATATTTTTTTTTTATTTAATTTGAAACGTTATTTGTAATTTTTTAAATTCAATTGCACATGAGAGGGCAAAACGGGGTGGGTATGGGGTACTACCTCATCTTGTCTGGAATAAAATGGTTTTAAAGTTTCTTCTGCTATGTCAATAAAAGTCTAATTATTTGTAAGATACTATTAGTGTTTTTTATCGTTTTAGAATGGTGAAAATTTATAAAAGAAAAACAAATAGAGGAGATTGGTCAGAAGAGAGCATGAGGAATGCGGTGGACTCCATGGTACAAGGCAAAACGGGTTACTGTAGAAATAAAAGTGAAGATGGTTCGTGAAAGCTTTAAAGAATTTTTTTTTAGAAAACGAGGAAAACCCGGTATTATAACTTCATCGTCATATAAAAACAATTAGAAGAGACGATTAAAAGAAAGAAACTGGCAAAGTAAAATAAGCAAAATAAAAAAGGCATAAGAAAACTAAAGAAAACCGAAAGAAAATCTCCGGTTAATAAAAAAAAGTAACCAAAAAGAAAAAGGTATCTAAGGTTAGCTCATCAATACAGAGCAGCGATAGTTAAGTTGAAAATACACCATGTTTGTATTGTAATGGTTGTTATTTGAAGTCAAATGAAGGCTGGGCAGCATGTTCTGCATGCTGCAACTGGGTTCACTGTAACTGTGCTGGTATAGATGACGAAGATGAAGATGCGACATTTGTTTGCGAATTATGTCAACAAAAATAAACGGATTTTTGCAAACCCCCATCTTGCCCCTTACGGGTCTTACCCGAGGGAGGGGGCAAGATGGGGACATATGACTTTTTCTACTTTTTGCCAATTTTCTATTTAATAACGGATCCTATGTTTCCAATTAGACTATTGAGTTATATATATGTTAAAATATATCAAGCCGTTTAGGCTATAGAGCGTGCTAAAGAAATAGACATATATACATATATACTCTCGAAAAACATTACCCACCTTATGGTGCAGTCGAGTAATTAAAAAAACATTTCGCTTTAAAACGCAAGCCATGTAAAACCACGCGTTAAGGTTGTCAATCACAGAAGTGTACGAATGTGAATATTTGCTACGCGATAACTGCAGAGGCAACTCATTATGTAAGATTTGGTCTTATTTGTTGATTGTTTTTGCATGTAGTTCACGATGTGCAAGCATTGTGATCTTGTGAAAGTTATACAGGAGGATCGAAAATTATTTTAAATTTAATTATCTCTGTGATAGATTAGAATGTAAAGGAAATAATATTTAGGAAATTCAAAAGGATAATAGTAGGCAAAATTATTACTTCCAGCTCGTTTCGTACACACGGGTACGGCCGCAGCGCACAGTAACTTTTTCGTGTAACCGTCATCATAGGTCATCATCAACGGATTAAAAAGGGGCATGCTAAATGGGGGGAAGAAGAATGTAAGCATCCGTATGGAAAATATTGTAAGGGGCTAGGTTTTTACTGTACAATCATAATTATAATCTACACAGCATACAATCACAGTGCAGGAGTGTGTGCGCAAGCACAGGTGCACTCTCAAGTTCCTCACTCTCATAGTCCGATGTGACAGTAATCCGACACTATCGGAGAGACATCAGGCGCAAGAGACTAAGGGCTTTACGTGCTTTCCGAGGCACTTGAGTGAAATACAGCATATTAATAGTATTGAAGCGTCAGTAGCCTAATGGCAGGGCGCGGACTGCGAACTCGAAAGGTCGTGGGTTCGAATCCGCCATTCGACTACTGTCGTGAACAACTTCTAACACAAGCATTTTCAGCTTACCAGAAGTGGTTAAAGGGAATATTAGTAATGTTTAATGGCATTATTAGTATTTTTATTTTTTTTAAAAAAAGAGAAAATAAATAGAATTCAAATGTCACATCAATCAATGCCCCTAGAAGATATTATAATGAAATAAAAAATAAATTACTTGAATGGTTTAAGATTTATTTAGAGGAAAAGCCATGAAAAATTTTAGAAAGTACAAAAAAAAAACAAAAATAAAAAAAACATGTGTGCAGTTCACACGCGGCAGAAGTGAATCCTCCACAAAACTAAACTTGGAGAGAATGAGACGAATGCAGAGTATCAGAAATAGGATGATTGTAGGGCTTATATATTAGGCCCATATTATATCTAAATTAGCAAGCAGACTTAATGATTTCTTATATTTACGCGAACACTACACATTTTTAAATAAAACTAATTTTACGGATTTTATCGCGTATATTAACTTATTGTTATATTCCCGACGTTTCGGGTGCTTTCCAGCACCCGAAACGTCGCAAACTTAGTTCTACAGCATATGCTGTAAGAAAGATTAGAAGTCTCACAGATGTTGAGACAGCTAGATTAGTGTATTTTAGTTACTTTCATAGCGTAATGTCTTATGGAGTTTTGCTATGGGGTAATGAGGCTGATATTGAAGCTATATATATATTTGTTTTGCAAAAGAGTGCCGTACGGGCGATTTATAATCTAAATTGTAAAGAGTCCCTCAGAGAAAAATTTAAAGAAATAAACATATTAACTTTGGCATCGCAATATATTAATGAGAATGTAATGTATGTGCATAAAAACATAAATAGCTTTAATAAGAATAAGGATGTGCATACTTTAAATACTAGGAACAAACATAAGCTTGTAATGCCAGTTACTAGACTCCACAGAATTTTCAGTAATTCATTTATGGGACAATGTATACGCTTTTACAACAAAATCCCAGAACATATTCAAAGTTTGTCAATAAACAAGTTTAAAAGTTTTATTAAAGAAAAACTGTACAAAAAGGGTTATTATAATATCAAGGAATACATGGTTGAAAATAACCCCTGGGAATAGGGTGATCGCCACCATGCTGGTTCTATAAAAAATCATTTAAAAATTGTATAAACAAAATTATTGTTAAGTGAAATTATGTTTTAAAAAAATGTCCCGCTGGGTTTCTTGCTGGTTCTTACCAGGACTGAGGTATTTTCTGAACCAGTGGTAAATAAAAAATGACTTTCAATAAGTATTATGTAATAATCAATATTGAATAAAAAAATATTCTATTCTATTCTAATTATTCTATTATAATATTGTTGCTAAGTTTAAAAATTATTTCACATTTTAATCTACATATTATACATTCATACTCCAAGTTTTCAATTTCATCATCATAAGTACTTAAATATTTTCTAATCAACCAATTAAGTTCTTAATCATGAGATTACTCATGTGAACTACATGCGTAATCTCACTCTCGCGCTGGCTAAATCCTATAGATGTACCTATATGTTTATCTCTATCTAGTGTCAACGATTCTAAAGAAGTTTTCACTTCAAGAATCTAAATGTATTTAACTCTCGTGTCCAATAGCTGAGTCGCCTAGCCGCAGGTCATCACTTCGTCTACAACCCTTCCCAACCTTTTTTTTTATAGGATGAGGTTGACAAACAGCACACAGTCCAACTGATGGTAAGTGGTTACTGTGGCCCATAGACATCTACATCTTTATTCGATTACGAATCAAATTGCAGATGAGTTGTCACCCGTGAGGGCTAAGATGGAATGCCTCATTTCCAATAAAACGGTCTCCGGTTCTCTACACTCACCTTACCAAACACAGCAGCATTATTCTGCTGTGTCATGCTGTTATTCTGTGAGAGCGCGGTCCTACTGCGGTCGAGCCGAACCATTCAATTGCAGCTATACTATACTTATATATACGCGTGACTTTATCACTTAGAAATTATCAAATAGTTCTTAAATGAAGTCAAAAAAAGGCTTTTTAAATTTAAAAAAATAATTATAAATTTAAAAAACGGCCTGTATCCAGCATACCATATAATGTATATAAAAGCTGTTATCATGCGCATCACTGTGACTTACTTTGCTGGTAGTTTGATGGTTGTTCATTTAAATGGGTGGAGAAACGACCCTAGCTACACAAATAAAACTCCTTCGTAATAAATTAAAATAATACAATTAATGATAGTGTGAATACTTTTATAAGATTGAATAGTTTTTAGTGACAAAAATATAGGTACTTGAATAAAATGAAGCATCATGTTCAAGCAAGACCGGGACACACGCGTGTACAATGGACTTTAGCTATATTAGGTAAATAATTAAGTATCTAAAGTTTAATATAAAAAAAATATAGCGGCCTATAGTCGATACAAATGTTTTTATACAGAACCACGCTGCAGCTATACTCGTATTATGGGTTGCACCACGGCTCGACTGGAGAAGGATCACATGTTCTCACAGAATACAAGCGTGAAATAGGACTATTAAAAGAGATAAATAGATAGATGTAGAGCATTAATGCTGCTGTGTCTCGCGTATTCTGAGTAAAGATAACCGGGATCCCTTTTTAGTAGTAACGAGGTATTCTATCTTAGTCCTCAGGGGTGATAACGCCTCACTATAGATGCAGGTGACCTGCATCTTGAATAATGCCAAATGGTGATCCCAAGCCGTGGAAGCTTGAATACTTTTTACGTCACTGGAGCATATTTTCAGAATTGGCAATTTAAACATGGATACTCAGACTTTAAGTCTCTGCTTTTTAGAATTAAGTGACGGGGAAATTCCAAAACTGATCGCATGGTTTCCGATAGCGATAGTATAACCATCTCATATTATGTACTAAATGTAAAATACCCAAACTACTTAAGGGGAACACTGCATAAAAGGTATGAGACGTCTAGTTTTGCGATCGCTAATTCGTTTTCCAAGCACTCACGTGAGAAATAGGCCGCTAGATTATGACTTTCTCTTTTTTTCTCCATTTTCTATTTAGATTCTGTATAAGCATAAGCAGTAGTTCCTAAGGCCGCAATATCATATAATTTGTAAATTTACAGCAAATTCAACTTTAATATTTTACGGCATGGAGTCAGGTTGGATGTCGCCAATGACTAAAGTGCTACAATCTGAAGAGTCTCCAGTTGGAGCTCCCATTTCGGATAATACAATCTCTTTGATAGCAAGCATTTTATGTTTCACTGCTACTATCACTACGTCTATATACTCCTACATAGCTGACAATTTCGGACGAAAACCCGCTGTGATAGCTGTGGCTGTACCACAAGCGGTAAGATTCAACATTTTATTAACTCCTGGTACTTTTTAATACGTAAAAACTTTAAGACTAAGTACAGAAGTTGACTTTTTGATAGGTTTGTAATCTATATATTATAGCGAAATACCATTCACTCACTCACTCATCACGAGATCTCCAAAATTATACATCCAATTGACTTGAAATTTGGCATTCCACTCCTTTCTCGACGTAGACACTCACTGAGAAAGGATTTTGGAAAATTCAATTGAAATAGGGTGTTACAGCTTGTGTATGAATAAGACCATGCTAAACGGGTGAAGAGGAGCAGAGTCAAAGCTAATAGACATCTGGTACTAAAGTCGCCAATCCTCGCAACAAACGTGACTAACTGCAAATTATTCCCACATGGTAGAGACCCACGAGCAGTGGAATTCAACGCACTAATAGACAAGAAATTTTACCGAATAAACTGGCGATATATTGAAGATGGGCAAAATTAACAGTATTGTTGATTGACGAGCATGTAACATAACATAACACACAAAAAAGCGAGTAAGGTGCGTCAAATGAAAGTCTGGAAAGTCTGAGTGACAGGTGTGGTAGTTTATATATGTAGGTATGTAAAAAGAACTAACTGTTACCGTCACAGTTACAGCATAATAGAATCCGCTGCTGAACATAGACCTCTGCCATAGATTGTCTTATAGGGGGATATTTGCCATAGCAACCGCAGTTTTTTATTCTTAGTCGTTATTAGGAAGATCCCATCCTGACTCGCTTCCCTCTGTCGCCTCGTAGGACACTCACGGGATGATATAGGGTAGTGGATATTCCTACACCGCCACTGAAGAAAAGGTATGCATATATTAAAGCATAGAAGTATTAGGCTTAGGAAGTATTAGGTGTAATTACTCTAAGTATTAAAGTATATTATTATTATTATCCTCCTTTTCTGACTAGAAGCCCGTCTGGGAAGTACCACCGTCTTACGTATTTCTGCCGCTAAATATCAGTGCTTGCACTTCTACGAGGGCGACACTAAAAGTTTTTAGAACTGGCCACTTGTAATCGATATAATAAAAAAATAAGTTCAAATTTTGAAAATGGAACTCTTTGCAAATATTATTGTGTATTTATTTTATTAATTTATCATTTGTTTACGATTTGGCGGCAAATTGAAAATTGTCTGTGTCACGTCAGCATCAATTTAACGCGAAAAAATGTTCGTACAATGATTTTTTTATTACTTTCGATGTCATTTAAAACAACAAGAAAGTTATGATAGACAACTGGTTTAATGAGTTTAAACGTGGTTACACTAATTTCACCGATGATCTGCGTGAGGGATGGCCTTCTACGGCGACGACTGAAGATAACATCAGCGTTGTGCGGCGTGTGATAGAGACTGACAAAAGAGTGACTTATCAGTAGATTCGGACAAGCTTAGGCATCGGTATGAGTCAAGTGCACAAAATCCTCCATGAACATTTAGCGGTCAGGAAGTTTTGTGCCTGGTGGATACCTCATAATTCGACAGAGGCCAAAAACTCCGTCGTGTTGATTGGCGTCGTGAAATGGTTTATGGATTTAACGGAGGTGACTCAAATGCTGTGTTCGACATACTTACGGGTGACGAAAGCTGGATTTATTGTTATGATCCAGAAACTAAAACACAGTCTGCTGTCTAGGTGTTTCCTTCCGAGGTGTTGCCAGCTAAAATGAAGAGAGGTCGAAGCGTGCGAAAAAACATGGTGGCCTCGTTCTTCGTAAGTACAGGTTATTACGCAACAATTGTTTTAAAGGATCGAAAAACAGTTACTGCAGGGTGGTACAATAACAATTATTTGCCACTTGTCTTGAAAAAGTTTGGGAGAAATGACCTCGCAGTAGGATCCTCCTTCATCACGACAACGCCTCGTCGCACACCGCCAAGCAAACATTCGACTACGTGGCGACGTCAGACGTGGAATTACTGGGTCACCCGCCCTATAGCCCCGACCGCGCACCTTTCGATTTTTATTTATTTCCGAAAATAAAATAAAAACTTCGAGGAAAACGTTTTATAGACGACGAGGATGCAGTGGCTGCAATTCAAAATGCCGTCGAAGAGACCCCTAAGGACGAGTGGACAAAGTGCTTTTCTCAGTGGTTCCTTCGGATACAGCGATGTATTGATGTAAATGCATACTATTTTGAAAATATATAATAAAACTAATAACTTGCTAGTTTGTTCAGTTTTTGACTTTTGAAGAAGAACTTTCAGTGTCACCTTCGTATGTTCCGCTATGACGGGTATAGAGAGCCCGTATAATTAAAGGGTATGCGGCGTTAGTCAAAGGTGACAACGCATCTGCAGCCTTCTTTGTGTGAAGTTGGCTGCCGGTGCCCATGGACTGCGGGAGCCACTTATCATCAGGTGCACTCTAAATTCGTTTGTCATTTCAGTTTACTAAAATAACAAACTTAGTTTCAAAAATTCCAACTTCTCCTCCATTATTGCGAACCGCAAACTTTTGCCTATTTCTTGTTTTATATTTATCAATCTTGTTTTATAGTTAGCATGGATATGCAAACTATCTACATCAACCACAGCAGGACTCATGGCCGCCCGAGCACTGAACGGCTTTGCTGCGGGGGGTTGCTTTACCATTGTACCAATGTACGTAAAGGAGATCAGCCAGGATGACATCAGAGGACTTCTGGGCTCTTTGCTGATCATGGGCCAGAACTTGGGGATATTTATTATGTATGCAATGGGAGCGTATCTGGACTACTACTTAGTTCTCTGGATTGTCTTCTCCTTGCCGCTAGTGACTGCTATTCTGATGTTAAAGGCTCCGGAATCACCAGCGTATTTGGTGAAGAAGGGCCAATTTGAGGTGTGTACCTAGAGTATGATAGAATAGAATACTTTTTATTCCATACTAGCGCCCCACCCCGATTTCACTCGGATCTATTAATGTGACATTATTAAAATTTAAGACAAGCATCCAGTTTTACAATTCAAAAAAAATCTCCAAGTTTTTTGAATAAGATATAGTATAATATGGTATGCCGTGTAGTGGCGGTTAAGGATATCCACTACCCCATATCTTCCCGTGGGTGTCGTAAAAGGCGACAAAGGGAAATAGGCAGGAGATGGGCAGCAGCATCTTCCTGATAACAACAAACTTACAATAAAAAACTGCGGTTGCCAACCCGCTCGCCAAGCGTGGCGACTGTGGCAAATACCCTCCTATGAATGACAGTAACAAAGAAACGGCCCCCAGTCCCCGGCGGCACCGCTATTCCTGGCTAAGGTGGCGACCATGGTAACGGCGGGGCAGGGGGTGCTAAGAATCTCCGGTGGAGGTTCGGTTGCCACCTAAGACGATTCGACCTGACAACATACAACGCACGCACCCTGAGGACTGACGAGAAGATCGTGGAGCTGGAAGAAGAGATAGACAAGTTACGCTGGCATATTATAGGGTTATCCGAAGTCCGAAGAGAGGGGGAGGACACGGTGATCCTCGAATCCGGCAACTTGCTCTATCACCGGGAGGGCGACCATCTGTCCCAAGGAAGTGTCGGATTTATCGTCCACAAGTCTCTCGTTAACAACGTTGTAAAGATTGAGAGTGTGTCGACGAGGATTGCGTACCTTATACTCAGAATCACCAAACGGTATTCGCTGAAGATCATACAGGTTTACGCACCAACCTCGGCACACCCCGATGAGGAGTTGGAGGAAATGTATGAGGATATCTCTAGGGCCTTGCATTTCTCCAAAACCCAATATACGATGTTAATGGGAGACTTCAATGCAAAACTAGGCACAAGAGAGAACGGTGAGTTGAAAGTAGGGAAATTTGGAATAGGGCAACGGAACCCAAGGAGCGAGCAGCTGGCCAACTTCATGGAGAAAGAGGGACTCTTTATGATGAACTCTTTCTTCCAGAAGCGGCCTCACAGGAAGTGGATCTGGCCGAGCCCCGACGGTTCCACAAAAAATGAGATTGACTTCATTATAACGACCAGACGACAACTGTTCAGTGATGTCTCCGTGATCGCGAGGATGGCAACTGGTAGCGATCACCGAATGGTTAGAGGCGCACTGAACCTAAACGTTGGAGAGGTCTCGTCTAATGAAGTCAACGCTCCGTCTCCCTGGTGCTCTGTTCCATAGTCCTGAAACCTTTCAGCTTGAGTTACAAAACCGTTTTCAGTGCCTAAAAAACTGCCATGAAGTGGACGATATGAATGACAAGCTCGTGGAAACTGTCCATGCGGTCGGAGCTAAGTTCTGCAAGACCCGCCGCAGAAGAACACAAAAACTCTCCGATCACACTCTCAATCTCATGGCTGTTAGACGAGAGATGAAGCTACATTCTTTAACAGATTTGACAGCATACAGGCAACTGAACAGACATATCTCCAAATGTATGCAGCTGGACTTACGCAACTTCAATACAGCTCGTATTAAAGAAGCAATCGAGCGGAACCAAGGCTCCAAAGTCTTTGCCAGAGATCTGTCTGCCGGAAAGAACTGAAAGAAAGCTGAAGACCGAGTGTGGCAGCATCGTTTCCGAGGCACCTGAGATTTTGAGTGAGATTGAGAGGTTCTATGGGCAGCTTTACACGTCATCGTTGGAGCCACACGCAAGTGTGAGTAACGATCTAAGAGCGAGTCTAGTCCGACACTATTCCGAAGATATCCCGGACGTCAGTCTGAGCAAGATTAGAATGGCTCTCCAGCACCTTAAAAACGGAAAGTCCCCGGGCGATGATGAAATTACAGAGGAGCTTCTGAAAGCGGGTGGAGTAACGGTACTTGAAGTCCTTCAGAAGCTCTTTAATTCCGTCCTCCATGGTGGCATTACACCGGAGGCGTAGAGCAGAAGTGCGGTGGTCTTGTTCTTCAAGAAAGGTGACAACGCTCTCTTGAAGACCTACAGACCGATTTCCCTTCTGAGCCGCGTCTACGTGCTGTTTTCGAGAGTCATTACGAATCGTCTCGCGCGCAGACTTGACGACTTCCAGCCTCCCGAACAAGCCGGTTTTAGCACCATAGACCACATACATACCCTTCGGCAAATTGTACAGAAGTCGGAAGAGTAATATTTGCCACTATGTCTGGCGTATGTGGACTATGAGAAATCCTTTGATTCCGTCGAAATTTGGGCGGTGCTGCAGTCCCTTCAGCGATGCCAAGTTGACTGTCGGTATATCGAAGTGCTGAAGTGTTTGTACAGTAGATCTACGATGGCTATCCGAGTACAGAACCAGAGTACCAAACCTATACAATTGCAGAGAACTGTAAGATAGGGTGACGTTATATCCCCGAAACTCTATACCGCTGCATTGGAAGACGTTTTCAAGCTTCTGGACTGGAAAGGATACGGTATTAACATCAATGACGAGTACATCACTCACCTTCGATTTGCCGACGATATAGTCCTTATGGCAGAATCGCTGGAGGACCTCAATAGTGTTTCCCAACTGATAGGTCTTAAGATGAACATGGACAAAACAAAGATCATGTTTAATGTCCATGTCACACCTATGCCGGTAGTTGTTGGGAGCACTAAGCTCGAAGTTGTTGACGAGTATGTTTACCTGGGACAAATAGTCCGACTAGGTAAGTCCAACTTCGACCGAGAGGTCAATCGACGGATTCAACTCGGCTGGGCAGCGTTCGGGAAACTACGACACATCCTCTTGTCAGACATACCTCAAAACCTTAAAACGAAATTGTACAACCAGTGCGTGTTGCCGGTGACGACTTACGGATCTGAGACGTGGTCCTTCACTGCTGGCCGTATGAGGAAGCTCAAGGTCGCTCAGCGAGCTATAGAGAGGGCTATGCTCGGGGTTTCTCTGCGTGATAAACTTAGAAATGAAGATATCCGCAGTAGAACCAGAGTAACCGACATAGCCCAACGGATTAGTAAGCTGAAGTGGCAGTGGGCCGGCCGTATAGCTCGAAGAACCGACAACCGATGGGGAAGAAAGTTTCTTGAGTGGCAGCCTCGTACCGGTAGGCGAAGTGTAGGGCGACCCCCCACGGGATGGAGTGACAACCTGGTAAGACATGCAGGAAGTCGATGGATGCAGGTGGCTCAGGACCGTGCTTTGTGGCATTCCTTGGGGGAGGCCTATGTTCAGCAGTGGACTTGTGAAAGGCTGTAATGATGATAATATGGTATTGCTCTCTCGTTCCTCGCTCTCCGACTGCTCGACAAGATCCATTTCAATCAGACGGATTGTTTTAAATTGTTATCGTGTCTTAATAGCATGCAAATAAACCCCTCAGCTCAATAAAAGGTAGTTATTTCTATATTACACTCGGACACTTCAATTTTATTTATATGTATAAATAGATTAATTCATGACACTTGGAAAATACCTCTGTTCTGATAAGAGAACCAGCAAGTAAACGAGAGGGATTATTTTTCTAAACATAATATTTCGCAATAATATTGTACAATTATTTATAGAAATAATAGAACCAGCATGGTAGCGATCACCTCAATCCCCATGCTTATTTTCAGTGACGTATTCCTTAAAATTATAATAACCCTTTTTATACAGTTTTGATAAATGACATTTTTTAAATTGATTGATTGACAAACATTGATCATTTTCTAGGATTTTCTTTGCAAAGCGTATACATTGCCCCCATACATAAATTATTAATTCCGAGGAGTCTTGGTACTATTATATTATCATTATGAATATAATAGTATCGTAGACATAAGAGAGCCTGCGCAAAACCTTCTTATATAACCTATTCTGTTGTAAGTCGTGGTAGGTCAGGGGCTAACTGTAAATTTCTTAAAACACAAACAACCACGTGCTCGGCGGTGAAGGAAATCGTCGTAAGGAAACCTGCACATGTCTAAAGAATATAATATTTTGAGAAGATCTGAAGTCTGCCACTGGGCCCCGGAGCAACGTGGCAGACTAATTGCTCTATAACGCTCGACTATGACATATACGAGCTCGTATATACACTATTGTAACTTTACTACATTGTTCTGGCACATGTGTGATATTTTTTTTACTGTTATTTTTTTATAAGAATTGGAAAATATTGAGAAAGATTGAAACAGAAAATCCTAATTCAATTTAACTTTAAAAATAAATTATCTCTAGATAACTAATTATTTATTTATTTTTATAATATAGTGGTGGCAAACGAGCACACAGTCCACCTGGTGATAAGTGGATGCTGTGATATATATTCTCGATTAAGAATCAAAATGCAAAATGCGTTGTCACCTCTGGGGACAAGATGGAATGCCTCGTTACCAGTAAAAACGGTCTCCGGTTCTCTACACTCACCATATTAAGCTTCTGTGTTTGATATGGTGTGCTATGCTAATACTGTGCTGGTATTCTGTGAGAGCGTTGTTCTTCCCCGGTCGAGCCGACGGATTCGTTCTACAACCATAAAATAGCTGCAGGGTGACTCTACCACGTAAAAATTATCCTATTTTATCCATGTATAATAATTAACTTTCAGTTAGCAGCGAAGACCATAGCTTTCCTCAGAGGTCTGGAAATTGATGACAAAATTGTACAAAAAGAAGTCGACATCATGAGGGATCAAGAATTTTTTTTCCAATCGTTACCGAAAATTTCTTTCTTATCTATATGTAAGTATACGGAATATAATTGCCAAGTTTGGTACAAATTTCGCCGAAAGAGTTTACATGTGAACGGATGCCAAGCTCCATAGCAGTTAATTTTTTTTTACCGCCATACTGGATTTTCTCCAGGATCACGATTTACATACATAAGTGTCATAATATTAAATTGAAAATTTAGAAAACCCCCGAAACAAAAAGAGCTGATGATCTTCAAACGTCAACGGCAGAAAAGATATGAATCATAGCTAAGAACGAACTCGCGGCTATTAGCGCTGCAAGTCGTCGCTAAACCACTGCGCCACGGAGCCGTCAGAGTTCTAGTTCCAGTGGGTGGGCGCAGTTAGCTGAGGACCGTACATTGTGGCAATGCACGGGGAGGTCTACGAGTATGTTTACAAGTAAACTTATAATAGGGTATAGTACTCGTAGAAATAGTCTTTATTTGCAACAATAGCATTTAGATCGTTTATATAACATACTAGAATCCTTTGCGGGATCAGGCACAACAACTTACCGAAGTTACATAGTAATCGGGTGTATGGCATAGAAGACGAACAAACAAACAAACTAGCAAATATTCATTTTTAATAAATAAAATACCAATCAAATAGAAGCCCTACGCAGGGAGACCAAATAGCCGAGGGTTAAGTTTTATTTTTATTATTACCATTACAGTTACAGCCTATTAAAGTCAACTACTGAACATAGGCCTCCCCATACATTGAAGGGGGTTGGCAACCGAAGTTTTTTTAGTTTTAGCTGTTATTAGGTAGACACTGCTGCCCATTTACTGATTTGTTTCCCTCTGTCGCCTCTTACGACACCCACGGGACGATATTGGGTAGTGGATATTGTTACATTTTTTTTATAGGAGAGGGGGCAAACGAGCATGCGGCTCACCTAATGGTAAGTGACTACCGCCGCCCATGAACAACTGCAACATCAGGAAGGGAATTGCACATGCGTTGCCGGCCTTTTAAACAGGAGTACGCTCTTTTCTTGAAGGTCCCTAAGTCGTATCGGTCCGGAAAAATCGCTGATGGTAATCGATTCCACAAGGTAGTCGTGCGAGGAAGAAAACATTTTCTAAATCGCACAGTGGTGAACCACCAATCATCCAGATGGTGTGGATGGTATCGGGAGGTCTGCCGCGATGTGCGTTCCTGAAATTTGGCTGCTGGGATTAATCCGAACAATTCCTCAGAGCACTCCCCATGGTAGATGCGAAAGAAAATGCAAAGGGATGCAACATCTCTTCGCAGTGCCAATGAATCGAGCCGAATGGAAAGGGCTCGATCGAAATTTACACCTGTATTTACCATGTTTGATGCAAATAAAAGTTTTGAATCTTTGAATCTTTGATCGTCGACGATTCGGGCCGCTCTGCGCTGGATGCGGTCAAGTGGAAGGAGCTGGCACTGGGGAGCCCCTGCCCAGAGATGGTAACAGTATTCCATGTGAGGCCGAACCTGCGCCTTGTAAAGTTGCAGGCGGTGTGCCGGCATGAAATACTGTCCCGCTCTGCTAAGCACGCCAAGCTTTTAAGAGGCCAATTTGGCCTTGTCTTCCAAGTGACAACGAAACTGCACGTCACTCGATATGTCGACTCCGAGGATACCGATACTGGCTGAGGCAAGAAGGGGAGTGCCTTGAAACTGAGGAGATACGACAAAGGGGTTCTTTTTAGCGGTTAACGCGCAAACTTGTGTCTTCTGAGGATTAAACTGGACTAGATTTAGTCGCCCCCAATCCGAGACTTTGTTCAGCAAAGACTCGACTTCAGACACAAGTTTGTTGTGGTACTCGGCGACGTTTTCCCGAGAAATATTGGCACGGCCGGTGTATAGAGCATCACCAGTGCTGTCATCCGCATAGCAATGAATGTTACCAGTTAGCAACATATCATTGATATGCAGAAGAAACAGCACACAGCCATGTGGAACACCAGCGTTAATAGGCTTGTAGTCAGAACATGCACCGTCTACAACGACCTTGATGCTCCGATCTCCAAGGAAGCTGGTGATCCAATTGCACAATTTTTCGGGAAGCCCATAAGAAGGGAGCTTCGAAAGAAGCGCTTTGTGCCAAACCCGATCGAAGGCCTTCGCAATGTCCAGACTAACGGCCAACGCCTCCCCCTTGGACTCTACTGCCTCCGCCCATCTATGGGTCAGGTAGACCAGAAGATCACCAGCTGATCGACCCCGACGAAAACCGTATTGGCGGTCACTAATCAGCTGGTGATCCTCAAGGTACCGGATGAGCTGGCAGTTAATAATGGATTCCATTATTTTGGAGAACAAGGAGGTGATCGCGATAGGCCTATAGTTGAACGGGTCTGAGCGGTCGCCTTTTTTAGGGATCGGGTGGACAAAAGCTGTCCCACTCGACTTCTGGATGTCCAGAGAGAGAAGTGTTGTGCGTTGTGTGTAGTGTTTTGCGAACCGAGCGCTGTGAGAACAGCACATCCGGCATGGAGCACTCAAACCGCGGGATGGTCGGCGGTGCATACCCCCCGTCATCAAGAGTCGAGTTGGATGCAAAGAGGGAACCTAAAAGGTCGGCTTTGTCTTTTGCGTCTTGGGCCAGTGAGTCGTCCTCCCTGTGCAGAGATGGTAGTGATGGCTTACAGAAATTCCCTTGCACAGCCTTGGCGAGAGACCAGAATGCACGGGTTCCCGAAGGAAGGCGAACTAGTTTCTCGCCAACTCTGCCTATGTGCTCTGACTTTGCCTTGGCAATAACTCTTTTGAAAAACCTGGAGGCGAAGTTATACTTCTTTTTAAGTGTGCTGGTGTTTACATCTCGAGTCACTGAAGCCGCAGCCCAGGCTTGATAACACTCCTGTTTACTGCTTATGCAGTCTTACAGGAGCGACCAAACCAAGGCTGAGATCTGTCTCCGATGGGTACCACAGATGATGGAATAAATAGTTCCATTCCCTGTATCACCACATCAGTGACAGAGTCAGCAACAGCACTGGGATCATCCGGCGAGAAGCAAACCCGCCCCCATGGGTAGGAAGCAAAGAAAGACCGCATTCCGTCCCAATCCGTCGACCTGTAATGCCAGACACGGCGGATACCTGCAAAACGCAACCGCGAGGGGAGCGTGAGTGGCACCACACTCCGAATCAGACAATGGTCCGAAGAGCCGAGAGGGGAGGGGGAAACCTGATATCCGTCCGGATGAGAGGTCAGCAGAAGGTTCAACAGGGAAGGTGTATGGTCCTTCACATCTGGAATCTGCGTAGGCGTAGTAACCAGTTGTGTCAGACCATATGCCAAGGCAAAGTCATAAACAGATCCCCCCGCATGATCGGTTAAACGTGAACCGAGCCATTCGGCGTGGTGGGCGTTAAAATCGCCAAGGATCACGATCTCTGCGGATGGGACCTGTTGTAGCAAGGAATCTGTAGCCATTTGGACGTGGTCGATGAGTCGGTCTGTTTCAGCATTACCGCTATGGGACCTATAGAGGCACCCGTAGACACGCGGATGGTCGTCGCTGTCTACGCGTAGCCAAAGGATGGACAGGTCCGAACCTTCAAGACTGCCGAGGCGTCGAGAACAGATGTCCTCTCTGACATACACGCAAACTCCAGCCCGAGGCACAAAGGAGTGCTCCAATTTGTACCCCGGGTAGGAGAGTTAAGAAATATCAGCCGGAGAGGAAACCTGCGTCTCGTTCAGAAAGAGCAAGGCCGGCTTCGCCGTCTCGAGATGGTAGTGGACGGCGTTTAGGTTAGAGTGAAGTCCCCTGATGTTGCCGAAATTCACGGATAGCGTGGCAGGGGTCGCCTTGGCATTGTTGCTCAGTTTAACCCGAGCAGTTATGTTTTTGAGCGGAATTTTGCGCCCCCCAGAATACGTGGGGCAGCCTGAGCACCCACGCTCAGGACTGGAATAACATGGTCGTGGATGCTCAGCGAGGGATTCTCCAGGGGTACTGGTACCCTCCTGGGGTAGTCTATCGTGTAATTCCGTTACCATGTTGATGGGGGGGGGGGGGGGGGAATTGGGCCTCCGGCCACCTGCACTCACCAGACGAAACGCAGAAACAGAGCTTCTACTTCACGCCGGTATTCTGTGAGGTCGTGGTACCAACCCGGCTCGAGCCGGCCCATACGTGCAACAGCAAAAACTGCTGCGTGGCTCTACCACCGTTCGTTACATCGCCACGACACGGTAACTACACGGTTTTTATTATTACAATAAATATTTACAGTACGAAACAGAAACTGGCGGCATAGCGTCATCCTCAATGTCTCAATCATAGCTTTTCAAGCGTCCAACGGAGTGTTCGCTATCATCAGCTACGGTGCCAGCACCTTGGCCGCCAGTGAAGTCAAGCACAGCATCAGCCCGGAGTTGCAGACGCTGAGCTTTCCTGTTGTGATGATTATAGGGTCTTTCGTCTCCATGGGCTGCGTGGAAAGATTTGGACGTAAGGTGAGCGCTCGCGAAACAAAAATCCTTTTCTGATAATGTTTGTTTGTCCATGACTTTGACTTCAATATAAGTAAAATGAGAACATCATCAATGTAGCCGTAGTCAATTAAATACGCATTATTAAGGATAACTCAAACAATACTCGTCAGATTTTAATCAAATTTATATGGAACCACATGAAAAGCACCAGCATTCAAATAAAAAAAGAATCATCAAAATCGGTTTGAAAAAACCTAGAAAAAAGTTCTGAGGTAACAGATAAAAAAATACAATCGAAGTTAGTACCTCCTCTTTTTTTGAAATCGGTAAAAATATTCATTTAAATACAATAGGTACGTATAACAGTGTCAGCAGGTAGATAAGTACATAGGCTGCACTAAAAGTATCGGGAATGGAATATTTCCACTGTTTCTGTCATATTAAAATCTTTTTAATTGAAAAGTCCTTAGTTTTAAAAATCGAATACCATTTATTTATTTAAAAAAAGATTCTCGGTCTTGTCACAAGGTTTTGTCAAACTTGTTTAGTCGTTGAGAGAATGGAATTGACTCGAGAAAATTCAAGAGCGATGATTTATTATGACTTTCGAAGTGGTTTAACACAAAAATAGTGTGTTGACCGGATGATTTCCGCATTTGGTGATGAAGCCCCATCCAAAACCACAATTTATCGCTGGTTTTCTGAATTTCAACGTGGACGTGTCAAGCCCAGTGATGATCCCCGTCAAGGTCGTCCAAAAACTGCAGTCACCCAAGAAAACGTTGATGCTGTGCGTAAGCTGATTGAGGAAGATCAACATGTGACATACCGCGAAATTCAGGCAACTTTAGACATTGGCATGAGTCAAATACAAATAATCTTTCATGAACAATTAGGTGTAAAAAAGTTGTTTTCCCGATGGATACCGCATTCGCTCTGTGAAGAGCAAAAAGCGGCTCGCGTTACTTGGTGCGTCAGAACTCTCGAAAGATTCCACGCAGGATCCTCAAATGCTGTATACAACACCGTATCAGGTGACGAATCCTGGATATACGCGTACGAACCCGAAACAAAAAACCAGTCACGAGTTTGGGTGTTCGAAAATGAGTTAAAGCCAACAAAAATTGTTCGTTCATGGAGTGTTGCAAAAAAATGGTGGCCACGTTTGTCTCCAAAACCGACCATGTTACGACTATTCCTCTTGAGGGACAAAGAACGGTTAATGCAGAATGGTATGCTAGCATTTGTTTGCTACAGGTCATTTCTGAACTCCGTAAAGAGAACTGCAACCGCCGCATCATCCTCCATCACGACAATGTGAATTCTCACACCGCACACAGAACAAAAGAGTTTTTAGAGCAAGAAAACATACAATTATTAGACCATCCGCCGTACAACCCCAACCTAAGCCCTAATGATTTCTATACTTTCCCTAAAATAAAGAATTTTAAATTGCGTGGACAGAGATTTTCATCACCTGAAGAAGCTGTGGACGCCTACAAAACGGCCATTTTGGAGACCCCAACTTCCGAATGGAATGGTTGCTTCAATGATTGATTCCATCGTATGGAAAAATGTGTCAAATTTCGCGGAGAATACTTCGAAAAGCAATAAATATATTTTTAAATAGTAATGTTGTGTCACTTCCTTGATTCCCGAAATTTTCAGTGCCGCCTCGTAACCTATCTATGTTAATGAATATTGCAATTTTAGTTATTGTATGCCTTATTATTATAGTAACCCATTTTATACATAATATTTTCTTTACTATTATGTTGATTGACATAAATTGAAAAATTTCAGGGATTTTAGCCGACTTTACAAAATAAGTAGGTCCTCAGTTCCAGTGTATGTTTTTTGTATGTACGTTACGCGATAATAAATTGATAGTAACTTAAATAGGTTATACTTCAGGAGTAGTCCCATAGAAATTGTGAGGACACATGAATGTAGACAAAATTCCATCCCAAAGGGTGGCAAAATAGGGGATGAAATTGTCAATATCACTATTCAGACGATATTGAGATTGTGATATTCTTTAGTGCACCCAAAAAGGTAATTAAATTAACTAAACGAATAAAATAATTTCACATCAATTAATGTTTCATTCTGAAGTCGGTGCTGAGACATAGTATATAGAAGGATTAAAGCCCTATTATGCCAGCCTTAATATCATTCCATCATTATGTGAGTACCAAGGCGTATGGTCAATAAAATCTCATCGTAATAAACGCATCCATCTATGCTATTACCTCTTTCAGCCTCTATTAGCGGGAACGCTGCTCATGTCTGCTTGCTCCATGGGTACCCTGGCGAGTGCTATGCTCTTACAGTCGTATGGATTCACCCCGCCAATATGGCTGCCTGTGCTCGCGATGATTGCGTCAGTCTTCGCCTTCGCAGCTGGCGTCGCACCGTTGCCTTTCATTATTATGGCAGAGATGTTTAACTTTCAGGTGAGTCAGGTTTTCCAATCGAAAATTATCAAGATGTTATGTTTTTATTTATTAAAAATAAACGTGTTTACACACACATGCTAGCAGTGAAACCTTTAAATGAAATTAAATATAATATAAAAATATTTCACGGCAAATGATTTATTTAATAAAATAATTTTCAACAACAAGTGCGGCATAAAATATAAGGTACAAGTTTAATTTTATAGCAAACAAGTGTTACAATCCTTATTTTTAGACATGTATACCTCATGACATGCCACATTGAACACACGGTCCATTCAATGATAAATGGATTAGATGAGGGGCCCATAATCATTATGGGTGTCTCATCCATCACCGAGAAGTGAAGTCGAAGGGACAATAGTCACTCGTGGGCTGACGCACATTTGCGCTGGTCCGACGTTCATTGAGTACGTGTTTTGTTTTCCAATGAGTTCGGCTTTAGATTTCACCACAAATCCTCATGAAAGAACACTGATTTGTACCAAGGATAATTCGTGAAGCTATTAAAGTTCAATAACGTCCTTATCTTGTTGCAATGTAGTACAGATGCGAAATCTAGTGATTTGAAGCACACCCCTGCAAGACGTCAAATTCTTTAGGTTTTAGGCGTATACAGGACAGAAATGTTATAAGTGGTAGAGCTACGATGCAGCTATATTATGATTGTAGCACGAACGGGTCGGTTCCACCGAAGAAGGACCACGCTCTCACAGAATACCAGCGTTAAATAGCAGTTCAAAGCTGCTGTGTTTCGTATGGTGAGTATAGAAAACTGGAGACCATTTTTACTAGAAACGAGGCATTCCATCTTAGTACTCAGGGGTGACAACGCATCTGCATTTTGATTCCAAATCGAAGATAAATGTAGATGTATATGGGCCAAAGCATCCGCTTAACATCAACTGGAATGTGTGCTCGTTTGTCGCCCTTATTCTATAAAATCTATATTAAATATATCTTCAGGACGTTGAACACCTCATTTTCCGCACGGCCACTACTCGAAACAATTATAAACTATCTTAAATTAAGCGCGATCAAATGAGTAAAATTAGTTTTACTGCCTCTTTGGTCCAGTGGTCGTAAAAGCGACTGCTCATCATCAGGTCCCGGATTTGAATCCCGGGTCGGACAAAGAATCAGTTATTGAGTTTTTCCGTCAAGAAGTTCTCAGTAGCAGCCCGGAGTCAGGAAATTGTCGGTGGTTCACTTCCGTGCCTCGGAAAGCACGTAAACCCGTGCTTCCTGCGCCTGGTCTCTCTCCGGTCGTGTCAGATAGTGCACCTGTCCTTGCGCATACACTCGTGTACTATAATTGTGTCTTGCGCAGATAGTTAATCTCCGTTGAGACTTTTTTTTTATAGAAGAGGGGGCAAACGAGCATGCGGCTCACCTGATGGTAAGTGACTACCGGCACCCATGAACAACCGCAACACCAGGAGAATTGCAGATGCGTTGCCGGCCTTTTAGAAAGGTGTAAGCTCTTTTCTTGAAGGTTTCTAAGTGCGAGGGAGAAAACTTCTTCTAAATCGCACAGTGGTGGACCGCCAATCATCCAGATGGTATGGATGGTAACGCGAGTTTTGTCGCGATGTGCGATGGTGAAATTGAGCGACTGGAATTAGTCCGAACAATTCCTCAGAGCACTCCCCGTGATAGATGCGATAAAATACGCAAAGAGATGCAACATCTCTACGCAGTGGCAGTGTATCGAGCCGATCAAAAAGAACTCGGTCGTCGACGATTCGAACCGTTCTGCGCTGGATGCGGTTAAGTGGAAGGAGCTGGCACTGGGGTGCCCCGGCCCAGAGATGAGAACAGTATTCCATGTGGGGCCGAACTTGCGCTTTGTAAAGTTGCAAGCGATGTGCCGGCATGAAATACTGTCTCGCTCTGCTGAGCACGCCAAGCTTTTTAGAGGCCAATTTGGCCTTCTCTTCCAAGTGACCACGAAACTGCACACTATTCGATATGTCGACGCCAAGGATTCCGATACTAGCTGAGGCAGCAAGGGGAGTGCCTTGAAACTGAGGAGATACGACAAAGGGGTTCTTTTTAGCGGTAAACGCGCAAACTTGTGTCTTCTGGGGATTGAACTGGACTAGATTTAGTCGGCCCCAATCCGAGACTTTGTTAAGCAAAGACTCGACTTCTGACACAAGTTTGTCCCGGTACTCAGCGACGTTTTCCCGAGAAATATTGGCACGGCCGGTATATAAGGCATCACCAGTGCTGTCGTCTGCATAGCAATGAATGCTACTAGTTAGCAACATATCATTGATATGCAGGAAAAACAGCGTTGGTGATAGCACGCAGCCTTGTGGAACACCAGCGTTAATAGGCTTGAAATCAGAGCATGCACCGACTACTACGACCTTGATGCTCCGATCAGCAAGGAACTGGTGATCCATTTGCACAATTTCTCGGGAAGCCCATAGGAAGGAAGCTTCGAAAGAAGCGCTTCGTGCCAGATCCGATCGAAGGCCTTCGCTATGTCCAAACTAACGGCCAATGCCTCCCCCTTGGACTCTACTGCCACCGCCCATCTATGAGTCAGATAGACTAGAAGATCACCAGCTGATCGACCTTGACGAAAACCGTACTGGCGGTCACTAATCAGCTGGTGATCCTCAAGGTACCTCATGAGCTGGCAGTTTATAATGAATTCCATTATTTTGGAGAACAAGGAGGTGATGGCAATAGGCCTGTAGTTGGACGGGTCTGAGCGGTCGCCTTTTTTAGGGATCGGGTGGACCAAAGCTGTCTTCCATGAATTCAGGACTACGCCTTGGGAGTAGGAGTATCGGAAAAGACGCGTTAAAACCAGTGCCAACTCCGGAGCACACGTCTTCAGCACAATGGGAGGGACTCCATCGGGCCCACTCGACTTGCTAACGTCCAGGGAGAAGAGTGTTTTGCGAACCGAGCGCTGTGTAAACCACACATCCGGCATGGAGCACTCACATCGCGGGATGGTCGGCGGTGTGTTCCCCCCGTCATCTAGAGTCGAGTTGGACGCAAAAAGAGAGCTCAACAGATCGGCTTTCTCCTTTGCGGCATGGGCCAGTGAGTCGTCCTCCCTGTGCAGAGATGGAAGAGATGGCTGACAGAAGTTCCCTTGGACAGCCTTGGCGAGAGACCAGAATGCACGGGTTCCCGAAGGAAGGCGAACTAGTTTCTCGCCAATTCTGCCGATGTGCTCAGACCTTGCCTTGGCAATGACGCTTTTGAATGACCTGGAGGCGGAATTATACTTCTTTTTAAGTGCACTGGTGTTTACATCCCAAGACGTTGATGCGTCAGCCCAGGCCCGGTAACACTCCTGGTTATAGCGTGATGCTATTTTACAGGAGCGACCAAACCATGGCTGGGATCTGCCTCCGATGGGCACCACAGAGGATGGAATAAAACGTTCCATACCCTGAAGTACCACATCAGCAACAGAATCGGTAACAACGCTGGGATCTTCCGGCGAGAAGCAAACCCGCCCCCAAGGGTACGATGCAAAAAAAAAGCCGCATCCCGTCCCAATCAGCTGACCTATAGTGCCAAACACGGCGGCAAGCTGCAGATCGCAACTGCGATTGGAGCGTGAGTGGCACCGTACTCCGGATCAGACAATGGTCCGAAGAGCCCAGAGGGGCATCGACGGAGACCTGATATCCGTCCGGATGAGAGGTCAGCAGAAGGTCCAACAGGGAAGGTACATGGTCTTCCACATCTGGGATCCGCGTAGGCGAAGTAACGAGTTCTGTTAGACCATATGCCAAAGCAAAGTCATAGACAGATCTACCCGCATGATCGGTTAAACGAGAACCAAGCCATTCAGCGTGGTGGGTGTTAAAATCACCGAGTATCACGATCTCTGCGGATGGGACCTGTTGTAGCACGGAGTCTGCAGCCATTTGGACGTGGTCGATGAGTCGGTCTGTGTCGGCATTACCGCTATGGGACCTATAGAGGCACCCGTAGACGCGGGGATGGTCGTCGCTGTCTACGCGCAGCCATAGGATGGACAGGTCCGTACCTTCAAGACTGCCGAGGCGTCGAAAACAGATGTCCTCTCTGACGTATACGCAAACTCCAGCCCGGGGCACAAAAGAGTGTTCCAATTTGTACCCCGGGTAGGAGAGATATGAAGTATCAGCCGGAGAGGACACCTGAGTCTCGGTTAAAAAGAGCAAGGCTGGCTTCGCCGTCTCTAGATGGTAATGGACAGCGTTAAGGTTGGAATGAAGTCCCCTGATGTTGCAAAAATTCACGGATAGCGTGACAGGGGTCGCCTTGGTTGTATTACTCCGCTTGCCCCGAGCAGCATTAGTCGCGAGCGGAATTTTGCCCCCCCCCCCCCCCCCCGCAGAATACGCGGGGCAGCCTGAGCACCCACGGTCAGGAGTGAAGTAGTTTGGTCGTGGATGCTCAGCGAGGGATTCTCCAGGGGTGCTGGTACCCTCCTGGGGTAGTCTTCTATTTAATTCCACTACCATGTTGATGGGGGGAGGGGGGAATTGGGCCTCCGGCCACCTGCACTCACCAAGCGCAACGCAGAGGTAAACCTCTACTTCACGCTGGTATTCTGTGAGGTCGTGGTACCCCAGTTCGAGCTGGCCCATCCGTGCGACAGCAAAAGCTACCGCTTAGCTCTACCACTGCTAAAAAAGAGACTGGCTGCCGTGACCGAAATTCGGTCTGGAGGTCATTATTATTAATATTTAAATTAGTTTCAGTGTTCTGGGTAGGATTCGCGTAAATATTAGATATTTTTTGCAAATTCTAAATTGATCTTTTTTTCTTTCAGATCCGTGCTAAGATGATGGGTCTTGCTGTGACATTTGCGTGGTTCATGACCTTCGTTCAATTGTTTCTATATGCGCCGATTTCCTCATCTTTAGGACCACACTCCACATTTTTCTGTTTTGCTGGAGTCAACCTGTTGGGTTTCTTCGTTACCCTGATTTTCTTACCAGAAACCAAAGGCAAGAGCGACGAAGAGATTGAGGCTGAACTAAGAAAGAAGTAGATGGTGTTAAGCTAAAAATAAAATTGTTTTATTAAAGTTATATGAAACTCTATGGAATATTGAATAAAACAGATTTTGAGATATTTGAATATACAGGATTGCTTTGCAATAACTGGCCAAATTTGCAGAGAAGGTTTAGAATAAGTAATAATACTTATTCAGGCAAACGGAGAAGAAAAATTAATTAAAAAAATCTCAAACATTCTGTCCTTTTTATCTTTTAAATTCAAAATGCGTGGTAATGTATCTTAATCTATTCATAAGTATCTATTTCACTACGCACACACACATTCGTGAGGGTCGATCGGTGAGCAAAAACGTAGTAAATTGAATCGCACACAGAGGAGCGCACATACGCGTAGTAGTTATATAATATCACATTCAGTTTTCATAAATCACATTCAGTTCTCGAAACTCAAGGTTTCATCAGATCTCGACGTTTAGAGATCCTAGGAAGCTATTCTGACTATTCCTACGAGGATGTCACTACGTCTGTATGTGTGGGAGGGGCGGGGGGCGTGGCGTGTGCGTCATGCGTGTTCGTTTTGCGTGTGCGTATGCGTGTGCGTTTTTGAAAGGATTAACTGATATGAAAGAACTCAATACTGTTTCATCCGATTTGGACCGGTACATTTCGAGAAATCTCAAAAATAAAATTTCAATAAATTTTTTTTTTTTGAATAACTTAAATATTTGTGTAACGATCATTTTCAAAATCTAATGAGATCTTAAACAGAAAACGACGTCGATTGCTGCGAACCGAAAAAGTTTCTAAAAAAGTGTTTTTTTTTCACATAACTTTTGAATTTATAGTATAATCGGTATTGCGGTACCTTGAGGATCACCAGCTGATTAGTGACCGCCAGTACGGTTTTCGTCGGGGTCGATCAGCTGGTGATCTTCTGGTCTACTTAACTCATAGATGGGCGTTGGCAGTAGAGTCCAAGGGGGAGGCATTGGCCGTTAGTTTGGACATTGTGAAGGCCTTCGATCGGGTTTGGCACAAAGCGCTTCTTTCGAAGCTCCCTTCCTATGGGCTTCCCGAGAAATTATGCAATTGGATCACCAGCTTTCTTGCAGATCGGAGCATCAAGGTCGTTGTAGACGGTGCATGCTCCGACTACAAGCCTATTAACGCTGGTGTTCTACAAGGCTGCGTGCTATCACCAACGCTGTTTCTTCTGCATACCAATGATATGTTGCAAGCTGGTAGCATTCATTGCTATGCAGATGACAGCACTGGTGATGCTCTATACACCGGCCGTGCCAATATTTCTCGGGAAAACGTCACTGAGTACCGGAACAAACTTGTGTCTGAAGTCGAGTCTTTGCTGGACAAAGTCTCGAATTGGGGGCGACTAAATCTAGTCCAGTTTAATCCTCAGAAGACACAAGTTTGCGCGTTTACCGCTAAAAGGAACCCCTTTGTCGTATCTCCTCAGTTTCAAGGTACTCCCCTTGTTGCCTCAGCCAGTATCGGAATCCTCGGCGTCGACATATCGAGTAGCGTGCAGTTTCGTGGTCACTTGGAAGAGAAGGCCAAATTGGCCTCTAAAAAGCTTGGCGTGCTCAGCAGAGCGGGACAGTATTTCATGCCGGCTCAACGCCTCCAACTTTACAAGGCGCAGGTTCGGCCTCACATGGAATACTGTTCCCATCTCTGGGCTGGGGCTCCCCAGTGCCAGCTTCTTCCACTTGACCGCATCCAGCGCAGAGCGGCTCGAATCGTCGACGACCGAGTCCTTTCCGATCGGCTCGACTCATTGGCACTGCGAAGAGATGTTGCATCTCTTAGCGTTTTCTTTCGCATTTACCATGGGGAGTGCTCTGAGGAATTGTTCGGATTAATCCCAGCCGCCAAATTTCACGAACGCACATCGCGGCAGAACTCCCGATACCATCCACACCATCTGGATGATTGGCGGTCCACCACTGTGCGATTTAGAAGATGTTTTCTTCCTCGCACAACTTCCTTGTGGAATAGTTTACCACCAGCGATTTTTCCGGACCGATACGACTTAGGGACCTTCAAGAAAAGAGCCTACTCCTTTTTAAAAGGCCGGCAACGCATCTGCAATTCCCCTGGTGTTGCGGTTGTTCATGGGCGGTGGTAGTCACTTACCATCAGGTGAGCCGCATGCTCGTTTGCCCCCTCTTCTATAAAAAAAAAATAATCGTTTTCTTTTCCATAATACATTTTATTATTGTTCTTAAAATACCTCGCCGAGTGCCACCAATTACATCAAAACCGGTTGATGGGACCATAAAAACGTATTGTAATACTCATATAACAATTTTAGGTAAAAATAATAATTACAGCCGTGAGTGATCCGTTCAAAATTGCGGGCGAAATAGTAAGTTCCCTTCATGGACGTGTAAATAAGGCGGACTGAATCTCGCTATATAAGCGAGACACCCATAATAAGTCGTAGTTGTACGTACAAGGGGTCACGCACACATTCACACCAATAATAAGTCTAGCACCCGCTACTACGCAACAAACGTCGTCCGCGAGAAGTAGTTGTCATAAGTAAAAACAAAAATCAATATGCCGTCTTGCGTCGTTAAATTATGTAAAAATCATAGTGGTTTTATCAAAAAACATCAAGAAATCACCTTTAATAGGTGAGTCAGTAATTATAATCACTTATTTGAGAGTTTTATGTCTTAAATTAAAATGCTATTTTTGGAACACAAAACACGAGTCACGTGAACAGTGTTGTTAATTAATTGTAGGATACGGTATATGTGCTTGCCCAACAACCTCTTAAGGTTGTTTTATGTGCACTTTTTTGTTACAATTTTCCTGAAAAATTACCCGATCGATTATAATGCGGTTTTATGCATTTTTTGGCCTATTAGTTGTAAGGCATTTGGCATAGTCCATTATGTTGCGCTGTAATCGTGATTTTTTTTTTACTATGTTACCCTTTCTTAAAAATTGGACCGGTTATAATACGGTTAAGATTGTTCTTAAATATGTTTTACGACCATAGTCCACTACAAAGTGCTGCAATCGTGATTTAATTTTTTATGCCATGTTTAACTTAGTATATAAATCTCATACCGAATAAAAATAAATATCAAAATTAGAAATGAAGTATTCCAGCAAAAGAAAAGTAAAGCGAGATAGGAGGGTAACATTTGTTATTACTCGGTATCATATACATTTAATAAGAGCTAAGTGCAATTCCTTGGCACTTTAATAGATATAGAGAGCTTAAAATATGTATACAAAATATATTCATAATCAAAAATATTTTAATGTATCTCCCGGCAACCTACAAACTAAGTCAAGATCATTTAGAAATATTTTTTCTTGTATTCGAATGCAAGGTGGTTTTAATGACAACCCTAATGTCAGACAGTTCAAAAGTTTCTACAGAAAACTGCTGGCACATCTAGAAATTAGGTGCTTAATTACAGGAAATTGTGTTGCTTTGGAACAAGTAGCTGTACTTAATTGCACTTTGGCTACTCAAATAATAAATTCCACAATACCATCACGAAAATGATGATAGTATTTGTGATTCATTATTATTTTTAAATTAAATTACTGAAGAAGATGATGAGCTAGCTAAGCGACTAGGAGTAGAATCACATAATGACTATCGTAAGTTAATAATAGCATATCGGGCGGGTAGCATTGCTCATTATGCAACGAAAAAAAATTAAATGCCAAAAATACACCGTGCGTTTGTATACTGTAGAAAGGCATTTCTTTCATAAATAAATAAATTTGAAAACTTTAGGATGTTTACGTTTTCCAACTAACGGTATTTATGTAATATTTGTTGTGCTTGCGAAATGGTGGTACGAAAGATTATTAAGGAAAACAATACAATGTACAATGAAAGGCAACAAAAGTATATACTTACAAATATATTAGAAAAGTTTATTACCAAAGACATTTCAGTCCCATATATTTAAATCTCTTTGTTTATTACCAATGGCAGGGTTTCTTGGAATTTCAGCACACATTCGGAGGGATAGAGCACAAGATAAGTCTTATTAAATATATAGCAGAAAAATATTTGGCGATTCGATTTCACCATATTTCTAAATTAGAGGGGATTTCAAGAACCTTTGAAAGTAAAAGACAGTTGTTTAAAAAAATATTCAACAAAAAGGTTTTTAACATTGTTGTTTGTCATGAAAATGAGTAAGTTATGGTAATTATTTATGACTTATTGTCATAAATAATAACTATAATTTATACTTTGGCATCTCAGTATATTTACGAAAATTTAATGTATGTATTTGTATTTACTGATATATATATATATATAGGTATACAGAATGTACTGTAAATACTAGGAACAAGTACAAGTTAGTTATACCAGTTAATCGACTCAAAAGAGTAGTAGAAGTAGTAGTAATTCCTTCATGTATACGCTTTCACAACAAAGTCCAAGAAAATATGCAAGCCTTATCTATCAAAGTTTAAAATTTTCACCAAGTAAAAATTGTTTAGTAAGGATTATTAGGGTATACTACTAAAGAGTATATGATTGATAATAACCCCTGAGAATGATCGTTACCATGCTGTTTCTAAATGTTTTTATACGAATTCTAAATTAATATTATTATTAATTGTAAATTCATTTTTTTTTTGGTTATCTATAATATCTTTATTTGTTATATATTTCGATTATAAATATTTATAATATATTTCGTTCCAATAATATAATACAATTTTTGTATAATATAATGTTTGTAATAAAATTAATTTAAATCGAAATTGATAGAAATAGAATAATTCGATTTCAATCAAAATCCAAACCTCAAATTCTTAGATATTTTTTTATTGTCAAATGTGTTATTTATATTTGTTACTTAATAATAAATTAGTATTTCGTCAAATTTATGTTATATTTTGACTGATTGTTTTATAAAAAGTAATATTGAAAAATTTTGTTTCACATGACAACCCTATATAACACGCAACATACTTGCTCTGGCCTATAGGTCTAGATACCAGGCCATAAACTTCAAAAAAAAAACATACTTGCTCCGCCGCCATTACAGTGCATCAGTCCTTTCCACAGAGTACCTTTATATATACTGAAAGTCCTTTCTTAACAAAATTCTGTCCGCCTTATTTATACGTCCATGGTTCCCTTATAAAACGCGTGAGACGCGAGTTATGACGTCACCTCGCGCTTTGTCCGACTGGCCGATTTTGACGAGAAAATCGCGCGGGAAAGCTCACTTTAGTCTTCATTATCTCAGCCATTTTTATAAGATAGGAAAACAATAAAAACACAATTTTTCTTAGAATTTTTTCTATTTTGTAACAAACACATAACAAAAATCGTTGGTCTTGTCAATTTTTTTAAAGCCATAAAACTATTCAGCCAGGAAATGCATTTTTGGCACTTAAGAGTGATAAACAGTGTTAAATTAATAATTGTTGATGAATTATTTTTTAGTTTTATTTCTCGATATCTGCGAGATAGCGATAATGGCATCTTTGTCTATGACTTTAAAAAAACTAGAAGTTTCAAACGAAAAAAATCAATGATCAGTCATCATCGAATCCAACCAGGAATGCAGGAGTGGCGAGGAGATGCGAGTGAAGAGAGTCGGGCTCGGTTGTGAGAGGCAGTGTTCTGACGTCCAGCCCGACGTGATGCCCCATAAGCCATCGTCAGCTGTTACCGGTGCTCCAGCATCCGGCTGGAGGCCGAATAAATATTATTCTAATTTTGTTTTGTCTCAAATTTACTACACACTTTATAAATGTTTTTTGATGGATCCAACTTTCGAGTAAAACTATTCGAAAACACAGACATTCAATTTCTTACTGTTAAGAGTCATGCATTTTCAACAGTGGTAGAGCCAGGCGGCAGCTTTTGCTGTCGCACGGATGGGCCGGCTCGAACCGGGGTGGTACCACAACCTCACAGAATACCAGTGTAAAGTAGAGGTTTACCTCTGAGTTTCGCTTGGTGAGTGCAGGTGACCGGAGGCCCTTTTTACTGGAAATGAGCCATTCCATCCTAGTCCTCACGGGTGACAACGCATCTACATTTTGATTCACAAACGAGAATAAATGTAGATGTCTATGGGCCACAGCAACCACTTACCATCAGGCGGACTGTGTGCTCGTTTGTCACCCTATCCTATAAAAAAATGCAATAATAACCAAAATAATTTATCTTCAAACAAACATTAAAAATCGACTCAAAAAACGTAATTATTTTTATAGCTTCTGAACTGAACACTATGTCTTAGTATCGACTTTAGATTTAGAAGCTATAAAAATATTTTATTATTTTTATTGATATGTTTAATTGCAATACCATAAAATCAAGGTATAATAAACTAGAATATAAGTACATTAACAATTTTATGCCCTACGGAGTGGAATTAAAATTAGACCTATTTAAAAACAAATGTGCGTGTAATTGTGCACACACGTACCAAGTGAAAATTGTTTACTATGTATCATTCTTCTTTTATTTCATATTTTACATAAGTAGGTCAAATAATAGTTTACTCACGCAGCCCCGACGGTGAAAAGTTACAAAACAACATGACGTTTTTCATATTTTTAATACCGTACTAAATCTCTCCACTACTTTGGTAAAGAAGTTATACTTCAAAAAATATTATGAAAATCATTTATAGGTTAATCGGTACGAAAAATTTGAAACTCTCCCTTTTTTATTCCCAATCTAAAATATTTGGTTTTAATGTTTTACCAATCGATAGAATATGACATTGGACTAGTCCATGATCAAAGCCACTTTCATAAGTATAAGCAGTTAGAACCACGGCGTGTAGCGGTTGATTTAAAAATAAACTTGTTACACTCTTCCCCTTAATTAAAATATAAATATTTTAATTCTACTTACGAGACAGGGACTGTGGTGCGACATGATCGGGTCTAAGCACAAACTGGACTCGTCCAATGTGTGGTTGAGCGTTGTCATGACGCTGTGACACCAGTCCCAGGGTATCATCTTCTGTGTGGACACCCTCATGCTGTTTGGCTTAACGCGTTCTTGTGCTGATGATGGCAACACTTGTCCTCTGACCTACATTTTGATGAAATGTAGATTACAAAATTTCAAACTGGTTCTTAAAGGTTAAAAGAATTTTCTAGCAACCTTACATGTGTCTAATTCAGTTCAAAGTTCTGTACTGGTATTTTGTTATTAATTAATTAACTTATTTATTTTATTTTAATGCTTTTGAATACGCTGCCGCAATGTACAGTACAGAGCCATCTGCATTCATCGACTACCTGCATTTTTCATCAGTTCGTGACTCCGTCTAGAGGAGGGTCGCCCATCACTGCGCTTGCAAGTATGAAACTGCCACTCGAGAACCTCTCTTTCCCATTGGTAACGTATTATATTTTTATTAATATTTTTTTCAGAGGATTTTCTGCCGCGGGCTGATGAAGAAAAAACAAGACAAGAGACCGTAGACCTTAGTATTGGATATTAGTTTTATTTTGATATATCTCAACTTCCTTAGAAATTTTTAACGTGGTAGAGCCATTCTGCAGCTATATTAGTGTTGTAGCACAATTGGGTCGACTCAACCGGGGACAGACCACGGTCTCACAGAATACCAACGTAAAATAGAGGCTTAATGCTGCTGTGTTTTGCATGGTGAATATAGAGAACCTATAAGGGTTCCGTTTGAAGTACGGAACTCAAAAAAGGAAGAAGAACATAAAAGAACGTATTGGATGAGACTAGAATAGAATCTAATAGGACAGAATCAATTGACTCTACAGAATATAATTTTTATAATAAAAAATAATAATGTCCTCCAGACCGAATTTCGGTCGCGGTGGCCAAGTAGCGTGGCGGGTGGCCGTAAATAAAGTAAATATGTATGGTCTGATGCTGATCATTGTTGTCACTATAGATAGTTAGATTAGATTAGTAGTTTTAACTAATTTTGTCCATGTCAGGTTCCTTGATGATGGAGCTGCAAACTATCTGGTCTCGCTAATGTTTTATATAACAACGTTATAGAATGTCTCTATAAATTTTCCACTTTCGTATGAATAAAGGCAACTTGTTGGTGGGTGAGATAAATATGATCGAAAAATGGATACACTCTTTACACAAGCTGTCTCTGAAGGCTAAATTATTATAATTATTATTTTTTAACTACCTTTGGCTATATCTGCTAATCGGTGGTGATGCCTTACACTTACATCACGTCTGCAGTAACGGCGGTCTGGCAGGTGGTGGCACTCACTGAGGGTTTTTATGGATAGTGTGCCTATTATTCGACGTGTACTTAAACCGTATTACGTACATTCACTGTGGCCGGATTTGATCGTATTCTGTATGGCGTTTACACACATTGACATGTGCGCGACTTCGGTTGCACATTTTTTTTGAAGTGGTGGAGCGAAGCCCTTGTATCGAGTATTTATTATATAAATATTGTAAAAAGGTTAATAATAAGGAATTGACTGGTGTGAACCTGATACAAGGGATGAGTTGATGTTCATAAACATTTTGAGCCCTTTCTTTCTGAACGGATTCTTTAGCAAAATAATTATAACTTAATAGAATCAGGCGTTACTTTGCAGAAATCTGTTAGAAATTACTTTGCCCATATCCGCGCAATAGGTAAGACACATCAATTTATTTTATTGAGACGATATGGGCAAAGTAATTGTTCAAACTTTAATATAATTATAACCAGGCTTTTGATTGCTCTAGTGATTATTTGTATTCCAAGATAGACGCCATAAATTTAGCAATCAGCCTATTATTAAACTGTAACTAAAGATCCTTTGGCAAGACCAATATGGTCACGTAAATTTATTTATTTAATATTTTTATTGTTCTTCAGATGGCCATTTATTCATTGCCATTTTTATTTACAGAAAATGAGAGCGTTACAACAGGTATACTTTCTATTCCATCACTCTCACAGACCGATGCGACGGCAAGCCTATATGACCAGAGAGAGAGAGGGCGTCCTGCCCCTGACCTCTCTCTCGTGAATTGATTTGGCCCGACCTAGGATTCGAATCCCGGAACCGTATGATTAGCAATCGCGTTTACGATTACTCAACCAACGAGGCAGTAATTTCCTTAATTATATTTTAAGTAATTAATACATAACGAACGATTAAAGTCATTTTTCAGTTAACTAGTTCGGAATGTAGCTTTGCCTGAAAAGAATCTCGCGTACATATACTTACGATCAATCTTGGCCAATACGTCGATAAGAACTTGGCGCTCAGCACCTTTCCATTGATCTTGGACAAAGGTATAGGTTTCAGAAACTCCGAAAATTCTACCGGCGTCGCCAGTCGTAACAAAGAAACGTCGAAGCTTGGCCTCTTATATTCGTATAATGGATGTATTTCCACACCTTTGATTGGTACCAAAGAACCGCCCTTTTTACAATTCACTGTACCCAGTCGTACTCTGAAGAATTTTATTGATTCCCTCACGCTGTAAATAATAATCGTGATAAGTGGTCATTGTATGATCTATTTCTAATGCTTGGCTAATATCCCACCTGATGGCAAGAGTTGGTGCAGCCGCGTATTACTACGTGGTGAATCCACGTTGCAGCTACATATATGGTGGTTGTAGCACGAATGGGTCGGTTCAACAGGGGTGGGACCACACTCTCACAGAATACCAGCGTAAAATAGCAGCTTAATGCTTCTGTGTTTTATACGGTTAGTGTAGAGAACCGGAGACCCTTCTTATTGTTAACGAGATATTCCATCTTAGTTCTAAGGGGTGACACCGCATCTGTATTTTGATTCTTAATTGTAAATACATGTTTTAGATAATTGTCTATGGACTGCAGCATCCACTTACCATCAGGTGGACTGTGTACTCGTTTGTCACATTTATTTAAAAAAAAAAGATTTTTACAATATAGTGCCAGTATTAGATCAACATCGCATCATTTCGTTAGCGATGGTGTAATAACTTGTTTATGCCAAATATAAGATACATCGACGTAACAGGTGACTGGTGATGGGAAGCTGTGTCCACGGTGCGAGATGTATGGTATAACAATCGCCATTCCGCAGGTCAAGCGTGGAAATTTAGGAAAATCCAACAAAGGGTGAGCTCCAGTAGTGGACATTTTTAGGCTCTTAAAGAAGAAAAACAAAGAGAACGGCAGATAAAATAAAAATAATGACCTATCACGTTATCAAATAAGTATCATGTTTTACGTTTAAGCAATTTTTAGTCGTATTTTATTATAAAATAACCTCCGTTATCCATTACAGCCTACAAATGTCCACCGCTGAATATAGGCCTCACCAATAGATTACCTCATAAGGGTAATGATCATTCTTTAATGTTCCATAGTTGCCACGACTGGCAGGCGAATTGACAACCACAGATTTTATTATTTTGAGTTTGTTATTAAGAAGAAGCTGCGGCCCATCTCCTATTTCAATTTCCCTCTGTCGCCTCTTACGACAGCCTTGGGTACGATATGGGGTAGTGGATATTCTTACACCGACACTACACGGTAATGACAACCTACTGAAAGTCAAATTTTACTTACTTGTAAAACTCTTCAGCCACAGTAAGAACCCATTTTTTATCAATTAATGCCCCGGAAGCGTAGTGGGTACCCTTCCGCTGTATTGACACAGAAAAAGGATATCTGTGCGGTTTACTTCTAACGTTGGGCGTTTTTACTTCTTTATTTTCAACGCCATTTGGACAGTCTTTGTTCTTGTTACCTACGAGAAAACAAATCATCGAATCTCACACATTCGAAATTTAAAAAATATTTTTTTTGACACCGGCATGTTCCACACATATTATGCTTCTTCATTCCTAACTTTATCCGGAGTGGAACAGTCCCGTTTTGAAAGTTGTCAAAGCATCTCACCTGTAGCCCCCATTTTATATTTGCTTCACAGGTGTCTGTATTATGTAAGGATCACTCGGTTTTTATTGATCTTTGGCGTGAAATACCAACGCTCCGGGAAGTCTTCACTTACTTTGACATCAGGACTTCAATCACCTCAGTCCCCCGAGATCATGGGTTACAACACACAAACATGGGTTACAGCACCCAAAACTTCGGGAATTAAAAATAAGTGCATTAAGCGCGATAAAATCCATAAAAATAGTTTTTTTTTTTCAATATTTTACATGTAGTCTAAACGAGATGGTTACCCTGCCATCTATCGGCTGCCATGAGCCATGAACTCTGTCTGGACCTATAGTCAACTCATACTCTTACGACAACGACACCTGCGACGGTCTGGAGTCTGGACGAGCTGCGGCGATGGATTCTCTTACCACAAGGCATGACTTCTCGTGCCATTACATTCTATAAATAGTCATGTAGGGTCAGTCAAATAACATGGTGGTTTCAGACGTGGTAGAGCCATGCTGCAGCTATATTTCTGGTATAGTTGTAACACGAATGGGTGGGCTCGACCGGGGAAGGACCACGCTCTCACAGAATACCAGCGTAAAATAGCAGCTTAATGCTGCTGTGTTTCGTATGGTGAGTGTAGAGAACCGGAGACCCTTTTTACTGGAAACGAGGCATTCCATCTTAGTCCTCACGGGTGACAACGCATCTGCATTTTGATTCGTAATCGAGGATAAATGTAGATGTCTATGGGCCACAGCAACTAAACCGAAACCCCTAAATACCGGTATAGAACCGGTATTTAGGGGTTTCGGTACCTATACCGGAACAGGAACCAGAACCTAAATTAGAACCTTTAAGAACCTTTATTTTACCGGTTCCTAAGTAAAGCGAAAGCGAGTCCAAACTTGTTTGAGGTGCGGTCGGGTGGACGGCGCGATGCGGCGCGCGGTGGAGTGTGAGAAGAGTTGAGTTTGTAAAATATCACATTTGTATTGGTGGATCTTATGTTGCATATCAACGCAGTGTTGCCAACTCTACGGATTTTCTATAGATATACGGAAATTTGTCATCATCTACGGAACTACGGAATTTGACGTTGCAATCTACGGAATTTTATAAACTTAACAAGATTTTTTTTATCATGAGTGTGAACTTGCCGACAATGTCATTCTCTCTCTCTTCTTCTAATGTTGTCTGTATTAAATTACATTTAATAATTAATTCTATGCTATCTGTATTAAAATAAAACCATTTTTACTCATAAATATCAAATTTTTGTGATGTTAGAAATTTTTGTGTAGCTTAGATATTTTGAATTAAATTAGGTATGTACGTTTGTTTCTTCTTTCTTCTTGAAAAATAGGCAGTTAATATAACCGCTTATAACCTTTTTATACATGATTGAATAGTCACTTATGTCTCAAATTTTTCTAATCCATGCTATCCCATTTGTTTTTACAATTATTAAAAAAATTCTGCCGGATTATTCTTCGCTTTTCCTCGATCTTTTTTTTTTCAAATTTCTCAACGTTCTTAGTTGTATAGTTTTTTATCATCATCATCATTACAGCCACAAGTCCACTGCTGAACATAGGCCTCCCCCAAGGAATGCCACAAAGCACGGTTTTGAGCCACCTACATCCATCGACTTCCTGCATATCTTACCAGGTCATCACTCCATCTAGTGAGGGGACGCCCTACACTTCATCCGCCGGTACGAGGCCACCACTCGAGAATCTTTTTTCCCCATCGGTTGTTGGTTCTTCGGGCTTTATGGCCGGCCCATTGCCACTCAGCTTACTAATCAGTTGGGCTATGTCGGTTACTCTGGTTCTACTGCGGATATCCTCATTTCTAGGTTTATCACGCAGAGAAACTTCCAAGCATAGCCCTCTCCATAGCTCACTGAGTGACCTTGAGCTTCCTCATCCGGCCAGCAGTGAACGACCACGTCTCAGTTCCATAGGTAATCACTGGCAACACGCACTGTTTGTACAGTCTCGTTTTTAAGTTTTGAGGTATACCTGACGAGAATATGTGCCGTAATTTCCCGAACGCTGCCCAACCGAGTTGAATCCGTCGATTGACCTCTCGGTCGAAGTTGGACTTACCTAGTCGGACTATTTGTCCCAGGTAAACATACTCGTCAACAACTTTGACCTTAGTACTCCCAACAACTACCGGCATAGGTGTGACATGGACGTTAATCATGATCTTTGTATTGCCCATGTTCATCTTAAGACCTATCCGTTGGGAAACACTACGCTATGGTCTTCCAGCGATTCTGCCATAAGGACTATATCGTCGGCAAATCGAAGGTGTGTGATGTACTCGCCATTGATGTTAATACCGTATCCTTTCCAGTCCAGAAGCTTGAAAACGTCTTCCAATGCAGCGGTGAAGAGTTTCGGTGATATAACGTCACCCTGTCTTACACCTCTCTGCAATTGGATAGGTTTCATACTCTGGTTCTGTACTCGGATAGCCATCGTAGCCCTACTGTACAAGCACTTCAGCACTTCGATATACCGACAGTCAACTTCGCACCGTTGAAGGGACTGCAGCACCGCCCAAATTTCGACGGAATCAAAGGCAAATTGTACTCCACGGACTTCTGTACAATTCGCCGAAGGGTATGTATGTGGTCTATGGTGCTAAAGCCCTTTCGGAAACCGGCTTTTTCGGGAGGCTGGAAGTCGTCAAGTCTGCGCGCGAGACGCGTAATGACTCTCGAAAACAGCACGTAGATGCGGCTCAGAAGGGAAATCGGCCTGTAGTTCTTCAAGAGAGCGTTGTCACCTTTCTTGAAGAACAAGACCACTGCACTTCTGCACCACGCCTCCGGTGTAATGACACCATGGAGTACGAAATTAAAGAGCTTCTGAAGGACTTCAAGTACCGATTTCCCACCCGCTTTCAAAAGCTCCGCTGTAATTCCATCCTCGCCTGGGGCCTTGCCGTTTTTAAGGTGCTGGAGAGCTATTCTAATCTCGCTCAGACTGACGTCTGGGATATCATGGAAATAGTGTCAGATAAGACTCGCTCTTGGATCGTTACTCACACTTGCGTGTGGCTCCAACGATGATGTGTACAACTGCCCATAGAACCTCTCAATCTCACTCAAAATCTCAGGTGTCCCGGAAACGACGCTGCCACACTCGGTCTTCAGCTTCGACAGTTGGCTCTTTCCGGCAGACAGATCTCTAGCAAAGACTTTGGAGCCCTGGTTCCGCTCGATCGCTTCTTCAATAAGAGCAGTATTAAAGTTGCGTAAGTCCCGCCGCATGCATTTGGAGATCTGTCTGTTCAGTTGTCTGTATGCTGTCAAATCTGCTGAAGACTGCAGCTTTATATCCCGTATAACAGCCATGAGATTAAGAGTGTGATCGGAGATTTTGTGTTCTTCTGCGGCGGGTCTTGCTAAACTTAGCTCCGACCGCATGGACAGTTTTCACGAGCTTGTCATTCATTTCGTCTACTGCATTGCAATCTTCTAGGCACTGAAAACGGTTTCGTAGTCACCATTCGGTGATTGCTGCCGGTTTCCACCCTCGCGATCACTGAGACATCACTGAACAGTTGTCGTCTGGTCGTCATAATGAAGTCAATCTCATTTTTTGTCGAACCGTCGGGGCTCGACCAGGTCCACTTTCTGTGGGGCCGCTTCTGGAAGAAAGATTTCATCATAAAGAGTCCGTGGAGGAATGCATAGCTCTAGAGATATCCTCATACGTTTCCTCCACCTCCTCATCTGGGTGTGTCGAGGTTGGTGCGTAAACCTGTATGACCTTCAGCGAATACCGTTTGGTGAAGAATCGCGTACCTTATACTCAGAAGAGTTACGGTACGGTAAGGTACGCGACCTTCATCGACACACTGCCAGTCTTTACAACGTTGTTAACGAGAAACTTGTGGACGATAAATCCGATACCTCCTTGGGACAGATGGTCGCCCTCCCGGTTATAGAACAAGTTGCCGAATTCGAGGATTACCGTGTCCTCCCCATTTCTTTGGACCTCAGATAGTCCTATAATATTCCAGCGCAGCTTGTCTATCTCTTCTTCCAGCTCCAGGATCTTCTCGTCAGTCCTCAGGGTGCGTGCGTTATAAATTGCCAGGTCGAGTCGTCGTAGGTGGCAACCGAACCTCCACCGGAGATTCTTAGCACCCCCTGCCCCGCCGTTACCACGGTCACCACCGTATGCAGGAATAGCGGGACCGACGGGGACTGGGGGCCGTCTCTTAGTAACTTTATTCATTTTGGGAGGTATATTGCCATAGTTGCCACGCTTGGCGAGCGGGTTGGCAACCGCAGTTTTTTATTGTTATATCGCTGTTATCAGGAAGATGCTGCTGCCCATCACCTGACTGTATACCACTGTCGCCTCTTACGACATCCACAGATATTCTTAACCGCCACTACACAGCTATAGTTTTTCATTGTTACATAAATCACCCGAGTCTGAAACACCGTAATATATCAAATAATAAACTAACAAAAACCAGAAAATAACATCCATGTTAATAAGTCGTTATAATCAAGTTTGTAACGTGTTTTTTTAGTATAACTATCCACAAATATTAAAGTGTGTATAGTTACTTTATTTGTTGTTTACTAATTATTATTTAATTTAAAAAAACATTTAATTATAATCAATTTTTATGGTTTATTTTTCTTACATGTGTAGCTTGATTCGATGTTATACTACATTTAAACTTACTCTAAGAATTTTCCATGACAGAATGAATTTATCAACTAAGTTCAAAAACAAATATTGTCGATCCTCAACGGAACAGATATTTTGAAATAGCATCTACGGAATTGTACAGAATTTTTTATAACAATCTACGGATTTGGAGAAATTTGATTATAGGTTCTCGGAACCGGTATTTAGAACCGGTACATCGGAACCCGAACCGGAACCGATACCGGAACTGGAACCGTACCGAAAAGAGGAACCTTTATAAGAACCTAAATGAAGAACCAGAACCGAAATTGGTACCGGTATTCAATCCCTGCTCCTGAGGTCTAAAGTGGAATGCCTCGTTTTCAGTAAAAAGGGAGAACCGTAGATTCTCTACACTCACCATATTAAACATAGCAGCATTAATCTACTATTTTAAGCTGGTATTATGTGAGAGCGAAGTCCTTCCCCGGTCGAGCCGACCCATTCGTGCTACACCCTAACTACTACTAATATAGCTGCAGCATGGCTCTATCACGTACACGTTAGATTTGTAAAGTTATTAAAAACTTTAAAAACATTTTAGCTTAATTAAAAAAGAACAAAAATTTATAAAATAGCCTTACCGCAGATGCCTGTGGTTTTATTCTTGGCTCCAAGATGAGATGACACTTTGCCTTTCTTCGTTTTTCCTTTTGAGCTTACATTAAATAATTCAACGCTGCCTGACTCTACTGAAGAGTTCACATTACTTTCATAATCTTCATCTTTATTATTGTCATATTTGCTATTAACAACTACAATGCAAATAAAAAATAACATTGCTAGTATGTAAATTATCTGACTCATTTTAGTGTAGGCTAGTTCTAAATAAATAAATAAAATACTATTAATTTATTCAGTTGTCACAACTACATCACTATTAAAACTATTTTTGCAGACGCTCTTTGAAATATGTTAAGCTTTAAATACTATACCAGTATATTATGCTAATGAATGAGCAAAAATACGAAAAAACTTACGCAGAACAGATGTTAAATACAAGTGATGAAATAAAATTAAAAGAAACAAAGCAACTCTCGAACTTCAATCGCTCATTCATCATGCAAAACGACGAGCATGTGAACAATACAATAGATTAAAGCATTGTGTGTAAAAGAAAAAGTAATCCTTCTACTATAATTTGTTAAGTCTTAAACATTCAAAATTCGTATTACGAGTAACGCAGTGTTGATCATTACTACACGAAAGATCTTAAAAATAAATTTGCTAAGATCTGCGTAGTAAAATAAAATGCCATCAAAAACATAACTTGTAAAAAAACCAAGTCTCACAACTCAGTTCTTCTACCGTAAAAAGTTGTGAGATCCATGTAATACCAAGTCGGTTAATTTAAGTAGTTAAGTAGGGACTGAATAAATTAACCGTAATAACTTTGTAATCCTATATATTTATATAGGATTACAAAGTTATTTATGCAGTTTGTGTATCTAGAAAACTGGACCGAAATTACAAAATATTTAAGTTTTTAGAGTTCCGTACCTCAAAAGGAAAAAACGGAACCCTTATAGGATCACTCTGTTGTCCGTCTGACTGTCTGTCTGTCTGTCAAAACCTTTTTCTCAGGAACGCGTGGAGGTATCAAGCTGAAATTCATATCAAATACTCAAATCTACTGTCCCTTGGAGCTGTGAAAAAATCACACTTCTAAGCCAACGCAATTAAAAGATACAGCCGTTTATGCCGTAAATTTTCGACATTCGTAAGGGAATCAAAACCTACAGGGTACTTCCCGTGGACTCAGAATCTTGAAATTTGGTACGAAGCAACGTTTTATAGCATAGATAAAGGAAGCAAAGCAAAAAGCATAAATTTTTAGTTACATCATATAATAAAAATATTTTTAATAATTTTAAACTTATATACCTACAGATTTGTTCGGAACCCTCGGTGCGCGAGTCCGACTCGCACTTTGCCGGTTTTTCCTTAATTTATACACTAAACACTAATTTTATTCTAAACTTGAAGGTTCTATGTCTGGTCAGGCAGTGAGTGACAAAATCAAGAAACTTTGACTAGTTATAATTCTTAAACTACTGTTTCAAATTGAATGAAATTTGAAATATATCGTGTTTATACAATGCATGCTTGGTTACTGAAAATTCAGCCTTCTAGTTCTATGCACAACGAAGTTATAGGGGGTCGAAAATGACCTGAATTGCTTCGAGAAAAAGATGGTACGGCCGTGCCGCTTTTTTGCTCGACTCGGCGGGGGCTTGGCAGATTATGTGTCTTACCAAGTTTTAAGAGCACCTACCGCCCTATCTCAATTGCGTGCACTACTCACGTCACCACTAATCCCAAACCACTATCGATAATACGACACGTGTTTCGCCTGTACACGAGGCCTCCTCGGGTGAAGTAGACTCTGCGGTGAATGACCGCTAAGTACTATACTGCTGGACATGGGCGTCTCCTACAGAAGAGAGTGTTTGCTAATTAGCGGACTCACATTTAATTATTTTTTTGTCTTAAACTGAAGTGACACACAAACTTACAGCCCAGCTGATGGTGAGTGGCTACTGCTTTCATACACTGCACTGTATGCTCACAGTGTATAATTATACTAGGTCCCTATTATACTCTTAGAGATCCTCGCGGAGCTCTACGAGTATACATTTCAGACCGGGACACCGCAATGCATGCAGTACGGTAGTGCGGCAGAAATAGGTGAAAGGGGGTGGCACCTTCCCACACGGACTCCTCGGCAGAATAGGAATCCTACCACCTAAAGCACCAGTCGCCTCGTGACCTTGACACTGCTCTTCGTCGTCAGTCTGGATATTTTACATGTGAATTATATATACTACTTGGTTGTTAAACCGCAAGCAAACAGAGTTAGATACACATGCGTGGTGGATATTCTCTCCACTTTAAACGAGAAAATCTTTTATATAATATATTGTTACGTGAGGGTAAGTAAACTGCCGACTAGGGTGAGAAATGGATCTATTCTTTCACACACACAGCAAGTGTATACTTGCTGTGTGTGTGAAAGAATAATTATATAATTTATATAAAATTATATAATAAATAATAATTATATAATTACGTCGTCCAAAATCGCTAAGCTTCTTCAGTGAGGTCCTTAATAATCGAAAATGTCGTCAGTCGATTGCTCGTAGTTGCTTCCCGAATTAAAGTTCACTTTCGCGTACCCGAAGTAATAATTCTCCGATCTCCAGGGCACGCTTTTATACCTAATAGAATAGATTAGAACAAAATCATTTTTATTCAATATAGATCACAAGAAGGTTCGGAAAACACCTCTCTCCTAAAAATAATCAAGCAAGAAACCCAGCGGAACTTTTTTTTTTAAATAAACTGAATTTACACTATATTATTTTATACAATTGATATGAAGACATTACAACATGGTAGCGACCGCCTCATTACCAGGGGTTATTATCAATTATATACTCTTTAGTGGTATAATAACCCTTTGCTTAATTAAGAATTTTTTGCTTAATAAGAATTTTAAACTCTTTAATAGATATGACCTGCATATTTTCTGGGACTTTATTGTAAAAGCGTATACATTGCCCCATAACAAACAACCAAACAACTTGTACTTGTTTCTAGTATTTACAGAATGTACCTCACTTTTTTCAAAAGGTATGTAGAACATTCTGGGTCAATACGGGGCGTGGGATGACACGTGCCATGCCCATTACACTTTTTTTTTATTAAAGATACAGTTCTACTAGAGTTTCATTTAAGATAGGAATATTAATTGTGTTGGTATCATAAACACAATTTGTTGCTAAATTGTAAGTTCTTTAAGCATTCTGCGTATTTTGGGAGATTATTGTCGAGGATGGCGATGGCTGGCACATGCGTTATACTTGTGAACAGGAGCTACTTGCGGGGTCTGGTCTACTTGTGTCATCCATGTTCTGATAAGCTCCAAATTTTAACGTCCTTTATAGGATTCCGAACCCGAAGGGTAACCAGCGGGACCCTATTACTAAGCCTCCGCTGTCCGTCCGTCTGCCTGTCAGCGGGCTGTATCTCATGATCCGTAATGGGAAGACAGTTGAAATTTTTACAGATATTTGTAAAATTTCAACCGATAAACAGCCGATACCGTTGCCGCTATAACAACAAATAATAAAAATAATAATAAATTGCATTCTTTGTTTGTAAACCGGCATATTTCAGGTATTTGCATTCGGCAAAAACAATGAGGAGAGGCATGCCCAGCTGTGGGTCAGTCAAAAAAATAATCTCTTACTTTGCTTTTTAAACAAAAACTTTATACCTACACTTAGATTTTTCTCATAAATCGTAAAGGCAGTTTACCCAGGCATTGGCAATAATTTCTAAAGCCATATAGATACTTATTCCACGCACAGACGAATCCAGCGGCCGCAGCACCATCGTCAATAGCTTACCACTGCACCACTGCACTACAGAGCTGTCAATCATCTTACGTTTAATGTATGTAATTTCATTTGCAATTTTTAAATTCCTACAACACGGCTAATATGTATATTAGTGTAGACGACGCTAAGCATAAATTCAACAAAAAATATATTTTAGAACGCAATGTTTATCTGTCATTTGTCATCAAATAATACGATGTCAAACTCAAATGTCAATTCAATTGTCTATTTATTTCAACTCAAGCTCAACTGTTTCGCGAATTAACCTTATATTTATAATATGTATTGACATTGCCTTAAAATATCAATTAATCATTACTTTCAGTGTGTTAAATAGTATACAATGGGTCTTTTATCAGATCCAGAATATGGATCGGTGAAATGGGTTAGAATTCTTAAAAAAGTTAATGGGCCGCTGTGTTTTCTGTGCTACATTGCAGCAATTATTTGGTTCTTTATGCTGGCGAACAAGGATTTCAATAATGAGACTTATTTTTCGGAGAACGCCTTACTTCCTGGATTAGTTACCAAGGAGTTTAATGCGGAATCTTCAGCCAACAGATTCTACAGTGAATTCTTACAAGAATTAGAGGTATCTATGCAATCATTTTTATTTTAGATCTGATATACCCATCTTCTTTTTGATTTTGCTTTTCTGAACGGAATTCTGCCAATATCAAGTCAGTCATGATATTAAAATTTTTATGTAAGTTTTGAAATTTAATATAATACGAGTGGAGATTAAACAATGTCTCTGAAACGTTAGACGTAGAGTTGCGGAAAATAGCCCGTCGTAAACTAAACTAACATTAAAAACAAGAAATTTTATTTGACTAAGTAATTTTCTTTTAATATGATTCTATTTAAATAGTAACTTAAACCCCGTTAATTTATATTTATACATAAAAAAATATTTTTAGGATAAGTACGAGGAAACAGATGCAATGCCAGTGCCGTGGCTTGTTGCAAAAATGTCCCAGTTACATTTGGAAGTGTATACACATAACTTTACACTTAAATATCCTATGGGAGAAGGCCAGGTAAGGTTGCTTTTATTTTGAGCTTTATATTTAGTAGAGCCTTTTTATTCTGAACCTTAGCTGATCGGAACTACCTATTAACTATTAATCAAACATCCTGCATAAAGTCCTCACATCTATTATTCAGGAATAACATCACATAACTTAACTGGTACAGGTATTGTTTGTCTACCACTACTGTCCTAAAGTCAGTTAAGTAACATATTGATGTTACTTAACTGTCTTCCTAACAACAACATATTTTTTCAGATAGACATCTAGATTTACAATATAGATAAAAGAAGTAATTTAGAGTTTAGTGTTTTATATAAAATTTTAACTTTATATTAAACTAATAAGATCACAAGTCAAATATGCATCAGTTATATGGAGTCCAATATATAATAAATATAGTTTACAGTTGGAGCGCGTTCAACGAAAGTTCTTAAAACCTACAATGTTCAAATGCTTTAAAAGTAATTCTAATGAATGTTATGAACTTTTATTAAAAAAATTTAGAATTATTTCTTTAGACTCAAGAAGAATACTCTTGGATCAAACTTTGCTTTACATTATCTGCCATAACAAATTTGATTGTAATGAAATCACCAATCAAATATACATTCGTATACCCAGTCGCTCAAAGCGTTTACGTGAGCTTCATTCACATCAAATTTTCTTTCCTAAACCAACTAAAACAAAGGCCGGTGCGCGTGCACTTTTAAATTGTATAATGGAACTATACAACAACAAATTTATTGACATAGATATAGCTGTGTAAGAGTTTCTATCTGGATTAGATGCTATTTAATGTAATAATTGTTTATTTATGTTTAATTTAATTATTTACATCTATGTTTTAACTATGTATGTGTATATGCGTGCACATGTACATACATACACACACACACACACACACACACACACACACACATATATATATATATATATATATATATATATATATATATATATATATATATATATCAGTTTGTTTTTCTCTGTATCTACTAGTGAATGGGTCGTTATAATAGAACATTAAAAAATTTAATTTTAATTGTTTAGTACACTGACCCAATAGTAATATGTGGATAATGGTGTTGATTGTATGATTATTAAGCTTAAATATAGTATTGTGTTTAATAATAGGATTATATTGTACAATTGTTTGTTATTCCAAATTAAGAGAAAAAAAGTACCTAATGTAAAACTGAAGTGGCTAAAAAATTTCCAGTCCAACTGATGGCCACTCTAGTCAATGAAGACCTGCAGCTAGCTTTAAACAAATAATGCGATAGATGCATTGTCACTTCTAAGGACTGTACCTACCGAGATGGACTTCTAGGCAGGAACCAAACAGAGTCCTACCACTTACTGAAATTTGTAATGAGGCATCCACAGTAGAACCAGATCAACCAACATAGCCCAACAAAACAACAAGCTAAAGCTGACCATAAAGGTTCAGCAACTGATCTTCAAAGGTTCAGCAACTGATAGCCAAGAAATGTTTGAGGGGCAGCTTTGAACTGATAAGTGAAGTATAGTGCTCCCCTCCTTTCTCCCCTGCAAGATGAAGTCACAGTGACTTGTGGAGGGTTGTAATAATGACAATAATGCATGCAATAGTACTCAATTTAGTATTCCTATTTAATATTCCTTCCGAGTCTTCACAATTTCTATAGATATCACATTGTGGCTTTTTATGCATAACTAAAACTGTTTCTATTCAACTGCCATTTATTGATAAGATGGCAGACTATTTGAAACATTTTCAATCTGCTGTTTTGTGGCCTTAACGTGTGGATATGTGGGCAACATATTGTCCATACAAACTATATGTAATAGTTTTTTTACAATACAATATATAATAGAATACAATAGAATCATTCAATATAGATTACAGTACATACTTATTGAAAGTCATTTTTTACCACTGCCGCATTTCTATCGGTGCAGGACTATTCCCTCACTCTCATAGTCCGATGGGACGGTAAACCAACACGAATGGGGAGAGATCAGGCGCAAGAGCAACGGCTTTACGTGCTTTCCGAGGCACGGGGGTGGGACAACGCTAGCTTCCTGACTTAGACATCCAACAAACAAATTTAACAAATTTAAGTTTGTATAAAAAGGGTTATTATAATATTAAGGAATTTATGGATGATAATAACCCCTGGAAATGAGGTGATCGCTACCAAACTATTTCTAATTTGTTGTGTTGTTAATTTGTGTAACATCATGATTGTAAGCTGTTATTTAAAAAAAAAAGTCCCGCTGGGTTTCTTGCTGGTTCTTCCCAGGACAGAGGTTTTTTCCGAACCAGTGGTAATCAAACAAAAGAGTGACTTTCAATAAGTATTATTTATAATCTATATTGAATAAAAAAGTTTCTGTTTCTGTTTCTGTTTAATGAACATAATTTTTTTATATATGGTACCTTTCCAGGTCTACCAAGGCACAAATGTGTATGGAATACTGCGTGCTCCTCGAACTGCATCTCTTGAAGCATTGGTGGTGTCAGCTCCTTTCCGTGCCATTTCTTCTCATCACAAAGGCACTGCAGCGAGTGTAGCATTAATGTTAGCTTTTGCGCAGTTTGCACGCCGTAAGTTATAACCTACTTTTTTAAAATGATGATTGCTTTAAGTGTACCACAAGATTGTTGTTTGCTTTGAAATTAGAAGTGCTGACTATAGAAAAAAAGTATTTTATTCCTATTGTCCATAAAACTGTATTTTTATTAAAATATTACTCTTATAATATAACTAGCTTTTCCCCGCGACGTCGCCCGCGTGGAATTTATTACGGTTGGATTTTTTTTTTTTTTTTTTGCATTTGCAATTACTTTTAAAAATAAAAGTAGCCTAAGTTACTCCTTATAATATTAGCTATCGGCCAGTGAAAGTCCCGTCAAAATCGGTCCAGCCGTTTCGGAGATTAGCCTGAACAAACAGACAGCAAAAATTTTAAATATTGTGTTTTTGTTATAAGTACCATATATACTTTCATATGCATTTAGTTAAAAGCTGTTATTTTGACAGTATAAGCAGACACTTCAATTTTATTTATTTGTATAGATAGGTCTTTACCTATGAAATTGCCATCCTTCAGTACTGGGCATTTCAAATCAAAATAATTTTTGTTTGGCTAGAAATCTAATTTCAAATTAATTTTATTTCAAAACCATGGAATTCTATTTTCAAAATTAATCAGTGGTTTATTGATTAGTGTTATGATTGCATCACATTTAAATTTTTTTCGTTATCGCGAGGGAGATGCTTATTATTCCATCTCGTTCACACTATAGAAAGAGAGTCGTGACGAAAAAATCTTACACTTTTACTCGCCTAGCCCCCATCCGTCAAATTCGTAGGTACTGTGCGATAAGGAACTTTGTTTGCCAACCCGCATGCCTAATGTGACGACTGTAGTGTGTGTGAGAATGGACGACTTTACTAATTGCAATACTGTGTAATATATATGATTATACACAGTTATACGAAGGTTGCTGCGTCTACCATTTTGATTTGAATTAACAGTTATCAGAGATTTCACTTCTTGTACCTGCAAACAAATTAACATCAAAGGCACATGTCTCCACTATGAGCTACCCTCTTTTCTACCTCTAAACTTCCTTACTTTATGTTTATTCTACTTGTAACAATTTCAATAATTGTGAGTATCACAACTATTATAATTACAGAAGCTGAGGTATTCTATCTTAGTCCACAAAAGAGACTTCCTGCAATTTTTTTTCATTTTTTTTAAATGTTACCCCCACACTAGGATTTTAAAAACACAAATTGCACAAAGACAAACATCCAGACCCATAACAATTATTTGTAGGTCATACAAGTACTTGTTCCGTGCGGGATTTGAACTCGCGACCCCCAGCTCAGCAACTCATTGCTAAGTCACTGCGCCACGGAGCCGTCAAAAATCCATCTGTAATCTTACGTTGTATAATTCGCGCGCAATCAGAATGGGATGGAACCTTGTTGAAGTTAATTGAAAATTACAGTTCTAGCACAGTATAATAAACATACAGTAGGATGACGCCTTTGATCTCGTGGTAAATGCCGACAACGTCTAGACAGCGTATGGAGGTTAGGGTTGTCACAAATGAACAACTTTTACTAATTTAATTATTTATTTTAGATCTACATCGTCATCAACAGTATGATTACTAATATAAAAAATAAGTAACAATTTGTTCTTAAATTTTTCCTGAAAGTACTCAAAACGTTAATTGCACGCCTCACAACGTGAGGGAGTGTTCTACTCTCGATATGTGGCCATACCTCAATTTCGCTACATGAAATCGTTCTTATACTCTTAACTAAACATCAAATCCATATTATTATTAACGTTACAATGACTACAGACATTGAATTATTAGTTTATTTTATAATTGATTATTTAGGCTTTCGAAAGTTCTTCCAACTAAATCAGGTCTTCCAATAATTTCCATCCATAATTTGCATCTGAAATTTTTAAATACAATACTTATTTATAAACTTTCATAATTATCACCCCCAGAAACCTTAAAATTGACATCCATATTGTATTATTAAAAAAAATCCACCATATTGGATATGAAAATTGATGCCGTTTTCGTAATTGGCACCCCAAGAAACCTCGAAATTGACATCCATAACAATCAGCAACACAAGAAACCTCGAAATTGATACCCATATCATATTATTAAAAAAATGTCCGCCATCTTGGATATGAAAATGGATGCCGTTTTCGTAATCAACACCCAAAGAAACTTTGAAATTGACATCCATAAAATTAAAAAAAATAATATCCACCATCTTGAATTTAAAAATGAATACCACTTTCGTAATCATCACCCCAATAAACCTCGAAATTGACATCCATATCATACATATATTAAAAATGACCGCCATCTTGGATTTAAAAATAAATGCTATTTTCGTAATTAGCATCCCGACAAACCTAAAAATTGACCACTAAATCTTAATATTTTATAAAAAAAACTTCCAAAAAAACCGAAGACGAAGCACTATAGTATGGTCTAAAACCTTAGCCTGTCCAACCACACGATTTAGATGAAGAAAAAAAAATCAAACTTCGAAACAGTAATGCCCAGCGACTAGTACCTATTTTTTACGTCCGCCATTTTTTTACGTTGGCAATTTAGCATGACATGACAAAATATACATAATGTAAAAAATAATAACAATATTTATTTACTTTTCTTCCGTGTGCGGGATTTGGTGAAATCGCAGATCTTTATTTATGCAAGATGACGACTTGCAATCTCTCACACACACATCGTATGAACCATTTTAATTATAAGTATCAACACTAAATTTAAATATCATAAAGGCAAACGCGCGTTAACCCTGGAAGTCGTGTCCCGAGCTACTAATACGATTGGCATAAGAAGCTCGGGCTCGTCCTTCCCGCGTCTCACCCCTCACACCCCGCATGATTGCCCTATCTAGATGTCTTCGTCAGACGACTGTATGGATTTATAGACTGTGGTTCTAGTGAGAACAGTTAAAAAAGAAGTTCTAAATACTTTTTATTAAATATTTGTTCCAAAAACTAGAACCATTAGCCAATTGGGGATTTTAATAGCGTCAGTTAGAAGACTGACTTCGTTCTTGTTCGAAATGTTCATCAAGTGCCTGAATTTGCGTGATTGAATTTACTAAATTTTGCCCATCTTTCTCTAATTTTAACCATCTTTAACTTACTATTTATTATTTACACAATAACGTAAATCACAAAAATATTGAAGAATATAATCATACTAAACAAATAAAAAAAGGGGCAGCCAGCGGTTGCCTCAGTTCCAAAAGGTCGCATCGCATTCTGATCGCGTGCGGATATATGTTTAGATGTTATGAATCATGATACAATTAATTTTTCTTTCCAATTTTATAGCACAGAAATATTGGGCAAAGGACATTATATTCCTAATCACTGAATATGAGCAACTTGGGATGCAAGCGTGGTTAGAAGCTTATCATGGCCTGAAAAACGAACCTGGTACATTCTACACTAGCCTTGGAAGCTTCTGGAAACCAGGAACACCTTCATTAGACCTTGGGAAATTGACATCAAAGATAGAATGGGGAGAGGATAATACAAGGTGTTTAGATCCAGGTAAACTACAAGGACGGTCGGGGTCAATTCAGGCTGCAATAAATCTGGAATTTGAAACACCTAAAATTAGTAAGTTTTTTTAAAAATTTCATTAATTATGGTATGATATTGATGTAGTGTGTTCTGAAGCTACTATGAAAAAAAGTATTGCATTGGAACTATACTCCACCAAATCTAAGAAATACCTTTTGACAGCTATCACATTTATTGGACTAGGCATTCCAACTGAAAAATTGATACTTACAATATTCAATTCTTAAGAGAAATCGATATCGATTTCGTTAGAGTCGGTAATCATTTACAGTTTTATCTAGATTAATATCCGAATAAATCAGAAACAGATAAAATAGAAAATTTATCATTTTCTTTATATTTACTGCTTACTGCAAATTTATAGAAATAAAGTTAGTTTATAGAGATAAAGTAAAATAAGTCCCACTACTGGGCACAGGCCTCCTCTCATTACTGAAAGGTTTTAGTACAAGGAAATGTCCGCCTATACTGGTTGACAGACTGCAGTGCTTTGAGATTTTTATTTCAATTTCTCAGACATGCCAGTTTTCTCACGATGTGATCCTTCAATTTACAATTTCATTGGTTCCGGCGAAGATTGCACCCGGGTTGTTCGCGTACTGTAAAATTTACAGCAAGCACTTCAGCTAAATTATTTCAATTTCAAATTTTATGTGGTGAGGTTAAAGTTAATCGGCATTGCCTTCAGCTTTTAATTTTTAATTTTGGGCCGGTTTTGGCAGAATAGGGACATATCGTCTCTTCCCAATGCTTAATATCTAATGTAACAAATATTTAAGGTATTGTAAAGTTAACTTAATTTGCAGAGTACATAGAGGTAAAAATTGAAGGACTAAACGGACAGTTGCCAAATCTGGATCTAGTCAATTTAGTGCACAAGTTATGTGTGAAGTCTGGTATTCACCACTCCTATAAGAATAGGTAAGAGAAACTTTGATTTTTATTTATTGTAACCTTTTCGAAGGTTGGGCTTTAATAAGTTTTTTGTATCATATACGTAGTTGAGCCATGTTGCAGCTATATTATGATTGTAGCACGAATGGGGCGGCTCCACCAAGGAAGGGCCACGCTCTCACAGAATACCAGTGTAAAGTAGCAGCTTAATGCTGCCGTGTTTCGTATGGTGAATGTAGAGAACCAGAGACCCTTCTTACTGGAAACAAACATTTTGATTCTTAATCGAGGATACATGTAGATATATATAGGCCACAGAATCTTTATCATCAGGTCGACTGTGTGCTCGTTTGTCATACTATAAAAATAGAGCTATTTGCTTCACGTCCATTTTGTATTGTTACTATGTTTACACTATAAAAAATAAGTAATTTTAGCAAATTTTGTATACAGAGAATCTTATCTTTTATATCATCATCATCATGTGTATAACAAATGAAAAACGAACTTTTCACCAAATGTCATCCTTACCTACACAAGGTGTTCTTGCTGGATATTTAAGCTATCCAAAAACGCAGAAAACCAAATTGCATGGGCTGTAATGGTTAGCATCACCAGTGTGAAGGTCAGTTCATCACTTACCAATCCTAGCTGGATCTTTCAGCGAGTTGAACTTGAGTATGGGTTGTATTAACAACTAACACAATTCTACATACATGTAATGCAATACATTTCGTGTGTTCACCAATGCACCTGCCAAGTGTGGTGATTAAGGCAGATCCTTCAAATGGGAGACGCCACCAGCGAGCTGCTGATGAAAGAAAAGAGGATAAAAACTTCTCCAATTGTAATATAATTGAAAGTTAAATGGGTTCACTCGACTGTCCAAATCCAATCAAATCCTACAATGGGAGATGTTCGTGATATATTTAAGCAGGTGTTTCCGAATCAGTGGTAAAAGTATTTTGACTTTTAATAAGTATTGTTATAACCTTTATTGAATAAAAAATATTTTTTCTATTCTAAGTCCAGGATGAGAGTTGTTGAAAAATGAGATGTTAATAAGTAAAAGTACTTGGGCCGCTCCCTTTATAGCGAGAATTCGCCTTAATCATCACGTTTGACACATTGACGATGGAAGCACTAGGCGTCTCGCGCCTTGGATGCTGCTCCCGTCGCCGGTCTGGATATACTTCTATTAAAGATGTTTAAAATTAATTAGTTAAGATCCGGGTTTTTGAAATAAAACGATGTGTCTTAACTAGTTTGAAGAGCACCTCCCTCAGTCGTTATTGATACCAGGCATGTCTTGCTTTGTTATTAATTCAATTTTTTCAAAAAGTCTATTTTCTTACTTAATATTTTTTACCAGTTATTCATGGATACGACGTAACAAGATGGACGAATGGGTCAACGGAATTTGGACTATGCTGGGAATGGTGAATACACTGTTTCCTGGGGTAAGTGTTGAAAGCAGTTTTAAGAATGTTTTTCTTTGACAGTTATATTGAAAACCAAATAAATTCTCGACTATTAAATCGAGAAGGTCAAGCTTTATTGTCGACTTGGCAAGGTCACGCTACCCACTCCCATTAAATCCGGTACATTATTTTTATATCTGAAGAAAAGCACATTATTTTGATCTACAATTTTCAGGTACCAAATGGCAATCACGGGCTGTTCCATCGCTTCGGAATCGAAGCTGTGACTCTCGAAGGTAGAGATGCAGATGACCCAGCTGGCATCCCACCTAAAGTCAATTCACTCCCTTCAGCCAATTTCTACCGTCTGGGAATTGCATTAGAGAGCATACTGAGGTCTCTTAACAATTTGCTGGAAAGATTCCATCAGAGCTACTTCTTCTATCTTCTAGCAGCAACAAATAGGTTCGTTTCTATTGGTAAGTCGCCTGACACATATAAAACTCATTAACAGCTTAATACAAAATGTCAAAGGAGAACGCAGAAATATTAATTGGGATAGCAAGTTTTTATTTTACCGAATTTTGGAAAAACATTGGGTAAAGCCTCACACTAGAAATGTCTCCTGTACTGTAGAGGCATTTTGCTTTTATATATTTTATAAATTGCTCATTGACAAGTATCCAGATGTGAAAAAATTGTTTTTAGTCTAACAGTCAGTTGTTTGTGTACAAACTAGTTCCACTGCACTATGAAGCCTCTTAAATGCCAATAATAATGTATTTTTTGTAGAATAAGAATGGCAAAAGTTAGCCCATGGATCTGCAAAATTAAAAATCCTTGATTAAGAATCAAATTATAGATGCGTTGTCACCACTGAGGGCTAAGAAAGAATGCCTAGTTAAAAAGGGTCTCTGGTTCTCTATCCACCATACGAAATACAGCGGCATTAAGCAACTATTATGCGCTCGTATTCTCTGATAGCGCCGTCCTTCCCCAGTCGAGCCGACTTATTCGTACCACAACTAGCATAGCTGCAGCGTGGCTTTACCTCGCAATAAAGATACTATTTATCACTGGGTTCAATTTATCAATAGATAGTGCTGGATGGGTCGGCTTGACCCGGAAAGTACCAGGCTCTCAATTATTTATTGAATCATATTATTCATCACCCAAGAGTTCCCGCCGCATCCAGGATGAAAATCTTGGGCAAACAGACGATGAAAATGGTTGCGAGTGAAAATGCATTTTGTTTTTCACAAAACCGATGTGACAAACGATCTTACAGTTAAAAGTTAAAAGATGGTGATATGATATGGAATGCCTAATTTCCACTAAAAAGAATTTCCGGTTCTCTACACTCACCATACGAAACACGGCAGAATTAAGCTGCTATTTTACACTGGTATTTTGTGAGAGCGTGGTCCGACTCCGGTCGAGACCACACATTCGTGCTACAACCATAAGATAGCTGCAGCATGACTCTACCACGTAAATTGTGATGGATCGAACACGACCATTCAAATTCAAATTTTTGATAGGCCTAGGCAATTTATCACTGTTGCGTTTCGATTTACGGTAGAACACAACATCGGCCTTCATAAAAGTGTGGTATGTTTTAAAATTAAAAATTATATTAACTTTTAGGGCAATATATGCCATGTCTATGCCTGCTGTGTGGAGCGATGTTAATACGAGCGCTGTCACTGTGGGTCAGCATACAGCAGGAAGATGAAGAAGCAGACAAGCAAACAAAGGAGCAAACTTCAAAAGACAAATCAATAGATAAGGGAGAGGATGAGAAATTAGAAAAAAAGAAATCGGAAAAGACATCAGATGATGAATCCGAGGACCTTGTGACTGAAGAGAGGGAGATAAAAACAAGAAAGAAAGAGACAGATGATAGCCTTAGCATAGTTAATATGGGGGCCAATTATCTATTGGTGCATCTATTGGGGTACATTGTAATGAATTCACCTGTGATATTCAGTCAGCTAGGTAAGTGTTGTGCATACCTTATGTTTATTGTAACTGTTCTCTTAGACAAATATGTGAAGTTCCATTTTTATGTCGATCATGAGTTTCATAAACACTTGCCTTCAGTTTGGATTTTTGGTCTTATTATCAGTAGAACTATGTTTGTACTTCTTTTTATTTTAAATGCATTAGACACACATTCTAATTTATTCTCTTATTCATTAGAAATAGTCCATTCGAAGTCCACTGCTGAATTTAGGCCTACCCTATAGAGATGTATTTATAGTGGTAGAGCCATGCTGCAACTGTATTATGGTTGTAGCACGAATGGGTCGGCTCGACCGGGGAAGGATCACGCTCTCACAGAAAACCAGCGTAAAATAGCAGCTTAACGCTGCTGTGTTTCGTATGGTGAGTGTAGAGAACCGGAGACCCTTTTTACTGGAAACGAGGCATTCCATCTTAGTCCTCACGGGTGACAACGCATCTGCATTTTGACTCTTAATCGAAGATAGATGTATGTCTATGGGCCACAGCGACCACTTACCATCAGGTGGACTGTGTGCTCGTTTGTCATCCTTATCCTATAAAAAAATATGTTTTTTTTATTATTATTATTTATTTATAATACTAGTGATCGAAATTCAACCGTAATTTATAAAATGATTAAGTTTATATATAAAGCAAGCTGTATTTCATTTTCAACCGCACATTAAATCTCAAATATCTCATACAAAATAACCATCAGTTTTATTTTTGCTAGTCATACGCTACAAAAATTATTGATAAAGAATAAACATTTGAAATCACACAAAATTAAGTAGTAAGTAGAATTTGTTGGCACTTGGCAACATTTTAAAATTCTTTGGCGTCAATGTCTACTCTGTGCGACTGTTTGACCACAATATTTATAGTTGACATTGGCAATATGAACGTAAACAAACGACAGAGTTTGACATTGACATTATGAATGTAAACAATGTATATGTTTTATTGGAGTTTAATCTTTGGATATACTTGGGGACTAAAAGAGCGGCGTTTTTCGCTACATGTTGCTCAACAACTACGTGGAATGTCCTGAGACATATGTTGCGGAACATTTTGCAGGCCACACTAGTCAGTGCTTATAGAAATGTCGCCCGAGGAAGTTGTGGCGATTAGTGCTGCGTACATGGTACTTATTTGGGGAGCGAAACGTAAACGAAAGTAATATTTTAAGTGATCTCCGAATGTCTGACAGATTTTACTTGAATGTCAACATCTGATTTTGAAACTTTATTACAAATGATCGGACCTTCCATAGCAAACAGGATACAATACTACAGAAAGCTAACAATCACTCATTCCCACTCAGGCCCACATATCAGACTTGCCATTGCATTAAGATACTTGTTGACTGGAGCGGGTCACTGTGCAACGTTGCATAGTCACGTAGATTAAGTGTTCCGCGTCATGCTGCAGGACAAAACTTCCCCTAGTGTATCCGGGGCTTTACTCCTTAAGAATAGTTTCATGTTTAGTGCACAGTATGAAGAATAGATGGGTATTAAAATCAAGCGTTAAGAGGCGTATTACAAAAAAACGCGAAATTACAAGGTTTCCTCTTTGAAATTGTATGTTTACCGTTCGTTGAGCTAACAAGAAAATATTATTATAGAAAAATGTGGTCTATTCATTGACCTAGATCATTGTTATTTGTGGGCTTCACCTAATGGTTTATACAGCGACGGTCTTATTGAAGTTAAATGTCCTATTTTAGCTATCGGAATAGATTTTGACACGGCCTTTCGACCAAAAAAAAGTTAAAGGTTATAAATTCAGTGATTCAAGTGTAACATTAAATCAAAGTAATGACTGGTTTTACCAAATCCAAGGCCAGCTTCATTTAGCAAATAAAAATATCTGAATACTTGCCATAATGTGTACTGGCCCAGATTATGCACTAAAAGTACTAAAAATTTACAAAGACAACCAATTTTAGATTTTCAATATGTTACCCAAGTTACAAGCTTTTTATGAAAAGTGTGTACTGCCTGAAATTATCGACTCGAGAAAAGTTCGGTCAATGCCGTCGCAGCAAATATTTTTCTAATAAAAAATATGGTAATTGACTGTAAGTACCGATTAAAAAATATTAGTTACATTTGGTTGTTTTATTTATTAAAACAGGTTGCCGTTTATTTATTTATACCACTATTCTACCGGTAGTAGACATAATCGATTATTAACATTCGATTACGGGGTACAATTAAAATATTTATGTGTACTTATTTTGTCACTAAATTTCATAAATAATGCAAAATATATCTAAATGGTATATAATTATTACGGCCCCCAGCTGCCCCGGCAAAAGTCGAATGGGCTAGGGCCTATAGTAGCCTCCTCGACGAGCAGCCGAGGGTTCGGGCCCAATGGCCTATGGATAATTCTAAATTAATGGCAAATAAGCAAGCACAACTTACCGAGTTCCGGAGGTAGGGTTGACCACAGGGTACCATCAGGGGCAAGTGGGGTGTATGTGAGTAGTGTGTAGTAGTGTGTACATGTAACTTGACTTAACCGATGTATTCGGACCGCAGATCCACAGGCGCTGCTTTTATCCAAATGTGCGATCCCTCGAGTGGTCAATCACCAATTGAAAACTTCTGCTATTATTTTCACTATATTAGTTTATCAACTTTATTGTACATTTAATTAACTTCAAAGTAAACCAAATCAACGTTCATCGAAATTAAAACAAGTGACACACGACACAAGTAAAGAACAGTCGGTCAAAGTTCATTGTTTCATGTTCACTTAGCAACAAATTATAATCGAGCACACGCGATCTCCTCTAGAGTCACAAAGCTTCAGCGTTCCGCCCGACAAAGCAAAAATTTCTATCGTACGATATTAAATACCACACAAGCAATCAAAACTCAAAAATCAGCCTCGTTGACACGTAAAACGAACGAAAATAGACAACACACAAAAAAGGCACTTAACGCGACGTTACAATTCAATATTAACTTCCAAAAGCAATTAACCGGCCGACGCGCGACAAAATCTTTTCCATACTTTAAGACAAGCCTCGTTATCAAGAAACGTACAAATTAAGACAACTCCATAGGAGGCACGCGCCCGGCCACCGCGCTACAGTTCTTTTCTAGACTTTAACAATAACGTCCGTCGCGCAACAATTATTTTCCATACTAACTTTGCGGCCGCGCCCTCGAAAGGAATGCGAGCGAGGAGCGGAGGTACCAGGCGGTGACTCGTACCGTCGAATGGACGCGTCGAGCGCGCGTCGTAAATTCAAGTTTCAAAGGTTAATATTTGGCCTAAACAATAATAATAAATATTAAATTATATAATTATATAATAATAAATTAATAAGATATCATTAAAATGACACACCAAAAAATTTTCCATCCACTGAAGTCCATCCTAAGAAAACTTTGTATTATGGAAGATCAAGATCGTTTAATCGCCATACTCACAGTATTATAGTGCGAGCGAGTGAATAGATATGAAATAAAGTGTCGGCCGCGTAGCTCGCCGCCCGCTCGGTGTGTAAAATACCTAAATTTGCGAAACGCCGAAATGTAAGAACATTTCGGCGTTTCGCAAATTCTCTTCACAAGGGCTCTTAACAAAAATGAAGCCGTCATAGGTTTTCCTCTACACAACTATGTTCTCTCTCTTTCGTCACTTTCTCTCTCTCTTTTTCTAAATATGTGGAAAGTTCGGTGGGGCTAGCATAACATCGTGACCAGTGTTTCTATAATATGATTACAGTATTCAGTATACATGTATAATATTAGTCATATATTTCCATGTAATATAATTTATATAGTATATTTCAGCAAATTAATTTAAATAAATATATGGGTTCATTTATTTCCTTTGCCTATTGTACATTTTTTAAGACAATCGTTTTTCAGAAGTAAACTCCAGTCACGCTTCGAAGCTGACACGCACAATTTTGCACGCCTCACAACGTGAGGGAGTGCTCCACTCTCGATATCCGGGCCATATCTCAATTTCGCTAAATAAAATCGTTCTTATACTTTTAGCTAGACACCAAATCCATATTATTATTAACATTACACCAAGTACAGACATTGAATTATAAGATTACTTTAATTCTAATTGATTCACTTTAGATTACATAACAGAAAATATAATTGAAAAAATATATGGACTGCCGTCCGTTGGTCTATGCGTCGGCGAGTCTTGTAGTGAGTCGCTTAATAGAAATGTAAGCAATAGATTTAGATATATAGTATTAAATAAGATTCCATGTATTCTAAGGAGGATCCCTATTGATTTTTGTTTTTGAACTCATCACCGTTTAAAAGTTATTAATGAAAGTCGATTAGACTCTCTGTTTTTGTTTTTTTTTTTTTTTGTAAAAAATATCGTTTAATATTTTCATCTCTTTCTTGTGATATACTCATCCTTGTATTTCTTTGTTTCCTGTACATACTCTTGTATTATTTTGCCTCAAACAGCGCCACGATAGGATAAAATAATATGGATTTATTTGAATAGTTTTCTCTTTTAGACAATTATTATTTTTTAACATAATAAGCGTGTGTGGCGTGCACTTTTGGATTTTCCAAATATTTTTTTATTTAATTAAGAGTATTTGTACCACATTATGTTATATAAATTTTAGCTTTCTGCACCCCTTATCTATATAGACGGTAGAGTAAGTTAAGTTATATATATAGTTGTATATTGTTCCGTGCGCACAATACGCTAAAAGTAATTCCTTAACATATCAATATTTTTTTATAATTTTATTATTATTATTCACAGGTGCAAAATACTACGATCAACCTTCAGAGTTATCAGTGTATTGTGGTCTCATCGCAGCGTCAGTGGTGCTGGTCATAGTTGCCCCATACCTACCACGTCTGCTGCGCACCAGACCCATGACCCATGAGGAGATGTCGCTGGTGAACATTCTCGTGCTCATAGAACTAGCCACGGTGTGCCTTGCGATCGGCATGCATAACTTCTCATTGGGCTTCATTCTGGCCACTGTTTACACTCCGCTTGCGTTGGTGGTTAGTGTGGTAGAGGACGGTGGGGGGAAGCGGTGAGTGGTTTTCATAATTCTCAAAAATATTTTTATTTGCAGCATTTTGTGTCCTACTACAGGGCTAAGGCCACTTTAAACCTTTTTCACTCTTCACGATTTAAGGCTTTTTATGTTTCCACCATCTCCTAGGCCTTTATAAGGGGGACCAACGAGCACACAGTCCATCTGATCATCTGACATTTACATTTATTCTTAATTAAGAATCAAATTGCAGATACGTTGTCACTCCTGTGGACTAAGATAGAATGCCTTGTTTCCAGTTAAAGGATCTCCGATTATCTACGCTCACCATACGAAACACAGCAGTGTTAAGCTGCTATTTCACGCTGGTATTCTGTGAGAGTGTGGTCCTACGCCAATCGAGCCGACCCATTCATGCTACAGCTACATAATATAGCTACAGCGTGGCGCTACCACGTGTTATTGCTAATTCTACAATATTTCGGACATTTCCTTGAGTCAACTTTTACGGGATCCGCATGTGACTTGTATTGGTGGGTTTTCTTAAGCCTGCTATTTAAAATTAATAAATCTTTTTATTTTCAGCAGTGTCCTTTTGCAATTGAAGCGTTTCTACTGCCTACTTCTCCAACCTCTGTGCTTGCTGTCCCTTTGCATGATGGCGTACAGCACAGTGCTGTACCCCGAAGAAGGCTTATGGAAAATGGTGGGCCGGGGAAAGGACGCTGCTATGCAAGCAGTCATGTTCTCCATTGTGGACTCACTGGTAACTAACGTTGGATATTATTTTGCTTTAAAGCAGCTTCTTTTTTACGATTACAGCCTATTAAAGTCCTGCCTCATGGGGGGGATATTTGCCATAGTTGCCACGCTTGACAAGCGGGATGGCAAATGCATTTTTTTTATTTTTAGTAGTTATAAAGAAGACGCTACTGCTCATCTCCTAATTTGTGGCCTCTTACGACAACCACGGGATGATATGGGGTAGTGGATATTCTTACACAGCCACTACACGGCCCCTTTTTATTGGAGTTTAATTTAGCTTACTCCTTAAGAGCCAATTTTCATAAGCCCACAGGGCACAAATTAGATGGGGAGTGAAATGGAGTGTTCACAAAAAATTACTCACAGAATACCAGCGTAAAATAGCAACTTAACACTGCTGTGTTTCGTATGGTGAGTGTAGAGAACCGGAGACCCTTTTTACTGGAAAAGAGGAATTCCATCTTAGTCCTCACGGGTGACAATGCATCTGCATTTTGAGTCTTTATTGAGGATAGATGTAGATGTCTATGGGTCACAGTAACCACTTACCATCAGGTGGACTGTGTGCTTGCTTGTCACCTACCGACCCCTACTAAGAATAATACACAAGGCTATTGAAATTAAAATACATCCTAATTTCAATAGAGAAGATGGATGGGTGCTACCATCTGCTAAAATTAAGGCTAAACCCAAGCATACCACTGCAAGACTTTAAAATATTGTAAGCTCGTTCTGCGTAGATCGGACCGAAAATTAACATTCAAGAACTGAGCTGCTATTTTACGCTGGTATACTGTGGCACGTGTTCCTTACCCGGCCGAGCCGAACCATTCGTCCTACAATCATAATATAGCTGTAGCGTGGCTTTGGCACTGTGAAAAACTACCCACTACTATTTTATTTTTACTAACTGTTCCCCGCGGCTTCGCCCGCGTGCGTGTTTTAATTTTATTTCGGGGAACCTTAATCATTATTCTAAAATTAAAGTAGCCTAAGTTACTCCTTATAACTTCAGCTATCTGCCAGTGTAAGTCCAGGGCCAGCCATTTCGGAGATTAGCCGCAACAAACAAACAGACAGACAGACAGACAAAAATTTTAAAGATTGTGTTTTTGTTATATGTACCGTATATACTTTCATATGCAATTAGTAATAAGCTGTGGTTTTGATATTACAAACGGACACTTCAATTTTATTTATTTGTATAGATAAACATTCAAAGAGATACTGTACGCTCAATATAATTTGTCTCGGTAAGGCAAGAGTGAATAGGCCTTTTGTTACGCTACGACAGTGCGATTTACAATCTAGGGCTTCATCACCACTCACCAGCTCACCGCCAGGTAGAATTGTGGTGCTTCACCATTGGTTTGTAATAAGTAAAAAAAAAGTTAATTATTGATAATTCATGATGAGTATATAAAGTTATTAAAGTAAAGGTAATAGTATAAATAGTAGTTGTAATGTCCTTGCTATTCAAGGAATACAGGAAGGGCTTATTTAAACACACCGAAGCCGTAAACGATCATTTATTCACACAATACAGGGTAGCCGTAGAAACCGTTATTATTATCTACCGACATAATATGCTACAGTAGTATAATACGTAGTAATTAATTCATTCTACTAATAAATTATAATATGTATAAATTTTGTTTCAGATATATGGAAACTGGTTGTACAATGTTGCTACGTCTATCCTTTTGCCAACTTGGATTATCTTTTGGCAAATTTTATGTAATAAGGTGGAGACTGCTTAGAATAAATTTTATCTAATTTAGGTATTGAAATTATTTAAAATTACATGTTATATAATACTTATTACTTTTGTTATTATATAAGTTCACATTTCTCAATTTCGCCATCAAACCATTGAGAACAATAATTACAAGGAAGAGCTGTGTAATCATTATTTACAAATAAATAATTAAATTTACACTTAGTATTAAGCCGTTGTTTTTGTGTTGCCCATTCCAAAGACTTAAATAAATTATTTTGTAAAGGAATGTTCTGTTTTTGTATATTCCAGTAAAACTTAATAGCTAATGCTTAGCGAAGCGTAAGCTTTAAGCGAAGCTTCAATGGGGCCCTCATATATCTGCACTAGCTAGCAAACTTAGTTTTGCAGCAGATGTTGTAAAAAAGGTTAGAGGCCTTACATGTGTTGAAACAGCTAGATTGGTTTATTTTAGTTACCATCGCATATAATAATGTCATATGGAATCTTGCTATGGGACAATGCGATTGACATTGAAACTATCTTTGTTATGTAAAATAGAGCCGTAAGAGTAATTTATAACCTAGGTCTGGTCTAGTCTAGGTCTGTCCCTTAGAGAAAAATTTAAAGAAATAAATATATTAACTTTAACATCTCAATATATTTACGAGAATTTTATGTATGTACACAAAAACAAAAATAGTTTTATTAAAAATAGTGATGTACATTGTGTAAATACTAGGAATAAGCACAAGTTAAAGTAATTCCTTCATGGGACAATGTATACGCTTTTACAATAAAGTCCCAGAAAATATGCAGGCCTTGTCTATCAAAAGGTTTAAAATATTAAGCAAAAATTGTCTAGTAAGGGTTATTATAATACTAAAGAGTACATTATTAGAAATCTATAACTTTCCACTTTTGAAAATTATTAAATTTCAAATCGGGATGTTAAATATTTTTTTAATACAAAGGAGAAGCTGACTAGAATTATTTATCAATGAAACCATATCGGAATATCCTTGAACTATAAAGTTGCTTATTAAAAAAAAATTTAATTGAATTTTTAATGAAAAAAGGATTATCAAAATCGGTTCACAATTGACGAAGATATAGGGTAACATACATACAGTCAAATTATAAATAGATAGATCTTTAAATAATTGAAAGTGCATATTGGCGTGTGAATATTGTAGAGTGAATATGGAACATTTCTGGCATTTCTAAACGCAATATATTGCTAAGTAAGTTGTTAACGTTGCCACGCTCTTGCGCTATCTTCCCGCTAGTCGCGAGGCAAAGCGTTGCCATTTATAATTTATCTGGCTGACACTGTTTACAACTGCCATTTTATTGCTTAACTAACTGTTCCCCGCGACTTCGTCCGCGTGTAATTTAGGGTTTTAATTATATTAAAACCCTAAATTACACGCGCTCAGAACCCTAATGCTTTTTCTCAAATATAAGTAGCCTAAGTTACTCCTTAGAACATCAGCTATCTGCCAATGAAAGTCCCGCCGAAACCGCTCCAGTCGTTTCAGAGATTAGCCGGAATAAACAGACAGACAGATAAAATTTTTAAATATTGTGTTTTTGTTATTAGTACCGTATATTCATTCATATATATACGGTACTTATAACAAAAAGCTTATAGCGGTCGCAGCTAAGTTCTGCAAGACCCGCCGCAGAAGAACACAAAAACTCTCCGATCACACTCTTAATCTAATGGCTGTTAGACGGGAGATGAAGCTACATTCTTCAACAGATTTGACAGCATACAGGTAACTGAAGAGACAGATCTCCAAATGCATGCGGCGGGACTTACGCAACTTTAATAGAACTTGTATTGAAGAAGCGATCGAGCGGAACCAAGGCTCCAAAGTCTTTGCCAGAGATCTGTCTGCCAGAAAGAGCTAACTGTCAAAGCTGAAGACCGAGTGTGGCAGCATCTTTTCCGGGACACCTGAAATTTTGAGTGAGATTGAGAGGTTCTATGGGCAGCTGTACACGTCATCGTTGGAGCCACACGCAAGTGTGAGTAACGATCCAAGAGCGAGTCTAATCCGACACTATTCCGAAGATATCCCGGACGTCAGTCTGAGCAAGATTAGAATGGCTCTCCAGCACCTTAAAAACGGAAAGTGAGGATGGAATTACAGCGGAGCTTTTGAAAGCGGGTGGAAAACCGGTACTTGAAGTCCTTCAGAAGCTCTTTAATTTCTGTACTCTGTACGTGAACACCTCCATCCCGCTGCACTCTCCCACTCGGAAGTGCCTATATTATTTTTTTATAAAGCTGCAGTCAAAAGCACTTTGTTTTCACCGATTTTACGCTGGTTTTAGCTTTGCGGGACTTAAAAAATATGATTATTAATTACATTTCGTTTCCTTTACTTTACAGTTACCGTCGTTTTGTAATGGTTTAATGAGGTGAGAGTATAGCTTACTATTTAGAGGTGTGTTTTATCCGGCAGTCACAAAACGTGTTACGTAGAGGGGTGAACTTACGCGTAAACATCATATTAGTCTGTGGATGAACTACAGTTATCGTTAAAATAAATCAATTGAGAGGAATAGTTAGCATCTTTTAAAAATCTGTTAATTAAGTCAAACTATATAACTGGTAATAGAAATGTTCATGGATGACGGTGATCACCTACCATCAGGTGCGCCGTATGCCCGTTTGCCTCCTTATTTCATACACCAAAAATGATGAAACAAGTACTCCGATAGTGACGTGAATCTGTTAATGTGTCTGTTAATCTGCTGGCTCAAGCTGCGTTAAAATCTCCCAAAAACTTCGCAATGTGATGCACCAACATTGTGAAGAAAATTTTACGTCAGTTTAAATTATACTTAAGACTGGCAAAAGTAAAGTGCATTGCCAAAAAAGTTTTTTTTATTTCTAAATATGTTTTGGCTGATTGTTGGTTTTGTTTTTCACTTAAAACATGTTTTAACCCTTTCGCTGTCCCGTGCACTACATATAGGTCATTGATATTGTCTTACTATTGTGTCTGCAAGCTGGATAGTGAAAGTGTTAAGCTGAATTTTGATACGTAAAAGTGTTGCGATTTTATGTATTAAATATTTGCGCATGTGAACAATTATTTATTTATTTTTTTACAACTACAAAAATACATAATATTATACACAATTCATAAGTACAGAGCATCATAAACCTATATAAGATATAAGATTTTTCTGCACCCTGCACAGTTCGCCGTCTTTCGAGCGTAAACATTTTAATATTATTTAGAGTAAGAAGGTAGTTCGCTCGCTTCTATAACAATAATTTTAGAATGAGTTGTAGGTAGTATACATGTGGCTCGGAGGAAAAATTATTTTATATGTTTGAAATATAAATATACCTAGTAATCATATTACAAATAGTATACATATATAATAAAATATAGTATACAAATAGTATATAGTATTAGTTTTTAGTTATATTATGTTAGTTATTATATAAGTTGATTCTAAAGTACGTTTTTAATTTGTGTTTAATATTTTTAGGATTGATATCTTCCTTTAAGGTTTTAGGTAGTTTATTAATTAATTTAGGAATAATAATCTTATTTTGATGATCTCCATACATATTTTGGGTTTTAGCTTAAATTAATTTAGGGTTATAAATACTTCTAAGCTGGTGTTTATACATAGGTAGGACTTGCAATTTTGTATTAAAGAACTGTTCAACAAGAAAAGTAAGTTTTAGTTTTTCTTCAATAGGCAGAATACCGCAAAATTTGAATAATTTGTTGTAGTTATCCTTTTAGTGTTGTGTGATTTTAAGGGGGACAATTGTTTTGATGATTCTAAGCTTTAGTTCATGGATACTATAAAAATGCGATTTCCAGGTTCTACCATAGCTACTTAGTCCGTATTGTATTATCGATTCGGCCAGAGCCTTGTAAAGCGATAACAGTATAGGATAGAGAATTTTATATTTAACTAGCTGACTCGGCGAACTTCGTACCGCCTTACAGTCGATCTTTATTTTTTTTTAATACTTATTCTGCTATTCGGGACACCGGGTCAGTTAGTAAGATAAAAAAGAAAGTTGATAAGTCAACAATTATATTATGTCAAAAAATAAAAATTATAAAATACTATTGACAAATATTGACATTAATATTTTTATACGATAGTGAGGTCACTCAATTGTTTTGCGTTCCCGGAACCCCTCCCCTAACACTTAAACTTTATTGTATGGTATTAAAGTTCAAATTGACTTTTAAGTATTATTACGTATCTTTTCTATGGGAATATAGAAAAGTGTTGTTTTTTGACTTTTTCAGGCAATTTTTTTATTTTTTCTCTCCGTAAGAACCATCTTCGACGGCTCCTTGGCGCAGTGGCTTAGCAATCAGTTGTTGCGCTGGGGGCCGCGGGTTCGAATCCCGCACGGAACAAGTATTTGTATGGCCTACAAATAATTGTTCCGGGTCTGGATGTTTGTCCTTGTGCAATTTATGTTTGTAAACTGCCTCCACGACACAGGAGAAAATCCTAGTGTGGGGGTGTAACGTTTTTTTAAAAAGTAAAAAGAAAAAGATCTTCGTACTTAAAAGAATATTATAAAAAATAATTAGCGAAATCGGTTGAGCCGCTTTCGAAATTTGCGCTAAGCAACACATTCAGCGATTCATTTTTATATTATAGATTATAGAAAATTTTGCAAGTATTGCCCTTAACTTATCATACTCTTTATTAATATGGTGCGTCCATTTAAATTTCCAATTTCAGAGATATTAACTTATGATAGAATAACTAAATCAATACCTGTAGGAAAAGTGACTATAATGTGTTCTAAACTAGAAATTTTTTAAATTAGTGACCTTATTTTAAAATGAATACACGTTAGGTTAGTTTTATGTGGAATTTTGTGAATTCAGTCAGGTTAGTACAGTTTTTTTTTAATTCAGTGACGTGATCAGGTAAATCCATTGTAATTATTGTAAATATGTATAAATGTAAGTAAGCTTAAAAAAATTAAGAAAAAAGAAATCATGCGTTGATAACTATAGAATCGATAGAATTAGTGAATTACCTACTTAGGCTCTAAGTAGTCTGGCAATATCTTCTTCGCGATGGATTATAATGATATCACCTTGTTCTTCTTTTCGTGCTCGGAGGAAACCTCGTTTATACCATACGAACTTGTAGGTAGGTTTTAGCTTTTGTTTCGCTTCACATAGTAATTTCTTGTTATAATAAGATAAAATTTCACGTATGTAAATAATCTGCTTTCCTGTCGCCTCCGTCTGATTATCCACGAGATCATAAGCATATAGTTTTGAATTTTTCGGTGCAGTGATCCATTTTGCTTAATGCTGTTTCATTTTTAAATGTAATTTCAATATTTCCTGGCTTTTTTTCCTGGCAAACGTTTTGTAGATTCAATATCATCAACAGAGACTGATAATTTATCTGCAATTTTTTTGCCAATGTCGCTAAGTATTTCTGTGTTATATATTAGGGATACTTAATATTTCAATTTGTTTGTTTAGCTGCGATTGTTCAATATTCTTTATTAGTTGCTCTAGTTCACCAACGCGCGTTTCTAAATAATTATTTTTCTTAGCGAGTTCTATATTTTTCTTCTGTAATTCTTTCATTGTTAATTTTAAGGCATCTATAGACACAGTCATCTCGTCCATTTTATCCCTTTGCTGTTGTAGAGATTTAATTATGTCTCGCAGTTCTCTTTGAAGAGCTTTTTATTTAGAGAATTAGAAGATAGTGTTTAGGCCCAAAAATGGTCATGTTAGACAGCATCCAATCGCCTTCGGCTTGGCGAATCACTCGATGATGTCGAGGTGAGGTAACGCCGACGGTGGGGGGGGGGGGGGGAGCGTGCCGCTGGCAGTCGTTCGACGTGCGAGCAGAACAGTAACTTTAGGGCCGCGGCGCCGTCGCAACGTAACTAATTTGTAGTCACCGCGGTAGCGATTTCGTGCGACCAGTTTTTGTTTTATGGTCTAGATTTTCAGTATTCGTGCGCGTTACTTCGCTACTTAAATTGTGCAACGACGAGGAATTGTGTAGTCTAGAACATTAGACGCCGGGTTGACTAATTGTTGGGAAGTTAATGCTTAATTGTACCGTTGCGTTAAGTGCCTTGAAAGGTTGCGTTCGGTTTTCGAAATATTTTGTTGCGGAGTGAACGGAAGTGCACTTTGACCCACCGTTACCAGTCATGCCGCGTGTTACGTTTTTAATTATCATTAACGGGATTTAGTTTCGTTTTGAAGTTAGTTAAATGTAGAATAAAGTTGATAGACTAACATAGTGAATTGAAGAAAGAAATTGTGCATTGCTGCCGCCGCTGGAGAATACCACGCCGGGAGGCGGTGCCGGAGTCAGGGTTGCTGCTGATTAAAAAGGGCTAATTCGGGTTAAACATACATACACCTCTCACACACTACTTACATTCACTACACCTGACGCCTGAACGACCCTTGTGACCCTTCTTCGCCTCTGAACAGGTACGTACTATTTATTTACTTAGCTTATCTATATCATGTAGGTCAACTCTCCATAAGGCCATTTGGGCCCCGTCCTTAGTTATCCGTCGAGTCTACAGCTGTATGGGCCCCTGTATATTCGATCCTTTGTCGGGACAGCTAAGGGCGTGTACAGATAGAATGAAGCAACTGCTGCAAATGGTGGTATTTAGCCTCAAGATATTTTTCCACTTAGGTGCCTTGAGAACTTGATATCATAACGTAATTGACTGTTTGTTGGCCTAAGCTTTCGGTTGCTGTCAAAACCCCAAAAACTTCCGCAATATGGCGTCAGCATATTCACAATATACCGGCAAAAGTGCAAGCGTATAAGGTCATTACTAAAGAAAAAACCATAGAGTAGAGTAATATATACGAAAAAAAAAACACCTTGACAATGACATAAAAATATCACAAGATTTGTTTATTTTTTTTTATAAAAATAACCAAAAAATATCAACAAAGCTTTTACTTTTAGATCGGTGACTAATTTATATGTTAATGGTAATTCAATCAAATTCCTGAGAGGTTAATGTAATAAATAGATACATGTCTGACCTGAAGATTTGCAGAATATGCCTTCGTATAGGAACAAAAATGTACAAATATGATCAGTATCAACTAAAGTGGTGTTATGAGGATATTACTGTTACAAAAGTAAGTTTAACAGGTTTTAAAATAAGAATTTTAAGAATAAAAGACCTAACCTGACTTTTATTACTAAATAAACCCAAAACATACCCACGTTAAGTTTGGGTTTGTTTTTAAATTTATTACTTAAAGGATAGGTACTCAATTTTTTTCTCTATTTTGAATTAGACAAGTGTTTCAGCTTTCTATAATCTTTTTGTTTTGATATATTAATATGTAAGACGGAAGGGCGAACCTGTTGGCCACTTGCCGGGTTATATCATTAAAGCCTATTATGGAAAAAATGGCAAACAAATAACTATGTATTTATATTATAATGTAAAATCGGAGTATTTTTTACATTAAATAAGGAACATTAAAGTGTTTATTGTTGAAAAAAAATTGCAGCAGTGTCGCTTGGGATCATTTTACAGACAAATGTCTGAGTGTAACATTAGTAAAATATAATTTAGTTTTAAAAACTCTTAAGTCCGATTTTTCGCGCGTATGTAAAAACAATAATTTTAGATAGGTAATTAAAAAAACGAAACAAAAATAATAATAAAAATAAATGAATAAAAGACAAAAGTCCGATTACTCTTAAATAAAAAATCAATTGAAATCTTTTAAATACACCAACAATCTAGAATGTAGATAAATCTTAACGTTGACTAGTCATAAGCTTGTGTAAAGTATGAATGGACGATTGATTACTATTCATTACCTTCACGTATCGGGATCGGCTGTACATAAAGACTAAGCATACTTTAAAGTGTATACTATTCCAACAATACCAAACTCTATGCGTACTTCATGGACTAGGTGGTATTTGGATCGAGTATTAGTACGGAATTGGACTAAGTGCACCTAGTACATAATTTACCTAGTACAATTGATCTCTATATTCCGGTTATTTAGACTCGAATAAGATAATATGTTACCATCTTAACAAATATGTATGTCAAATAGCAAGAAAATTCAGTGGGAATTTTACTAATAAGTACCATAATCAGAATCAGAATTTTACTAATAAGTACCATAATTTTTTTTCATTATTCTAATCATAATGATTAGAAAAATGAAAAACTAATGAAATTTTCAGTAATCTTTGATATACTGTGGTTTATTATAGAGAAATAGGATGAAATTGGGGTTATACTGTCTTTTAATAATTAAATCAACAATATAATATATCCAAATATAATACTGTGTATTAAATTTAAACCTAGTTATAAAAAGAAGAGAATTAAAATTTTGAAAGGTATTCTGAGGCTCATCTTCCTCTTCTTCTTCTTTACTTTTTGGCTTCTCTTATAAGAATTCTGCCAATGTCAAGTCAGTCATGGGAGTGACAAGGTAAATTTTTTTTAATATAATTTTTTTTTTAAATTTTTTTGTGATTGGCTTCTAATCTACAAAAAAATACAACACAAACATTTATAATTCTACCACCAACAATGATTAGTTTTATGTTACAACTTAATACTATTAGTATAAATAAAATCACATAAAATATGAACAAATGAGGAGAACACGAGAGACAGTAGACAGGTAGAGTTAGTAGGACGAGGGATGTTTGGGGAAGGATATCATACAAGGAGAACTAGAGTCGAGGACATTCGAAAAATATGTGATCGGTTGAACCTTCATCAAGACCACATTCACATAAAGAATTATCCCTTATCCTTAATTTGGCTAGGTGTACCGGTATGCAAGAGGTTGACCAAGTAAGGCAAATGGTTGATGTAGTAAATTTGTTAGCTTCACGATAATGGAAAAACCAAGGTTTGTATGGGATTGTGTCTTGAACTCGAGCGTAGTGTTTACATTTTATGATTTTAGTTTGGTCCCAGAGACCTTGCCAAGATGCCATGAAGTCAGAACCTGCTAGTGGAAGCAAGTCATGGGGGAAAATTTGAGGCTCATCTTCTTCCTAAATATTTCAAAAGTGGTCATTTGCAGGCCCAGTATATAATAATGTAGATATTCACTTCTGAGAACTAAGCAGTAATTATTTATTAAAAATTTTAAAGAATCGATTATTGATTAATTGTATCCTGTATGAAAAGCGACAAGCTTGTACACAAGAGAGAAGAAATGGTAGACTAACAAGCTGCAGGGTGATTTTCATAATATCATCTTAAAGTCCACTAGATGCTGCTTATGGCCAAATGCTTAAATGCTACTCAATTTTAAGATGTCGTTAAATCTCGTGATGTCACAGTCATTTTGACCTAAAGTGATAGAGACAGCAATAGACTTACCGGCATCTTAAAATTGAGTAGCGCTTGAGTATTTGAGCATTAGAATCATAAATATAATAATAATGTCCTCTAGACTGAATTTCTGTCGTTGTGGCCTGTCTCAAAGGAGGCTAGCCATCTGCACAGGACAGGATTACAGTGCACTCTCTATTCCCTCACTTCCAAAGTCCGATGGGAAAGCAATCCAACATAACCGGTGTGACTTCAAGCACAGGTCTAACAACTTTTACATGCTTTCTGAGTCATGGAGACCAATTTCCCGGCTCTACGCTGCTACTGAGAATTTCTTGACAGAAAAGCCCAATAATAGATTTTGATCAACTCAGAATTAGAACCTGGGTCCACGTGATCAGCAGTCACACTTACGACAGTAGACCAATGAGACAGTCAGTATATCAAATACAGATCTTTTTTACTCCTCCTTATCAAGATGTAAGCAGTCTAGTCTTATAGTATATATATATATATATATATATATATATATATTTATATATTTATAATATTGGCCATATTCACCATGCATGTAGTACTTGAGCCTTTACATCTCTGACAATATTTATCTTCCTATATTTATCTATTTGTCAACAGATCGACGAACAGGATAAGTTGCCACATTATTTCTGTTTTGAATGTGCCACCTTGCTCTATAAATATCATAAGTTTAAACAAAAATGCTACAAAGGTCAAGCAGCACTCAAGACGTTACTCCTAAAGGGACCTGTAAGTATCTAGGGATATTTTAGTTTGATTTTCTGTTTGGCTTTTTTGAGTAAATTATATGCATTTAAATGACTGTATGGTAACATATTATGTGTAAAAAAAAAAGAGTTTGTATATGTAACCTTTGTGTAGAAGTAAAACTTTATAATAGATATTTATTTTGATTCCTGTTATCTACCTTTTTTATTGTTTGTTACTTTTTTAATTAATAATTTTTAACTTGTTTATAAAGTATTTATTAATAAAATATAAGTATTGAACTATATATAATAGAAACAAATATAATTACAATGTTTTACTTAAAAAATCTAGTTGCATTGTGATTTCCTGAGTGTTTGCATAAGCCCATGTCTATGATTTTATTGTACAATTATTACATTATTTACTGCTCAGACAAGTGCCTCTGAAAATTGGAGTAAATAAAAAAAAATGTTATGTAACCCAAATATTAATGTCCTGTAGTATTATTGCCCTCCTGAAAAATACAGTATATCACCTACCTCTTGTATCAACATATCAGTAACACCTCTTGTATACTGTTTATTGCATCTCACATTATAAAAGTGGCAAATGTTATGTTACCTTTTTTCATTGCTAACTTTTTTTCATAAACATTTAAAACCCTACAATATTTCGACATTGGGTTTCGTAACACTCTTAGTTGCTTCTTTTATTTTCCAGATAACATATAACGCTGTTAACAACTACAACTGCAAAAGTGAAAACCTTCAATCTGCTTTGGGCATCATTACAGTAAATAATCGCGTAAAAACCTATTTAATTAATGATGGACAGAATAAGATCATTCAAAGAAAAGTTTCAAAAGGTAATGATGACGGTGATGTCGGAGTATCTGTGAGTGCTGAAGATCTTACTAAAACACAAAATGCAGAAGCTGAGTTAGAAGTGAGGTCTGTTAAAATTTTAGTTAAAAATGAAAGCAGTGCAATCAAGGTCACCACAGACAATGCCCTTTTGAGTACGGATAATGTTGAAGACGATCTAGATTATGTTGTCGACACTGACAATAATTACAAATCTTTAACAGCAGTATTTATTCCAGAAAAGGATTTAGTAATAAAAACTGAAGAAGATAATATAGAAAATACCGAACTAGATGACAATATTATTGATAAAACAAATAAAAAAGTCATTAAAGAGAAACTTAGCCAAGAAAAATTAAAAAAGACCTCAAATAAAAGAGGATTAAGGAAATATGATTTCCCAGTAGCTGTGGATACTAGTAGCGTAACTAAAACCACAGATAAAAATATTAATTTAGGTATTAAGTCAGATGAAATTTCAATTAAAACTGAAAGTAATGCAATGGTCAGTGTTGCAAGTGATGTGCTTTCTGTTATGGATGATAGCGTAAATAATACAGATTGTGATTCTGTAAACAATGAAAGTTTAACAACTCCAGAATTAATTCCAGAAAACAATGTGTCAATAAAATCGAAAAATAGTAATATAGATCATTTAGACCTGGCAGTTACAGAATGGATGCAAAACAATTCTAAAAAGAAACCTATCAGAGAAAAACTTAAAAGAAGTGTATCAAATGAAAAACACTTAGGGAAAAGAAAGCATAGGAAAATAGAAAATAGTAGAAATGTCCAAGAGGAGAAAAAGTACAAGTTTACTGCAAAATCGAAAAAAGTGCTGGATCCAAGTAAATGGAGGAAGATAAGCTTGTCTGAGGAGGAGGCTCTAAAAGAGTTCGAGAAAAGAGCGCGCGATCCGAAATATGTGCAGGCTACTTATCATTGCAAAGACTGCTATAAGTTCTTCTCGAGGGAAGATATTATGACGCGTCATTTGAAATTAAGGCACAATCCGGTATTTTTTGTTTTTGCAGGCCATTTAAAATTTGTTGTATAAAAGACATCATCGGGATTTCATACATTTTTGGTCCAAATATGAAAGTGCCGGCCAATAAAAAAATATGCTGTATTCCGTTAGAACTTGTCCCCGTGAGTATTTATTATTATGACACCAAAGCTGTAGGGTCATTGTCCTTGGTTTTATTGGAGTTCAAAAATTCAACATCTTCATACATTTTCAGTGAATTTAATAAACAAAAACAAATGATTTGTTCTACCATATTTTTATTTTGAACATCGTTTAGTAAAATATATTGGTTCTTGACCTATTTCTGACAAGATAACATTTAAACCACTAATATTACTGCATAATCGGCTGGGATGCCGGGACTTTTTCCTAGAAAATGGCAATAACAATGGCCGCGCAGGTAAACACTCACGCGAACAATGGAATACGGTGCAGCGAGCAGATGCCCCTCACTTTCCCGCGAACTACCGCCATCGCGCCAGGCTCATTCGTTTGCTAGCATTCGTGTTAATTGTTTAGTACCGAAAGCAACGCTGCCGTGTATGTCTGTGTGATGCCCACTAGTTCTTGTGCTTTGATTTGTTTTGTTTTTGTTATCTCCGTTGTTAAGTTTGAACATTGCTGCGAGTCATGGCAGAGTTGTGTATCGCGTGCCGTGCATCGACAGAGAATCGGCGAAGATATGATTGGGTTTCCAGAGAAATGCAATATCTTGCTATCGCCCAAATAGTGATAGAAGATATAGTAGCTCGACAGTTGGAGCCTACTGCGTTCATTTGTCGACCCTGTTGGCAAAGAACGGAACAAACGCACCAGCGACTTATTCGGGAGGCTGAACAGCAAGCTGATCAAGACCGTGATCCATCGGAAGTTCCAAATTCAAGACCAATTTCGCTGATTTTGCCAGGTCTTCTTCGTGCTCCAAACACCGCAAATAGTTGCATTTTCCTACATTGTACGAATGAATCTCGCCGTCATGTTCCAGAGAACAGAATTTTTCGCATGGTATGCTGCTACAGCTATTTCGTGCCAGAAAGCGCGCGTGTCTGTAATGAACACGTGGAGCAAAATCTGTGGCATTTACTTCCTGTACAAGACAAATCTTCTGAGGAATTCACTGCAGCTCAAATAATGACTATCGTGTCGATGTTACAAAGACATATTACGGAGGAAATACTTGATTTTGAGCAGTATGAAAATATAGCACCAGCCGAGTTTCATACTTGGACAGGACTGACTCAAGATCAGTTTACTGAATTATTAGATAGTTTACCAAGTCTGAGAACTAAAAAGAATAAAAGAACCTTACTGGCGGCAGTATTAGTCAAGTTAAGAACAGGTGACTCGAACGCGCGGCTTGCTAATATTTTTAAATGTAGCGAAACAGCGTTTCATACGTGGTTAAAAATCGGACGCAACGCTCTGTTAGAAGATTTTGTGCCCTTAAATGTTGGGTTTAACCATATTTCCCGTGAGTATGTAGCACACAGGAATCTTTTTCTACCCAACAATCTGTTTGGGAACCCATCGAGCCCAGAAGATGAAAGGAAAGCTATCACGATTTGTGATGGCACGTACATCTATCTGCAAATAAGTGGAAATTATTTTTTCCAACGCAAGTCTTACAGCCACCACAAATACAGAAACCTCCTAAAACCGTTCCTCTTGGTTTCTTGTGATGGACACATTATCGAAGTTAACGGACCATATGCTGCCACCACGTCTGACGCAGATATAATGAACGATATGCTTAATAATGCTGACAGTGCCTTCCACTGGTTTTATAGGAGTGGCGATGTTTTTATTCTGGACCGTGGTTTTCGAGACTCAGCAAGAAATCTGGAATCTTGCGGATACGTACAACATATGCCTCAAACAAAGTATCCAAATGAGACACAGCTAACCACGGATCAGGCCAATAAGTCCAGACTGGTAACAATCTGTCGTTGGGTGGTTGAAGTGGTCAACGGCAGGTTCAAAAGAGATTTTCGCCTGTTGCGAAATGTATATAATAACAGAGCTCTTCCCAGCATGTTCGACTATTTCAAGATAGCAGCGGCGATGATAAATCGTTTTCATGTTTTGATTGAAGATAATCCAAATGCTGCTGCGATTTTAGAGATTATCCACCAAAGAATTAATATGCAAAATAGATTGGCAGATCTTGTAATACGCCATAACTACAATCGCAGACGTGCTCAGTTTACTTTAATGACTGCAGATATGCCAGAGTTTGTAGATTTTCCAAGAATGGATGAGAACGAATTATTATTATTCGCTCTGGGCGTTTATCAACTAAAACAGGCCAAAAGCTATTACGGTGAGCACGTCCTTGACAATGGAGCATTCACAATTGAGCTCAGCAATGAGTTATCAAATGAAGACTTGGCGGAATTGCAGGGCAATGATTTATGGATGATAAGAGGCCGACTGCAATCGCGGCATGTTAGAGCAAGACAGTATTATGTCTAAATTATAATAGATAGGTTGTTATCAGGCCGACAAGCAATCGCTCACTATTATTGTTCGTGCATCATAGGAAAGCGAACAATTGAATGCTGCTCCCATATTATGTGCATTATATGGTACATGAGCCATGCACGACATTTGTCAGCAATAACCCCTCCAGCTTATGGATTGGAGAACATTATTGTTGTACCAGACGATGATGATTTTATAGTGTTTAATTAAACAAAATAACCCCTGTATACATATTTTACTTATAATCCTCAAAAACACAAAACAAGATCAACATGTCCAAAATAGGTCAAGAACCAATATATTTTACTAAATGATGTTCAAAATAAAAATATGGTAGAACAAATCATTTGTTTTTGTTTATTAAATTCACTGAAAATGTATGAAGATGTTGAATTTTTGAACTCCAATAAAACCAAGGACAATGACCCTACAGCTTTGGTGTCATAATAATAAATACTCACGGGGACAAGTTCTAACGGAATACAGCATATTTTTTTATTGGCCGGCACTTTCATATTTGGACCAAAAAAGATAATGTCTTTTCATAGTTTTTTTAGACCCCTTTCTTCGCCCTTGTAACATATAGTTTATTATGAAAATAAAAAAAAAACAAATTAAATTAAACAATAAAAGTAAAGTATAGTATTAGTATAGTAGTGCATTCAGCTATTTTTTTTATAGAATAAGTGTGACAAAAAAGCACACAGCCCGCCAGATGTTAAGTGGATGCTGTAGCCCATAGTCATTTACATCTGTCTTCGATTAAGGATCAAACTACACATGCATTGTTACCCCTGAGAACTAAGATCAAATGCCTCATTTCCAGCAAAAAGGGTCACCGGTTTTCTACGCTCACCAAACGAAACACTGCAGCACTAACACTGCTATTTTATGCTGGTATTCTGTGAGTGGTTTTTCTCCGCTCGACTCGACCCATTCAGGCTAAAACAGTACAGCTCTACAACAAGTAAAAAGTAAATGATACATAATTATTGCAGTCCATCGGTCCATTCGAGTGCCGTTTCTGCCACATTCGCTTCAAGCTGAAGTGTCACCTACGCAAGCACACCCCCATGCACTACACTAAGTACGAGTGCTTGGTTTGCAACCTCGTTGTTTCCATTGAGTGAGTTTCACAATTTATTATTTTATGTGCATTTATTCATTCATTGCAAACTATCTAAAGTCCACTGCTGAACATCCTCCCTCATATGGGAGATATTTGCCATAATAGTAACAAATTAACCGTACAATGGCTGTATAACAATATCCACTAGCCCATATCGTCTCGTGGGTGTCATAAGACAGAGGAAAACTGAGGAAAAATATTGGCAGCGGCATCTTTCTGATAACAGCAATATTAAAATAAAAAAAATTACGGTTGCCAACTCGCTCGCCAAACGTTGCAACTATGGTAAACATTACCATAGACCTTTCGGCAATTGTACAGAAGACTGAAGAGTACAATGTGCCACTTTGCCATGTGTATGAGGCGGCCCATGCCTAGCAGTGGATTATTTCATGATGGTGAAGAAAAAGAAAAGATTGAAGAATGAACAAGATATCAGCCCATTTGAGATGGTATATAGCTCCTGTCCGTAGACATCTGCAATTAACTCCAAACAGGAAGATTACTGATGCCTTGTCACTCCTCGTAACTTTTTTTATAGAATAAGGGTGAAAACGAGCTCACAGTCCACCTGATGGTAAGTGGATAAGGTGGCCCATAGACATCTACATCTATCCTTAAGAATCAAAATGCAGATGCCTTGTGACCCCGCAGAACTAAGATGAAGTGACTCATTTCCAGTAAAAAGGTTCTCTGGTTCTCAATGCTGATCATACGAAACACAGCAGCTTAAGAATATCCACTACCCCATATCGTCCCCTGGGTGTGGTAAGTGGGTGTTTTACGCTGGTATTCTACTATTCCTTTCATGCTACAACCATATAATATAGATGCAGCGTGTCTCTACCACATATATAATGGATAATGAAAGACTAAGATGGAATGCCTCACAGCCTGTACTGTACATACTGTCCATCTTAATTTTCAAGCTGTAACACACCGATGTATGTGCACTGTTGCCAAACAACCCAGATGGCCTCTTAGGTAAAAAAGAAGCCTTGCAACCTCGTAAATTTTGACGTTTCAGTTGGGATAAAACGGCTTTCTGAAATTCATTTTATAAATTTGTTTTGTCGTTCCAGATCCACAGCTCTAATGCACGAAGAGGCGCATCTAGGCGTCACGAGAACGTGCAACCACTGCGGCGAGCAGTTCAGGTATGACACTAAAATAACAAGGAATAAAATATCTAAGCTGAGGTGAAATTACAAATGACAACCTGTTATTTTCCCACAGCTAACCATAGAATCTTATTACATGTTTGGACAAAAAATCCAACGAAAAAAATCTGAAATAATACGCTAGGTAAAAATGTGTCACACAACATGTAACTTAATTAACGCACATCCCCAGACACCCCAATAAGTATATTATGTTATAATCATAATACATACACTGACTTTTTATTTAAACATGCTTATGCATTGATTATTTATTAAATTAGTTATACTAATTCCGGAAGAATGTTGTGATCACATTACAAATCCACGAACGCACACAGTCGTACACGTAGGTATAAGTCTTGAGGGTCTTGCTAGCCAACTAGGTATTCGCTCGCGTGTCGCGTTCGAGACGAGTTACCGCTGCGCCGCCGCCGCTTGACTCAACTGTAGGTAGGTATTAGTGCCGAAAAAAGACGTATATGATTGTTACGTTAAAGAAATACCTACCTAGGAACATGAACCGATGTCAGAACTCCGAGCATCGGGTTGTTTATTTAAGTCTAGTAAACATTTGATTGCATTTTTCCATCACACTTTTCAGGCTTTGGACTGTCGACTCTGAATAACTTTATTTATTGATTATGATACAATGTCAATAGGCAATATTCAAAAAATAATTACAAATGCAAATGCATAACATTTTAATTGTAATTGTAAACAATAATGAACTGCTAAAAATAAGAGGCGATACAACAACATAATTCAAAGACTGCGTGTTTAAAAGATGTGAATCAAGATTACAACAATTTAAAAAATCAAATACTTAACTTACTGATAGCCTAAACTCTTATGCAACGTTGTATTTTTAATACACTTTCAAAATGTCCACCACCTTTTTTTTATTTTCTTTTATTTATTTATTAAGAAGAAACATACAAATCACAGAGAAATCAAATCTAACATCGCTTGTCGCAACTTTAAGTTTTCGTAAAATGTAATTTGCTACTCACCTTGTTCAATACATAATGACCGTTTTCTTAATTAATATTTTAATTTAGAAAGCACTTGTGTTATTATTTATTATTCTAAAAACGTTTACTATCCTATTTTTAGGTCCTCGGCACTTGTTGTTTCACTAAAATAAACTAATGATTTAATACGTCCCCACAAAAAAGAAAAGTCAAGAGGCGTCAAACCACAGATCTGGGAGGTCACAGGACAGGACCGTCGCGACCGATCCAGCGCCCTCCAAACTCTGTATTTGTAAAGACTTAAACGTGCTTGAAATAAGGTTCATTTATTTAAATTTTGTATGGAATGACGGAATTAGTATTAATACAAATAAAACTGCGCATTTAAGTCTTATTGCCTTGAGTTATGGTATATTTCAGTTTGTTTTGACTGTGCAGGTTTAGTGTGATTGTAATTTACGTAGTTTTAATTATTTTTAGGATAAAAAATTAGCTATATTAAAAATGATAGAAATCGTAATGATTTCTTATATTTACGCTAACATTACACATTGAATAAAACTACTTTTACGGATTCTATCGCGTTTAAAAAAAAGTTAATTAAACGCGATAGAATCCCAAAATAATCTTTGAAATCAATGAAGTTGTTCATTTAATTTACCACATGTTCGGCAGTGGGGAAAATATCGTAAGGAGACGGGGAAAAGGAGGCGTGATTGCTCCAAAACCCTCTCATAAATGAGAAGACGCTTGTGCCAAGCTGTGCGACCAATTAAGGCTGTAGCTTTAATCGCATTCCTAGCGTTGTAACTGGATTGTTTTTTTGTATAAAATTAAAGTAAAAAAAAAAAAACTAACAGTTCTCCAGATGGCAAGTGGCTACTGCAGACCTAACCAAATTAAAACATAGAAGGCTACAGATTTGTTGTCCTCTCTGTGCATTAAGGTGGAATGCCTCAGCCTGTAATAATACTGTCTCTTAACAACCTTCAGGTCGGAACTCAGCAGTGCCCGTACTGCTGCTTTACAGAAATAGATAAAAAAGTGGAACCTCCCAAACTCTTAGACGCAACAGGAGTCCTACTATCTAGTAATTGGACGTGGTTATGCAAAAATGATCCAATCCGAATTTTATCAATTTTTCGTAAATTACGTGGTAGAGCCACACTTCCACTATATTATGGTTGTAGCGCGAATGGGTCGGCTCGACCGGGGAAGGAACGCGCTCTCACAGAATACTAGCGTTAAATAGCTGCTCAATGCTGCTGTGTTTCGTATGGTGAGTGTAGACAACCGGTAACCCTTTTTACTCGAAACGATACGTTCCATCTCAGTCCTCAGGGGTGATAACGCGTCTGCATTTTTGATTAATTGAGGATAAATTTAAGGTGTCTATGGGCTACAGGATCCAAATACCATCAGGTGGACTGTGCTCGTTTGTCATCCCTTTTCTATAAAAAATGTGGGGTTGAAAAATAATGTTTGTGATCTATACTATTATGTGATGCAACAATTTTAACGAAAGTAACACAAACAAGAAGAAAAATTACGAACAAACAGAAACCATGGCGATCCATACTTCAAATATCATAATCTCAAATTAACTTTTCGGAAGATGGATGGATTTCATTTTGCATAACCACGTTCAATTTATACAAGAAATCTTTACTTTTGCAGGCATTTGTCGACGTTCTATACGCACTTGCGCACGCACAGGAGCAAGTTCGTGTGCACTCTGTGCGGAGCGTCGTTTGTGAGCGACGCGGGACTGCATCAGCACAAACGCGTCAAGCACGTGGATGATGCTGTAAATAATAATTTACTTACTAGCATATATGTTAGCGTGTAGTGGCGGTGTGTTAATATCCACTAACTACCCCATATCATTCCGTGGGTGTCGTAAGAGGCGACAAAGGGAAACAAATCAGGAGGTGGGTAGCAGCGTCTTCTTAGTAACGGCTAAAAATAAAAAATTCTGCGGTTGCCAACAAGCGTGAAATCTGTGGCAAATGTCCCCCCTATGAAGCAATATATCTTCAGCAATGGACTTTATTAGGCTGTAACAGCAACGGTAACGGTACTTGCCACTGGCCCCGGCTTCACCTGGATATAAAAATAGAATAGTATAGAAAATAATGGTTTTTATTCAATATAGATTATTCATCATCATCATCATCATTACAGCCCTTCACAAGTCCACTGCTGAACATAGGCCTCCCCCAAAGAATGCCACAAAGCACGGTCCTGAGCCACCTGCATCCATCGACTTCCTGCATATCTTACCAGGTCGTCACTCCATCTAGTGGGGGGACGCCCTACACTTCGCCTGCCGGTACGAGGCTGCCACTCGAGAACCTTTCTTCCCCATCGGTTGTCGGTTCTTCGAGCTATATGGCCGGCCCATTGCCACTTCAGCTTACTAATCCGTTGGGCTATGTCGGTCACTCTGGTTCTACTGCGGATATCCTCATTTCTGAGTTTATCACGCAGAGAAACTCCGAGCATAGCCCTCTCCATAGCTCGCTGAGCGACCTTGAGCTTCCTCATCCGGCCAGCAGTGAAGGACCACGTCTCAATTCCGTATGTCATTACTGGCAACACGCGCTGGGTGTACAGTCTCGTTTTCAAGTTTTGAGGTATACCTGACGAGAAGATGTGCCGTAATTTCCCGAACGCTGCCCAACCGAGTTAAATCCGTCGATTGACTTGGATTTACCTAGTCGGACTATTTGTCCCAGGTAAACATACTCGTCAACAACTTCGAGCTTAGTGTTCCCAACAACTACCGGCATAGGTGTGACATGGACATTAAACATGATCTTTGTTTTGTCCATGTTCATCTTAAGACCTATCCGTTGGGAGACACTATTGAGGTCATCGAGCATAGTGCTTAGTTCCTCCAGCGATTCTGCCATAAGGACTATATCGTCGGCAAATCGAAGGTGAGTGATGTACTCGCCATTGATGTTGATACCGTACCCTATCCAGTCCAGAAGCTTGAAAACATCTTCCAATGCAGCGGTAAAGAGTTTCGGGGATATGACGTCACCCTGTCTTACACCTCTCTGCAATTGGATAGGTTTCGTACTCTGGTTCTGTACTCGGATAGCCATCGTAGCCCTACTGTACAAGCACTTCAACACTTCGATATACCGACAGTCAACTTGGCACCGCTGAAGGGAATACAGCACCGCCCAAATTTCGACGGAATCAAAGGCTTTCTCATAGTCCACATACGCGAGACATAGTGGCAAATTGTACTCCTCGGACTTCTGTACAATTTGCCGAAGGGTATGTATGTGGTCTATGGTGCTAAAGCCTTTTCGGAAACCGGCTTGTTCGGGAGGCTGGAAGTCGTCAAGTCTGCGCGCGAGACGATTCGTAATGACTCGAAAATAGCACGTAGACGCGGCTCAGAAGGGAAATCGGTCTGTAGTTCTTCAAGAGAGCGTTATCGCCTTTCTTGAAGAACAAGACCACCGCACCTCTGCTCCACGCCTCCGGTGTAATGCCACCATTATTACGTAATACTTATTGAAAGTAATTTTTTGTCTACCACTTCGGTTCGAAAATTCCTCTGTCTTGGGAAGAGCCAGCAAAAAACCACAGCCTGCGAGAGAATGAGATGGAATACAGTATACAGTGTTTCCTTCGTATTCAGTCTTCTTTTCTGAAGGTTTCACTTCTGCCGCGTGTGAACTGCACACATGCTTTTTTTTAAATAGATAATAATTCAGGGGTAGTCCTATATAAACAAGACTGACATTTACATTGTCTACTTTTTTATTGCAGAGGGGGTAAACGAGCATGCGGCTCACCTGATAGTAAGTGACTACCCCACCCACCCTACGATAAAGGGGTTCTTTTTAGGGGTAAACGCGAAAACTTGTCTCTTCTGGGGATTGAATTGGAGTAGATTTAGGCACCCCCAATCCGAGACTTTGTTCAACAAAATTTGCGGCAGCTTTTGTTGTCGCACAGATGGGCCGGCTCGAACCGGGGTGGTACCACGACCTCACAGAAAACCAGCGTGAAGTAGAGGTTTACCTCTGCGTTTCGCTTGGTGAGTGCGGGTGGCCGGAGGCCCTTTTTACTGGAAATGAGGCATTCCATCTTTGTCATCACGGGTGACAACGCATCTACATTTTGATTTGTAATAGAGGATAGATGTAGATGTCTATGGGCCGCAGCAACCACTTACCATCAGGTGGACTGTGTGCTCGTTTGACACCCTTATCCTATAAAAAAAAAAAACAAAGACTCGACTTCAGACACAAGTTTGTTCCGGTACTCGGCGACGTTTTACCGCGAAATATTGGCACGGCCGGTGTATAAAGCATCACCAGTGCTGTCGTCTGCATAGCAATGAATGTTACCTGTTTGCAACATATCATTGATATGCAGGAGAAACAGCAGCCTTGTGGAACACCAGCGTTGATAGGCATGAAATCAGAGTATGTACCGTCTACTACGACTTTGATGCTCCGATCAGCAAGGAAACTGATGATCCACTTGCACAATTTTTCGGGAAGCCCATAGGAAGGGAGCTTCGAAAGAAGTGCTTTGTGCCAAACCCGATCGAAGGCTTTCGCAAACTAAAGGCTAACGCCTCCCCCTTGGACTCTACTGCCTCCGCCCATCTATGAGTCAGGTGGACCAGAAGATCACCAGCTGATCGACCCTGACGGAAACCGTACTGGCGGTCACTAATCAGCTGGTGATTCTCAAGGTATCTCATGAGCTGGCAGCTTATGATGCTTTCTATTATTTTGGAAAACAAAGAGGTGATGGCGATAGGCTTATAGTTAGACGGATCTGAGCGGTCGCTGTTTTTAGGGATCATGTGCACCAAAGCTGTCTTACATGAGTTCGGGACTACGCTGAGGGAGTAGGAGTACCGGAAAAGACGCGTTAAAACCGGTGGCAACTCCAGAGCACACGTCTTCAGCACAATAGAAGGGACGCCATCAGGCCAACTCGACTTGTTGACGTCAAGAGAGAGGAGTGCTTTGCGTACCGAACGCTGGGTAAACAGCACATCCTGCATGGAGCACTCACACCGCGGGACGGGCAGCGGTCAAGAGTCGAGTCTGCGGTCGAGATCATCCGGCAAGAAGCAAACTCACCCCCAAGACAAGGGTAGGATGCAAAAAAGACCGCATCCTGCCCCAATCGGCCGACCTATAGTGCCAAACACGGCGGCAATGGCATGTGGGTGTGTGAGGCGTGAATGGCACCACACTCCGGACTAGACAATGGTCCGAGGAGCCAAGAGGGGCATCGACGAACACCTGATATCCGTCCGGATGAGAGGTCAGCAGAAGGTCCAATAGGGAAGGTGCATGATCCTCCACGTCTGGGATCCACGTAGGCGAAATAATCAGTTATCTACTTAATAGAGTAACAAATAAACTTAATTAAAAGTAAAAGCCGACTTTAAAGAACTCTAAAATATAAAATAATTTCACAGTTTTACTCAAGAAATGACGCATTTGCATGGATGATGGAGGATAGATGTAGATTTCTATGGGCCACAGTATCCACTTACGAGCAGGTGGACTGTGCGCTCGTTGGTCACTATTATTCTATAAAAATACTTTTCAGGAACAGTCAAAGAGCCCACAAGATGCGGCCACGTACTGCGATCGATGCCAGATCAAGTTTGAAACTGCAAAGGCCTACGCGGAGCATCTCAAATCGTCAGCGTTGCACGCAGATGTTGAGTGAGTTACGGTCATCCTTCTTTCGTTTCTTGTTCGGTTCGCAACAGTCCACTGCTGGTCGCGGGCCGCTCCCACAGCAGGAGTATTTTTTATTTATTTATTTTTTATTGCATTCCTTATAACTAAAGAATACAAAGGGCGGACTTAATGCCTTCAGACATTCTCTACCTGTCAACCCATGGAGAGGTGAGAATTTGATGTAGATAGATAGATAACTGTTTATTGCATTTAAACAAAGTTGTTACAATAACGGAAAACGAAATTAAAACGGTGGCCATATCGCTACGATGTATGTATAGAAATATTTTTCGTCGCTACGCTAAGCAATCGAATTGATGATTGTACCACCAGATTATCTTGCCTTACAAGGAGGATAATTTTCACAGTTGCCACGATTGGCAGGCGGTTGGCAACTGCAGTTTTTTTATTTTTAGTTGTTATTAGGAAGACGCTGATGACTATATCCTGGTTTGTTTCCCTGTGTCGCCTTTCACGACACCTACGGGCCGCCACTGCACGGTCAATTTGTATTTTATTTGTTTCATATCCTGAATGACTCCCTCCTGGGTGATATCATCCCATCGCCATCTCTCGGAAGTCATAATCAACGGAATGAAAACAGATAATGGATTATCTTACGAGGCAGAGAGGAATTTATACGTGGTAAAGCCACGTTGCAGTTATATTAGTAGTATAGATGTAGCGCGAATGGCTCGGCACGACCAGGGAAGTACTACGCTCTCACACAATACCAGCTTAAAATAGCAGTTTAACGATGCTGTGTTTCGTATGATGAGTGTAGAGAACCGGAGACCTCTTTTATTGGAGACGAGGCATTCCATTTTAGTCCTCACGGGTGATAACGCATCTGCATTTTTATTCGTAGTCGAGGATAGATGTAGATGTAATTCCTGTGCACACTCTCCGAAATGCATTCTATAGAATACCAAGACGTGGGCTACTACTTACGTTACTACGTACTTGTCGCATTTATTCTATTACAGCCTCCAAAAGTAGACTTCTGAACATATCCTTCCCTCATAGATTGCCCCTATAGGGATGGTATTTTATAGTCCACTCATAGTGGTCAACATTTGCGTTAACTATTGTAGAAAATCGACTTGGCTAACTCTGCTAGCAGTACATTTAACAATTATTCCTTTTGTCAGGAAAGCAGACAACGAAGAAGTCCCGACCTCGAAGAAAAGGTACAGGAGGCTGCGGTATGGGAGAACGACAAAACGCAAGCCGACAACATGCCATCAAGTACCACTCCTTATATTATATCCATTATTGTTTTTTTTCAAATTCTGACTTACTGGACTTACGTTCTGTTGACGCTCTTCAATACTAATGGAGCGGGTTCGCTGGCGGGATGATACTAGGAGAGAGCGCAGTGGTCGGTAGCACTATGTCGAATAATAACACTTCTTCAGTTTTCTTGGTTTATTTTCCCTTTTTCTTCTTGTGCCACTGCTGAATTCACAGCTTCTCCGATGTAGACTTATTTACCATGTCACTACCTCAATTTAGGAAAGCTATAAAGCTTGTATTGAATAACTCGTAATTTTTCTTTTTCTTTTCTTCTAATGTTATAACTTTAATCAAAATTGTTTTTTTTTCTTTCCTAGTAATACATGTAACATTCATGATTTTGCTGTTAACGGCTAGGTATGCATCTTTGCCTCTTGTTTTATTTTTGTGTTATATGTGCGTTTTAGCGTTTTAATTACTACGGTATTTTTGTGGATAACGGTGTTGGTTGTGTAATTAGCTAATCTGTTTATATATGATTTGAATTGTAATTTTTATTATACAACTGTTTGTTGTCCTTAATAAAACAAAAAAAAAAAGAATTCGGAATGAATAACCACAGTTTTTTTTGCGCCCAGAAGCAATATAAAGGGCTACCGGAGGGAAGCGGAGGAGGAAGATGGTGAATGCTCTAAGCATACCACGCAGCCGAATGCGTGGTTATGTGGGACTGACTATGAAACCTAAGTGCTTACCCACTAAACACCACCTGGGACTGGTTTTGGCCTGGAGGGCCTTTCTGCCGAATCGGAAGCGACCCGACCCCTTTAGAGAAAGGGGGCGCAGGCCAATAACCACGGAAAAGCATCCCTCTTTTATACACAGCTCTGACCAATTAGATTCTTTAAATTTTGCACACGGCACTTTTTTAATTCTTTTTGATATTTTTCCGTGACTAAATACTTCTTATAATGTTTTTCTTAATTTATTAGCTGTTGGGATATTTTTATTTTACTTTTTTTAAATAAAAACATTCGAAAACCTTAATATCCACCTTAAAATTACACACGTTTGTAATTAAGCTTACATTCTACTAATACAGGTGGCAGAAACGCAACAACTTATTTACTTATAATTAATCCTTAACTAACTAAATTTATCGCTAAAACAATAAAGGCAACAAGGGTTTATCGTATTCAAAGAATTTAGTTACATCTTGTTCAAAACATAGGAAAGTTACATATCGTCGATAACACAGGCTTATCGTATAAAGGAATTAATTACATATCGTCGAAAACGTAGGCTTATTTGTACATAAGAAGTTAATTATTTATCGTCGCTAACAAGTCCACTCGATGGTAAGTGGCCACTGCAGTCCGTGGACACCTTCAGCCAAGTTACATAAAGAAGGCAGCAGATGCGTTGTCACCACTGGGGACCGAGATGGAATGCTTCACAGTCTGTGCTTATACTGGTTCTTTATACCCTTCGGACCGAAACACAACAGTGAATGAATGAATGAATGAATGATGACGTCACACAATACAACGCATAATATAAAGAAATTAAAACTACAAAGTAAACAAAACAAATAACAATGTATACAAATACATTGGGTTGCAGCAACAAAAAGACCTCCGAGTCAGCATGATGCTGTAGTAAGGTGCGAGAATTCCCATTTGGTGGGAGAAATAGGTAATAGGGTGACCGACCCAGACAGACTCCTAGGCAGTAATTTTTTAAAATTGAATAAAGGTGCCTAACGACCACACAGTCTACCTGATGACAAGTGGATGCTGTGGCTCATACATTTAACCTCGATTAAGAATCACAATGAAGATGCGTTGCTACCCCTGAGGACTAAGATGGAAAGCCTCGTATCCAGAAAAAAGAGTGTCTGTTTCTCTACACTCACTATACAAAAAACAGCAGCATTGAGTTGCTATTTTACACTGGTATTATGGAGCGTGGTCCTACCTCCGGTCGAGACGGCTCATTCGTGTTACAACCATAATATAGCTGCAGCACGGCTCTAGCACGTATGTATAGAGTTCGTGAGATTTTGTTGCTTATCTCCAGTATCAGTTTCCCTCCGTCGCCTCTTATTACACCCACGGGACTATATAGGGTAGTGGATTTACTTCCACCGCCACTACAAGGTTTGTTAGCCTTAATTCTATATAATAAAAGTAGCATGTAAACAAAATGGCGTGCAATGTGTTAATTTTGTTTGCAGTGTGGTAAACACTTCGACTCCCAGACACTGTATATGACTCATCATCTCGAGGAACATCCCGGGACTTCCTTCTGTCCGCCGAACGAGAGGCACATCTGCGAGATCTGCGGAGCCTCGCTTGCGGTTAGTCTGTACTATTAATATTATATAAAGAGAGTGCGAATTTTGTGAGTTTGTGTATTTGTGGGGGTAATCTCTGGAACCACTGCACCTGTTAAAAATTCTTTTACCATTTGAAAAGTATGTTATACATAGGACATAAAACACTATATATATTATGTATATCTATGGAAACTGGGAAACTGTTACAAGAAATGAGCAGCAGCATATTCCTGATATCAACTCAAAATAATAAAAAACTGCGACTGCCAACCCGCCTGCCAAGCGTGGCAACTATGGCGAAATTCCCCCGTATGAGGCAATGTATGGGGAGGCCTATGTTCAGCTGTAACTATGTATGGACTTCTACAGGCTACAATGGACGGTAATGGAATTATTTAATAATTTAATAAATTATTTTTTATTTAATAAATTATATATTTTAGCCGGGAAGTATAGCCATGCATCAAAACATCCACACGCGCGAGAAACTGCACAGCTGCGGGACTTGCGGCCGAGACTTCCACTCCTCAGCGGGCCTCAAGCGACATCTTGTGGTCAGTCTCTTTTTTTTAATAATAATGTAAAAGTGAGTGAAGTGTTAGCAGTGGAGTTCATAGTCCACCCGATGGTGAGTGGGTACTGCAGCCCATCCACATCTGCAACCAATCTTGGCACTCCAGGTACGGATTTCTTCACTGAGTTCTACAATAATAATAATGTATAGTGGGGGGACGCCCTAACTTCGCCTGCCGGTACGAGGCTGCCACTCGAGAACCTTTTTTCCCCATCGGTTGTCGGTTCTTCGAGCTATAATATGGCCGGCCCACTGCCACTTCAGCTTACTAATCTGTTGGGCTATGTCGGTCACTGGTTCTACTGTGGATATCCTCATTTCTAAGTTTATCACGCAGAGAAACTCCGAGCATAGCCCTCTCCATCATATCTCGCTAAACGACCTTGAGCTTCCTCATATGTCCAGCAATGAAGGACCACGTCTTAGATCCATAGGTCATCACTGGCAACACGCACTGGTTGAACAATCTAGTTTTGAGGTTTTAAGATATGCCTGACGAGAAGATGTATCGTAATCTCCCGAAACCTGCTCAGTTGCATGCCAGCCGAGTTGAATCCGTCGACTGACCTCGGTCGAAGTTGGACTTACCTAGTCGGACTATTTGTCCCAGGTAAACATACTTGTTAACGATTTCGAGCTTAGTGCTCCCAACAACTACCGGCATAGGTGTGACATGACAACAAGTGTGAGTTTCTTTTGGCCGTGTAGTGACGATATAAGAATATCCACTAACTCATGCCATCCCGTAGATGTGGTTAGAGGCGACAGAGGAAAATAATAGGTCATGGGCAGCATCGTCTTCCTAATAGATTTCATTCATCCATTACAGCCTATAAATGTTTTCTACTGAACATAGGCCTTCCCCATAAATTGCCTCCTAGGCAGGATTTTGCCATGATTGCCACGCTTGGCAGGCGCGAGGTAGCCCCGGCTTTTTATAATTTTGAATTGTTATCGGGGAGATGCTGTTATGCTGCCCGTCTCTTGTTTCAGTTTGGAATGGAAGGGAATGGCATTTTTTTTCTTTTTACTGAGGATTACAACTTCCAGTTATCGACATTGCACTGCATTTGATTTGATTTGATTTAATGCATGAATTTCCTTTGCAGACGCACACAGGTGAAAAACCGTTCGAGTGTCCGCTGTGCGACAAGCGATTCACACAAAGCAACAGCATGAAGTTGCACTATCGCACCTTCCATCTCAAACAACCCTACCCGAAACGGTAAGGGTCTCTGTAGGATAAAGTAAACATATAACTTGACGGCTCCGTGGCGCAGTGGCTTAGTAATGAGTTGCTGGCTCGAACTCTGCACGGAACAAGTATTTGTATGGCCTACAAATGATTGTTCCGAGTCTTGATATTTGTCCTCGATGAAATTTATGTATGTCAACTGCCCCTACAATACAGGAGAAAATTCTGGTGTGGAGGTATTTTTTATAAAAAAAAAAACTGGAATTCTTTTGAGAGCCTTCTTATTCGATTAGCGGAACCCAAAAAGGAAAGTAATATTTTCGCTTGGTGTCAAGGACGTGCGGACATTTGTATCAGCGTCAACGAATGCGGAACTTTCTTCTCTCTCAGAGACAATTTTAAAGAAATAAATGTATATTTTTTATTTATAATAAAAATACTAGCAATGCTATCAAAACTACTAATATTCTCTTTAACCACACCTGGTAAGCTTGAAATTCTTGTGTTGGGAGTGATTCACGACGGCAGTCGAAAGGAGGATTCGAACCCACGACATTTTCAGTACAGACTACTGGCGTTTCAAAATTAACTTTGGCCGATGAATATAATTACGAAATTTTAAATCCAGCAATGTTTATTTGAACTGTTTTGTTTTTATAACAAAAATTTTATCACATGAAAGCTTTCATAAACTAATCCAGAAATAAGGAATCCATGTAAAAAATCTTTTTACGAGGGCGGCACTGAGAATTTCGGGAATCAAGGAAGTGACACAACATTACTATTTAAAAATGTATTTATTGCTTTTCGAAGTATTCTCCGCGAAATTTGACACATTTTTCCATACGATGGAACCAATCATTGAAGCAACCATTCCATTCGGAAGTTGGGTTCTCCAAAAACGTCCGTTTTGTAGACGTCCACAGCTTCTTCAGGTGATGAAAATCTCTGTCCACGCAATTTATTCTTTATTTTAGGGAAAATATAGAAATCATTAGGGCTTAGGTCGGGGCTGTACGGCGGATGGTCTAAAAATTCTATGTTTTCTTGCTCTAAAAACTCTTTTGTTCTGTGTGCGGTGTGAGAACTCGCATTGTCGTGATGGAGGATGATGCGGCGGTTGCAGTTCTCTTTACGGAGTTCAGAAACGACCTGTGGCAAACAAATGCTAGCATACCATTCTGCATTAACCGTTCTTTGTCCCTCAAGAGGAATAGCCGTAACATGGCCGGTTTTGGAGACAAACGTGGCCACCATTTTTTTTGCAACACTCCGTGAACGAACAATTTTTGTTGGCTTTAACTCATTTTCGAACACCCAAACTCGTGACTGGTTTTTTGTTCGGGTTCGTACGCGTATATCCAGGATTCGTCACCTGATACGATGTTGTATACAGCATTTGAGGATCCTGCGTGGAATCTTTCGAGAGTTCTGACGCACCAAGTAACGCGAGCCGCTTTTTGCTCTTCACAGAGCGAATGCGGTATTCATCGGGAAAACAACTTTTTTACACCTAATTGTTCATGCCAGATTATTTGTATTTGACTCATGCCAATGTCTAAAGTTGCCTGAATTTCGCGGTATGTCATATGTCGATCTTCCTCAATCAGCTTACGCACAGCATCAACGTTTTCTAGGGTGACTGCAGTTTTTGGACGATCTTGACGGGGATCATCACTGAGCTTGACACGTCCACGTTGAAATTCAGCAAACCAGCGATAAATTGTGGTTTTGGATGGGGCTTCATCACCAAATGCAGAAATCATCCGGTCAACACACTGTTTTTGTGTTAAACCATTTCGAAAGTCATAATAAATCAACGCTCTTGAATTTTTTCGAGTCAATCCCATTTTCTCAACGACTAAACAAGTTTGACAATACCTTGTGACAAGACCGAGAATCTTTTTTTAAATAAATAAATGGTATTCGATTTTAAAAAACCAAGGACTTTTCAATTAAAAAGATTTTAATATGACAGGAACAGTGGAAATATTCCATTTCCGATACTTTTAGTGCAGCCTATGTACTAAGAAACTAACATTAATTGAAATTGGTGACAAAAAATCATTGCATTTGTTTTCTATAATATTATAACTATTTTTCAGGACTAGAAATAAGAAAAAAGAAGAAATCCAAGAAGTGGTTCCAATGGAGACTGAGGAAGAATCTTATTAAGAGTGAGAAGAAGACTACAAGAAGAACTCTCTGTCAAAAATGATTTAAATAAATTAATTTAATTAATGTATGCTTTGTATTGGATATCATGAAGTTTTATATTGAAAATAAATACTTATTTATGTGACCTAAACGTATTTGGTTTCACGTATAGTACAGTAAAAACCTAAGCCTCTGCAATATTTTGCTAACGGACGCTCGCATACTTCCCCCTACCCAGCCTGCCCCTTTCAATCCTGGTCAACAGTTAACACCTATATGACGGTTAGACGAAGGAGATACTGTGCACCGCAGCCGCACTGAATCTTTAAGTACTGGTGAAATGCGATTAACTGTTTGCCTGGTTCCTGTGCCGATTGGTACCGTTTTGCCTACTTATTGTCGTTGTGCATTTCCTAAATAATATTTCCTTCACTTTCATATCTATAACATTCTGGTAGCACAGCAGAGCGTGGTTTCAGTTTCACTATCATTGCATTTCTTCTAAACATAACGGCGCAGTCATAGCGCCACAAGCCATAATTATATACAACAACATACGCCATATATTATATAGAACAGCTCTGTACTAACACACGAAGCGTTGGTCGCTCCCATTGAGTTATACAAGACTAGAGGGGCAAACCACATTATCGCGCGTCGAAAAAAGTGAAACCACTATCTAACCGCGAGGACGTAGCTTTGAAACCACTAAACCTTTTTAAGTAAACATATCTGTCTCACTCACACAAGTCGCGAAAACAATACCGTCGCTAAGATTAGATAAAGACAGACACGTAAACATGAAGTGACGGGTTGGTATTGCCTTCTATATGAAATTTTACCCAAAATAAGCAATAAAAAGGAGTTTTTTTAAGCTGTAGTTATTTTAAATATGTATCTTTGCTTATCCGATGAATAGAAGTATAACTAATGAAATGAAAGATTTTTTCGAACTATCTTTTATCGCTAATAAATCAAACAAAAAAATAATAATGTCAATTTTGGGTTTCTTAACCAAGAAGATCTGAGTTTGAAATATACATCAATTTATTAATGTAGTAATATTTAATAGTTTTATTTAAATAATAATTTTTAAAAATTCTATCAAAATAATTAAAATCAGGGCTAACAAGTTTTTTTTTTATATAGGATAGGGTGACAAACGAGCACACAGTCCACCTGATGGTAAGTGGTTGCTGTGGCCCATAGACATCTACATTTATCCTCGTTTGCGAATCAAAATGCAGATGCGTTGTCACCCGTGAAGACTAAGATATAATGCCTCTTTTCCAGTAAAAAGGGTCTCCGGTTCTCTACACTCACCATACGAAACACAGCAGCATGAAGCTGCTATTTGACGTTGGTATTCTGTGAGAGCGTGGTCCTTCCCCGGTCGAGCCGACCCATTCGTGCTACAACTATTCTACTAATATAGCTGCAGCATGGCTCTACCACGTATATTATATATAAAGTTAACTTATTCCATAAATTATATAATCGTAGTAGTGTAATGTGGGAAAATTGCAAAGGCAGAAATGTGGCAACATTGAATACGAGTATAAATTGCAATATTCGATATTTTATTTCATTTTTTGCGTTTTTTACGTTAATATGAAAACATAAACTAAAACTTACGCATGGAAAGTGATTCCGCTTGATTAATTATGTTTTTATGACCTTGAATCGCATTCTATCACTACGCATTTATCCATTTTTTGTCGTGAATCGTTTCGGTCAACTCGGTCGGCATCACATTGAACACTGAACCGACGTTAGCTGGGCACATGGCTGTGGTCCTATGTGATGTGGTAACGCTTTGGCGCGGCAATTACTTTTCTAGTGTAACATATAAATCAATGGTCGCTCCCAGGCCTGGTCACCTTGCCCGCCAGGAGATCCCTTTTCCTTACACGGCCAAAACTAGATATCTAATAATTGCATCTATCTGCATTGTATAGCATGAATTCATTTACCTACCGAATTATAAACATTATCTATCTACTCAAGCTAAGGCCGGCCGGTCTATCGGTCAACAAATTTTAGAAAAGTATTCTTTATTCCCTTGGAAAACAGCCGCTGTTTCACTTTAAGTTTCTTTTGCAAGGGTTTAGAACATAATATTTAAAATTGATATTGTTACGACAGCCAATTGCTTATTGCATGTTCCCGATGATAAGGGTCAATGGCCTCTGACAAGTAAAAAAAATGTGTAAGCATACAAACAAACAAAGCAAATAACAAATTATTAATGCAATAATAATTGACTAATAGGGCAACGAACTTCAAAATCCTACGTACTCCAGGTTCCTGCAAAACACAAAGAGACTTTCCTCGCTCCCGATTTCTGGCCCTCTGGGGTAGTGTTTCGCCGATACAGGGACGCGCTAAAGAAGAAAGTTCCTTAAAATTTTATACATGTCTTTTTAGGTTAAGGTATATGCTATGGGCCAAAGTTCTTAATTTTTAAGTCCTTGATGCCTGAAATAACGTTATTGTATTATAGTAATCTTAGAAAACGATTCAGGATTCGCTGCTTTTGATTTAAATAATTTTATACAATCCTCAAACACATCCGTAGAAATAAGCTTAGGTTTTGTCGAGTCGTTGATGTTATCACTGTTATCACTAGTTATATGTCTTTTTGCCGGTGTAAACCTCCTTGTGGAATCGATTACCATCAGCGATTTTTCCGGACCGATACGACTTAGGGACCTTCAAGAAAAGAGCGTACTCCTTTTTAAAAGGCCGGCAACGCATCTGCGATTCCCCTGGTGTTGCAGTTGTTCATGGGCGGCGGTAGTCACTTACCATCAGGTGAGCCGCATGTTCGTTTGCCACCTCTCCTATAAAAAAAAATGTATGCGTAGATTATCAGTATTCCTCCAACCGTGGCTAGATAGACTGGGCTCATGCGTCTCAACCTACCTGGACGATCTATTTCTTCCATTCAATCTCTCATGTTCTTTACGTACCTCTTTTTCAAATGTCCTTAACTTATCCCTCTCTCGAGACCGCTTGCGTTTCTGCTCGCGTAGCGTACGCGAGCTACTTGCACTTTGACTTCGACGAGAATTTCTACGATTATCGTGCTCAACTCTATGGCGTTGATCACACTCTGAACTACGTCTTCAAGATCGTTGCAATCGTAGCCGACGCTCACCACGATTACTGCGACTGCCGCTACGGTCCCAATCTCAGTATTGGAATGCATAACTGCATAGCTGCTGTCGGTCATTGGTACGACTTGAACTATTAGCGCGTCGGGAAACCGAACTCGAACTCGAAATAATTTTAATGTATACTGGGTGGCGCTTAGGTTATCACGTTAAATAGCACAGCAGTTAATACAAGTTGATATATGTCTGTTAAAATAATAAAATAAACAATAATAAAACAAAATAAAAAATGCATTTTTCAAACAAAATAAATAGCGTAAAAAATTGACAAGAAATAAATCGTCCTTGGTAATATTAGTTTCCTGACCTGAAGTGACCTGTAAATGCGGCAACAACTCTCAGTGCTCACGTGACATCGACATAAGTAATAATAATACCTACACTTGACCATACATAGGTAATTAGGCACGCGTAGGGCGATGCTAATCCAATGTTATCAATAAATCATAAATTTCATGGTACTGTTTTTATCCAAATAATCACTTCTTGACACAAAATCTTGAAATCACTCAAGCTTAATAATGAAACCAAATCAAATTTTGAAAAAAAAAATCATTTCGATGTATACTGACGACGTAAAATTGTGATACAAGGTATTTAAACTTTAACAAAACTGATTGAAATTGCCCCAAATCCTTCGGATGTGTGTCGAAGGCTGCGGTGGGAGGGGCGTCCGCTCCCTCTACCGCTGCAGCCGAGGTGGAGTCGCGGAGGAAGAGGAGTGTTGGTATGGCGATGCGCCACTCGCCCTATCCTCCGCGACTCAAACGGGGCCGCACCGTTGATGCGGTGGTGGTGGAGCCGCGGGGGGAGAGGAGTGTCGGTATTGCGAGGCGCCGCTCTCCCTACCCTTTGCGGCCGAAACTTGGTTAGCGGCGGAGCCCGAGACCAGATCCGCCGCTGGGGTCGGGAAAGCGGGCGCTAGTAAGCGTTTGATTTTCCGGGCTCCATGGCCTCCGCGTATCGGACTCGGGGGGGCCGATACGCAGGTGGAGTTGGAGGCTGTGGAGGGAGGTAGCTGAACACCTCGCTACCCCGTGCAGGAGACGAGGCCCGGACAGACCGGGCCAGCACTAGTGTGGGGCTGCGGAAGAATTTGGATTCCCGCGGCCCCGCGCGCACGTGCGAGGAGGCACCGTGGGGTTTTAGCTGGTAGGAGTCCGGTATAACCTTCCGGTTGCCCCCGCAGCCGGAGGTATCCATGAGGATTTCCCCACGAAAAAAAAAAGGTTAGGATAGGTTAGGTTCCCCCAAAACGGGTTCCCGCCTTGTCGTGGCGGGGGGGCTTAGTAGCCGTGGCTTGGTCACCCACGGTGAACAAAGAGGAAACCCTTGGCTGGCCCGTGGTGTAGGGCCGGCCCGAGGTGGCCACTCCGAGTGGGCTTGGCGAGCCCACTTCTGATGTGTGTCGGTGGGCTGCGGTGAGAGGGGTGTCCGCTCCCTCTACCGCTGCAGCCGAGGTGGAGTCGCGGAGGAAGAGGAGTGTTGGTATGGCGATGCGCCACTCGCCCTAACCTCCGCGACTCTGTTGGGGCCGCACCGTTAATGATGCGGTGGTGGTGGGGCTGCGGGGGGAGAGGAGTGTCGGTATTGCGAGGCGCCGTTCTCCCTACCCTCCGCAGCCGAATCTAGGTTGGCGGTGTAGCCATAGACCAGATCCGCCGCTGGGGTCAGGAAGGCTGGTGCTTCTGAGTGCTACTTTTTCCTGGCCCCATGGCTTTCGCGCATCGGACACGGGGGCGTCCGTTGCGCATGTGAAATTGGAGGCCGAGGAGGAGGGCGCGCCATGTGTTCTGGTGGCTATTACGCGCGTGAGGGCCCTGGCGGAGGAGACAGTATCCC